CCCCCCCCCAAAAAAAAGAAAAATGACACGGCCTCAGTACATCATACTTTTCATTCAAAACACATCTCTCATTTATTTTTATTATTTATCTTTTACCTGTCAGTGTCTTCATGTTCGATCAATCTTTCAATGGTTACTATTTTTTGCTTTTGGTCTATACCGTAACAATATGAATTTTCTACTTTTTACACGGTTTAGTTTGATATTCTTTATTATTTCTGTATATCAACAAGTTTAACTTTCAAGTTTTATTATCGAAGGTGTTATTTTTCATCAGTATATATTATGAATCACTCGCTATAAACTGTTTATATGTAACATTGTCTAAGACAATTGATGGCTATTTCGTGATATAATAAACAAAACGTCAGTGGCTCAACTAGATAAGAGTGGTGGGAGGTGTGGCGGGGTGCGCTTTTTTTGTTCCAGAACTCCTTTGACATTATCTAAATCAGCCGTCTTAATCCAAATGGGAACTACATTTGTTTTCGAAATATCAAAAGTGGGTTTCTCTTGTCATAACTTGTAGGCCTATATTGTTGGATTTTTCTTCAAAAATAAGTTTTCATGACATCAGAACAAATAGATATATTTCTTAAACTGAAATTGGCGTAGGTGAATATTTGAGGCAACCATATCTTGTCAATAATGGTCTGGTATCCTTTCGTTGAATAGAATTCAATTCTAAAAATACTACGGATACGGGTGAAATACTAAGGTGACTAGATTCATGTAATGAGTTTTATGATTCCATCTAATAGAGTGATAGATGGAATCTGTTTTCATTTCCTTTTTTTGATTTGACTATGCTATACAGTATTGACTTGAATACAATGAATACAAATGGTTACAATAGATCAGAAATGTCTCCACGAATTTCATGTAGTCTAGCAGTTCAGACACGCGTAAAGATGTCCGATGCTGTCAAACATGTTTACTGTCAACAAACTAGATTTAAGATGGTTTAAATAGGTCAGAATAGGTTGATTTCTGAAAATGAACCAGATAGAAAGACCTACCTCATGGTGTGAATAAAATAAATATCCGAAAATTTGTAATTCCGAAGAGTAAGCTAATACCAATCCTTATTTTTAAGTTAACAGGTATATACCAAATAGCCCACTGATATGTAACGGTATTTCCTTTGACACGCTTCGTTGAATTTGGGTAGAGATCTGACAAGATGATGGATGAAGTTGAGTATACTATGTAAAGATTGGTTCGACAAATTTTGAGGAGTTAAATATATGACATTTTGGGATGTTTTATAGCACTCATATATCTTCTAGATTTGTCACATTTAATAGCAGTGAATATTAAAACTTGGTGCAGATTAAAATGTTTTTGTGTCAAAATATGTTGTGAAATTTATTTAGATTAGAAGTATGTAGATTTACTCATCCTACAATAAAATCTCATAAACCATAAATCTTTTGTTTCTCTCTATGCTTGAAGTGAGAAGGGGAGCTGTGTTCAATGTATCTACTATAATACAGTTACTGTCTACAGGCTCCTAGTGGTGGCACCGGCACTCGAGACTGGGGGTACAAATCGGGGCAGACTGACTAAATGGGGGGCAAACTATCTAGTCTGCGTTCAAAATGCGGCAACTCTGTTGAGGGGTTATAATCGCAAGTCTCTCATGAAGTGTCCGAGAGAGTGCTCACAAGAAAATATTCGAAAAATTGAATTGATTTGGTGCATTCTGATTCTTTTTAGAGATAACATGTTTTATACCTAGGTTTTCTTCTTTAATCGACGCTCAAAAAAGTTAAATTATCCTTTATTTATCACAGGGCATTGGTTAATTCCGGCATTTCGTTGGTTCGTCAGGCAATAAAGTAGAGTAGTAATAGTCTGACGTCTCAGATTTTATGAATTAACTCCCATGATTAAATCTTCTGCATTATAAGGTGGATTTAGCTGTCCATAGAAAAACAAGAAACTATTTTGTCTTGTTTACTGTTTTAAGTTAGTTTTAACGATGAAATATCATATTTTAGCTTGATTTTAGTTATTCATAATGTCGGTTACATTTTATCATCCGTTTGTTTTTATTTTGACTTTTGTCAGGTGAGTTGATGGAATGGGTCATGCTATCTGAAGCCGTAGGCTACTCGGATCTATTCATTATCAGTCAGTGTTCGACTTGCAATAGTTGCAATGACAAAAATTAAGCATGGGCTCATAATGTGATGACATAATGACATGATTAAAGTTTGGTTATGCTCCCTATAGTAACTGTTATGACTGTAATTATCCTATATACAAAAGTCACACATTTAAAATCGAAGATATAAAGTCCAGTCAAAGATATGATAGTATATCACAATTACACAATAATTTTAAAGATGGGTCCCTGCATAGTTGTTGGTCAGTTTTGGAATTTAAGCTTTGTCAAGTAACATGTCTTGACTGAGTTCAGCTCTGAGCTGTGAGGTACGGTATGTATGTTATGAGATTGTATAAACCTGAGCAAGCTGCTGTATTTTACCAAAAAAAATAAATAAAACACCTTTTCCTTAGAATTGTATCAGTATTATACTTATTTTATCTAAATATATATTCTTAAATACAATGGATTCTGTTTGATCAGCTAACCATCTCTGAGAGAAATGTTACTAGATCTCTATTAAATTATTAAAGGTCACTATGGACATGAATGAGGCCAAACATGTAGAAGATGAAGATTTCTGAATCCAAGTTATGGTTTATTACTTTAAAAGACTAAACCACTTGGTAGTACATTTTTCATGAACCTTGGACTCTTATTGCTGATATTACAATTCTAGATTCGATTATATATGTTGTAGCAGCTTGTTTTTGAATTTCTGCTGTCACCAAAGACAGACTTTGGATCTTAACAAAATCTACACCCAATTACTCATACATGATGACTATTGTTACTTCTCATTGATAAAAACAGGTGAATGCAACACTGAAAAGTGCATTGGTACCTGATATTGAGCTCTATCTGTTTGTAAAGAAAATATTATCTTTTGTTTCAGTTATGCATTCTTCCATGCTTCAAGAAAAACATTTAGTAATGTAAAAACCACCATATCTGATGAATGGACACCAAGTTTTTCTAATTCTACTGTCAATGAAACATTACCTAATCAGGTAAGATAAAATATATTGCAGAATTTGATGGAGAAATGTGTCATATATTAATATAGTCCAAAAAAAGGAGTAGAGTCAGAAGAAAAAGACCCTATTAAATGGGGATTTTCCACACTGCCAAAGATTCGTTTTCTCAAACATAATATTGAATTACCTTTAAGATGATTGTAAATTAGTGTTGGGCATCACTGTGACTTTCATTTTGTACTTTTGGCTGCACACGCAGTTTTAAATGGCCGATGCTAGATCAGATTTTCCAAAATAAACTTTGATGGAACCGGAGACATGACATAAATGGCATAGGGAGAAAATCATGGTAAGACTGAACTACAAAAACATATACCTGGGTTTTGCAGATCCAAGGTATCTAAATATATTTAAAACCCTCTGCACCTGGGGGAGAGGCGGAATGGCCCCATTTAACAATGCCTATTTTTCTGTCTACACCAGCTGACACCTGTCCAAATAGCTGTCCAGAGGCTGAAATAGTGACACTGAAGAAAACATAATCTATTAGTCTGATTTGAGTCAGTGGTAGCCATGACATTTACTGAAACTTTTGATTTATTTATTTACATTATTTTAGACATGGAATAAACATAAGTTATTTGATAATGGAAAAGATGCTGAATTATTTCTGGGAGTGTTGGATGCCACCTTTCTTACCTCCTATGCAGTAGTAAGTTTGTACAGAGTTTGTATATATTGCATATACCAGCAGTTAAGCGCTGTTTCTTATGCTGAATGTTAGCAGATGAGCTATTTCAACAAAAATGAGACACAAAATTTAACCAAGACTAAAATTGCTAAACCAAATTTTACAATTTGAATTGAACCCAGCATCAATGACTAATTTGATTTATTTCTCATAAATTTTGAATTATATGAAGTATTATTTAGAAGAATTTTCATTGGATAACAGTCCAGTTGCTCTAATCAGATGCAACCATTTTCTTAAGCACATTTTTCTCTATGTGGACGTATATTGTCGGCACCCCTGTCCGTCCATCCGTCCATCAACATTTGCTTATAAACGCTCTAAAATTCGGTATGTGTATACATATTCATAAAACGAAGATCAAGTTCGAATTTGAGCTATTTTCGACTGTTAGAAGCAGAGTTATTGCCCTTGCACCAAAATCTTGAATATGCTATTACTCTCTTAGTTTTCAACCGATTTTGATGAAACTTAAAATGGATGTTTCGTTTTTACCATCTGCATGCCGTGGTGGTCGTATATGGCTGTTCTCCACTATCTTTGTAATGATTGTATTCCACTCTTTTGTGCGTTTTTAGGGTTTATACATAAGTGGAATGGTTGGAGACAGGTATTTATACATTTTTATCTCTAACTCTAGTACATTATAATGCCCACAAAATAGCCAAACATAGATAGTATTGTATACCAACATATTAAAGATCTTGTTGACCAACTGTTTCTTAACTTAACTGTGACCTGATCTTTTAAGGACTCAGATCTATGATGTATACATGTAAAATGGTTACATGTCATACCTTTATTAAATCTGTTGTGGTGCAATTTCAGATTTGATATGAGAAAGATTTTATGTTTTGGAATGTGTTCAACAGCTGTCATAGTAAGTTATCATGGATGTTTTAATCTGTTGACTGCTCTGCAAGAAAAATCACTTGTGCAAAAAATGGCAGTGGATGGTGATGGCATTCTGTTCTGAGTATTCAAACCTAAACTATCAACAAATTTGGTCCATTGTTGGTTGTGTTCAGAAATCACCTATCTTCACAAGATGGCAAAAGAACAACTTATTTTAGATTGGAAGGAGTCTTTCTTGTTCTTCACAACTTCAAACATTGCATTACTTATTGCTAATTAATATTGTTTTAGGTATTTATATTTGGATGTGTATTAGAATGGGTAGAGTTTTATAATAAATATGTTTATGTTTTATTATGGATTATAAATGGTTTATTACAATCTACTGGTTGGCCAACTGTTGTAGCTGTTATGGGATATTGGTTTGGTAAATCTAGGTAGGAACTTGTTTATAACAATCTATAAAGGGAATGGAACATGTAAAATGTTTATTTATCCACAATCACGTCACGCTCAGTTTTCCATACACACCAACATTTCTTCATACGAAAGAGCCAGGGTTTTATTGCCTAAGACAATAGAACGATATAGACGAAACTTAGTGAAATTGTTTGTCATCACCTAAGGATGAACCCTATTTAAATTCATAAAAAAAGAAAAAGGCTGGGATATTATATACTCTGAGAATGTTTCATTTACTGATAGCTCTTGTCAACCTCACGGACGACATGACTGCAATTACAATTGTGGACATATTTCGATGTCCAGCGCTATCTTTATTATTATATTTGTATTATAGTCGAGGTCTGGTTTTAGGATTATGGAGTGCCTGTGCATCTGTTGGTAATATAATAGGATCATTGATGGTATCATCTGTATTAGATTATGGTTTTGATGTAGGTACATGATATTGACAAACATAATGTAGATAGCACACACAAGTTTATTACTTCTGAATTTAAACTTATATAAACTGTCAACTCACTCTATTATGTCCTTTTAGTTCATGTTCATATTCTAGGCCTGAAGGCACTATTGAATATTGAATGCCATTAAGTCTTGTGTTGTATAATTTGGATCATTCAATTACAAATGTGATAAGGCTAAATCTCAAAACATCATTTTAAGCAGTATTAACCAGTTTAATGAAACTTAACATCAATTTAGGGCACATGCCGTTAGTTTGTGACTTCGTCATTGACAGTTTGAATTTGTGAAAATTCTGATATAAACCAATGTATGTATTTTAGTATGCCTTCCTATTAACATGTAGTGTATTATTTGGTGGTGGCATTGTGATATTTTTTGGTTTAGTTAGTACTCCATCAGAAGTTGGTAAGATTATTTATATATCTTATTCTATGGCACACCATACACACTGTCCATTGGACATTGCTGTCAGAAGAACTCTGGCCTGTTTACAATGCGTACGAGTGCCAAAATGGCCAAAAATTTACCGTTTGAATATGCCACTGGCCTTTAAAATTTGAAGGCGCTATCTCAACATAGGAACATGAGATGGCAAGCTTAAAGTTTGGTATTGTCTGTTTTTGATAATGCTATACCACTAATGATATGTTCTGTTGATTATTCTGTAGGATTAAGGTATAACAGGGAAGGAAAGTTAGTAAAATCAACAATTATAGTCAATGAAACAATATCAAGTAATGATAGAAGTGTAGAAACAGATGAAATCAGTGGTAAATATATTTTCTGTGTAATTTCAAGTTGCACAAGTTCTTTCATAGGATACTTCAACAATCTGATTTTCATATATTCAATGTGGAGTACATATTTTTGATATTATCTTAAATGTTCTTTTTTTTTGTAAACACTCAAGAATATATAGACATATCTTCAGAAAATTTTGTGGCATTGATTAGTATCACAAACCTACCACTCACCTAACACTCTTTTACGTATTTGTGTAGTACAATGCAGTGTGTATCTGGATAAGAAAGTTAACTTATAATTGTTTTTATTGAATTAGCTCCCCTGATTGAAGAAGAAGAGTTAAATAAGGAAGAAGAAGAAATTGTCATACAAATTGAGCCCAGAGCTTTAAGTTTATGTCAAGCATTGTTGTTACCTGGAGTTATTTTAGTAAGTTTAATATGTCAACCATAATGAATACTGGGTGTTATTTTAGTAAGTTTGATATGTCAAGCATTATGAATACTGGGTGTTATTTTAGTAAGTTTGATATGTCAAGCATTATGAATACTGGGTGTTATTTTAGTAAGTTTACTATGTCAAGCATTATGAATACTGGGTGTTATTTTAGTAAGTTTGATATGTCAAGCATTATGAATACTGGGTGTTATTTTAGTAAGTTTGATATGTCAAGCATTATGAATACTGGGTGTTATTTTAGTAAGTTTGATATGTCAAGCATTATAAATTCTTAGTGTTATTTGAAAAGGTGACAAAATTGTTATAATATTACTAATTTTGAATATTTTTATCTTTCCTTATCTAATAAATGAATCTGGATTACTATCAAAATAAATCATATCGTTAAATGAGTATTGTTTAGTGTATCGATATATATATCAAAATTAATGCATTCAAGAACACACAAAATATAAAGCTAGAACTTTCACTCCAAAGAGATCATCAGGCTTTTTTATTAAATCAATGTGACAATAATATATAGAATATAGAAATTGTAAATTGTGGTGTTATTTGTGTTCATTTCTATCGAACGCACTGCTTTGTTTTGCAAATGTTACCACATTTTCGATTTCCTTGTAAAACTCATGAAACTAAATAATATGAATATAATTTGATGCACATTTTTTCAACGGGAAATGACATCGTACGAAAATGTTTTTTTTTCTTTTTTTCTAATTAACGGCTCTAATTTCGATCTGACTTTTTAAGTTAACTGCTTTGAACTGAGTTCTACAGATTAGCAATTCAAGAATTTCAGAATTTTGACTTTTGTCACTGACTTTTTGATTTTCAAAATTTGAGTATTTTTTAACTTTTACAATTTAATTTCGATCAATCTGAAAATTTACAGGTAGATAGTCATTTTGATTGCGAAGTAAAATAAATTTTCATATTTTCGATATCACTTCCAGTTTTGACGTTATTCGCTGAAAATTTCAATAAGCTAGAATTGCCCATGTAGAGATATAATATTCAAAAAATCCGACCCGGAAGTAACACGTCAACGGCCATATTGATATGACTAACTTTTGTAAAACGGGAAATTGGGCCTTAGGGGGTAATCGGATGTGTGTGATGTTGATGTTTATGTTATCTTTAATCGATTGCAAACAATTCTCAGGAAGCCGATTTTTGAATTTTGCTTTTGCTTTTCTCATATTTCCGGTCATATTTATCCAGTGAATGCAATATGTTTTAAGGCCCATAATTCGTTACCTTGACCTTTGGTGACCTTATGACGCGCACAACACCTATTACCCCTGACGAGATCTATCCGATGGTGTCTTCGGTTGTGCTGTGCAATGTAAACTTCCGGGTTTTACAGCCATTTGAAAATAGCGATTTTTAAATTTAAAGAGCTGTATCACGTGACCTAATTTACATATGACAAAATTTCTCATATATCTTTACTATGGGCTATCTCTCCTTTCCAATGGTATATAACAAAGGTCAAGGTTACAAGATATGAGCCTTAAGAGTTCAGTTCAAAATTTTCAAATTTTAAAAAGCGCAATTTTGACCTATAATATTTTGCAGGTTAATAGGTAACTAGTTTGGCCAATATGTGTTAAAGGTAAATCTGTCTGGGCTTTTTACTTTAATAAAAGGAACAGGTTTTATATTTTACTAGATTTGCATTTTTGACCTGTAACATGGATGACCTTTAACTTTTCAAGGTCAAAGGTCATTGATCTATAATGTCAATTTATACTTTGATCTTTGATGTCTGACACCTACTTCCGGTCAAATAGGCTTCCAAAAACAGTTATTTTCAAAACTCTTAAGGCTCATATCTTGTAACCTTGACCTTTGGTGACTAGTGGTCTGACAAAAAGCCATAGCCCTTGATGAAATCTAACACAAGGTGCCGTTTTTATAGCCATTCGAATATTGCGAATATGACTATAACACAAGCCGAGTGCCAGGAATATTATTAATTGTTTGGAACATGGATTCCTACTTTTCAAAAATTCTAAATATAGAAGAGACTGATCTAATCCACACAAAAAAAAATCAATTCTAAAAATGTACTTTTTAATTTTTACAAAAAATAATTTAAAAATGTGTTAGAATTGTATCATTGATCAGTGAAAGGTTTTAAAAGAAACATAAGGGGTATATAACATTGTTATACAAAGGTTATTCAATGAAAGGAAATGCTATGAAGAAGCTAGAGTTGTATGATAGAAACTGTCGTAATTTTATAAACTCTCAGAATGCAACGCACTGCTTCAGTGCTGTAACCTAACGGCCCTTGTATTATTTTAGTTAGAATTTCATTCGTTGATATTGTCTTTTTTGAATATATAATCAACATTTCTTTTTCAGTATTCATTAGCCTATGCTTTTTTAAAACTTGTGAATTATTCCTTTTTCTTCTGGTTACCATATTATTTATCTAATGCTCATCATATGGCAGAATCCCAGTCTGATGCTATTTCTATATGGTATGATGTTGGGGGAATAATAGGTCAGTAAAAGTTTTATAATTTAAAAGTTGAGTTAGTTTACCTATCATACGGTACACGTAGCCTTAGTGTATAAGGTCTTGTTTGAGTTTTTATAAAATTATCTGGTCTATAAAAATTAACCAAGGTCAGAAGGGCTAGAAAAAGTTCCTAGTTTAGCCCAAGACAGTCGGAAATCAAAACAGAATATGTTGCTGATGTTATTGTGTTTTGCATGGTATTGAACATATTCAATAGCTCAATCAGGTGCAGAAAATAGGATGTAAATTCTTTATAATTAATTGAGATCATAATACAGTTACATTGTTTTGTAGGGGGAACAATAGCCGGCTTTATTTCTGTAAGTAACCAACTTGTCTTCATATATGTCTACAGTTCAGTTAACTTCAAATTTTACTGCTTATTATATATATTTCTGGACTTGTATGGCATAGGATTGTTTTGTATTTTTGAGTATCTTTAATTGAAACACATTTCAAATGAACTACTTAATCAGTATTACTTAAATAATCATAGTGAATAACATAAAGTAGATCAACTTCACAATTCCAATCTGTTTTCTCTAGCTAATGGTACAGCAACTCAATATTCCTTAATAAGGTATTGCTCTAATGAGAATATTGCTAATTGGTTGAATTGAAACATTGTTAATGTTGGGGGTTGTTAATCTAAAATAACATGAATTTCCTATTGCTGTAGCAAGGACTCACCTGTGCAGCATAAAATATGGTGATCTAGATGTTAATATGTTAATATTATATTTTTAGGATTTGACAGGAAGAAGAGCAGTCGTTGTTATTCCTATGTTAATATTATCTGTACCTGCTTTATTTATATATGGAAGTATGTTTACTCTTAAAATATTTGTTTTCATGTTAAAATTGTCTTAATAATAAGAACTTTGGTTCCATGGTCCCACTTATCCTTAACAGGAAGTTGCCCAAGATCTTTACTATATTGTCACTTGTACAATATATACAAATGTATATGTAAACCCATTGTGATGTCTTAGAAATATGCACTTGAAACAAAATATGTAGTCTTTCTTTGACATTCTTTGATATTGAGTTATGGCTGTTGAATCATGAAAAAACTTTTGTAAAACAGGTCTTATTTTTCTTACAGGTAACAATATTTAACATGAATGCTTAATAGTCTATTTACAGTTATATTGTATTGAGAGCATTGATAGGTTGTTGTTGACATATAATATACATCTTGCTAGAGTAGAGTCAGATTTCTTTTACAAACATATATTGTATACTGTAACAGCTCTCTTTGCATTATCAACACACTACAGATTTTTTTGTTTTCAAAAAATGCTCTAAAACCTCATCTGAGAACCATTGTGGCTCATGATAAAGAATCTAGTCTCAAACACTCACATCCAGGTTCTTGGTGATAACATTACATGAAAATCAAGATATATTGCCTGCTTTCCTTATTTCTTCCATTTTCCAATGTTACTTGATATAGCCGTGTCAATATTTGTCAAATTAATTCTCTGTGGTTAAGACTGAAAGAATAATTTGTGTAATTCCTGCACACATACATTCTATATAATCTAAAGCTATTCTTACACAAGTTAATTTGTAATACATTGTAGATTTTACTGGAGGTTATACTATTAATGCTGTGTTAATGGCAGTTACAGGATTTTTTGTTGGAGGTGTAGCAAATTTGATCAGTGCTGCTATATCTGCAGATTTAGGTAACTGAATTCATTCTAGAGAATATATCTTAATGAATAGTCCATGTTAACCATTCAACAGTAGCAGCCATTCTCATGGCTACAAAATAACATGATGAGTGACTGGTAAAGCTAACGTTATCAAGTGACATCACACATTGTTAAGTCATTATTATTCGAAGATAAGGTATATGACGTTTTTACATTCTAATTGTTGATATAAGGCCTAAATTATATATAATTCCTATTTGAATCTTTAAATGATTGAGCTATGATGACAATGAATAGTTTTAATTGTTTTAGGACAGCAAGGCCCAATAAAAGATAATAGTAAAGCATTAGCTACTGTAACTGGTATAGTTGATGGAACAGGTAGTGCTGGTGCTGCTATTGGTCAGGTGAGCTCAAATATGATCATCTTCCACAAATCAATTTTACAAACCTAATAACTTCGTATAAAGTTATTTTTTGCATGCTGGCTACAGTCGTTTAGACCCTTGGTTCCCTTTCTTCTAACTCAGTCAAAGATTCTTGTGTCAATAGGGGGTAGCAGCAAAAACCTCAGGGGGTACTAGAGGGTTTTAAACAGTTTTCTATCTTATATATATATTTTTTTTAATTTAGATATTAGTACCTGTTATACAGAAAAGTCAAGGGTGGAAATCTGTTTTTGTATTATTTATGATAGCTGTAAGTGTCAATCGATTTTATTTTTTTAGTTGTGAACTATTTTGCGAGGATGAAGGACATTAAAAGTTAAGAAACATGTCCTCTGTATTAAAATAAAGTGGAAATAATGTTTGTAATTAGTAATCAGATAGAATAATGAATTATTAAATTGTAAATGGTTTAAACTCTATGTGATAGTTATGTTCAATATTACTTTATCAATGATCTATGTTATTTCAGATTGCTCTCACAGCATTATGTGTTCTACCTATATTTATAAATGAAGTGAAAGATATATATTCTAAATATAGATATTCATGGTTTACTGGCTTAAAAATAGAAACATTTGCTGATAGAAGAAATATAGAAGATGATTCTACAACAAATAGGCACATTGAATAATATAAAAGGCAACAACAATATAAATGGCAACTAGACACAATACTCTCTTTTTAGTGGACTAAAATGTTTTTTTTTAATAACGTATAATAGCGTAATTGATGTGAATTTCAGTCATAAATAAACAAACCATTCCAGCAAAGATGGTTGCGCACATTGGAAAATGATTCCTCTAAACACGAGCCTAGGGTAAAATAAATAAGAATTTGGATTTTCTAAGATAGACTTATATTCTTAGTTCTCAAAAAAAATAGATTGGACTGCATTATGCCCAAATGTGCATAAAAATCCTTGCTCATCTTCATGATAGTTTTGGCCAGAATTGTAAGGATGTTTGTATGATTTGAAGGCCTCACAGTATGCTATAAGAGTTTCATGGGTCACCAAACACAAGATCCAACATGACCCATCGTTTCAATACATACCCTGAAATATCACCTGAAAGGACACGATGATGAAATATTTTTTTCTATATATGTTTTTATATGTTCTATTGACATGAAGATAACTACAAAAATATTTCATCATCGTGTCCTTTCAGTATGCTATAAGAGTTTCATGGGTCACCAAACACAAGATCCAACATGACCCATCGTTTCAATACATACCCTGAAATATCACCTGAAAGGACACGATGATGAAATATTTTTGTAGTTATCTTCATGTCAATAGAACATATAGATTGGGGGCACTTTGGTATAATTTATAAAAAAAAATCACTTTTTTCCTAACGTCAAAAAGCGATTTTTTTTTTTATGAATTATACCAAAGTGCCCCCAATCTATATGTTCTATTACTACTCTTTTGCCCAAAAGCCCACCAAACAAACAACCCCACCATGCACACAGTTAATAAATCCAGAACCTATAGGGGTACAAGTTTACCAACCCCCAAGCGCCCCAGCCCAATAATATCTTTAAATTAACTCATTTAAAAACAGAATGAGTTTAATTTTAAAACACGAACAACACAAATTCGAAGGAGACGGATTCTTCTAAGCTCTATCATCTCTCATCCCAAAAATAGCCAACTTTGTCTCAAACAACAAATCCCTCATTTCCTCAGAAGCGCAAGCTCTTGGATCTGTAGCAAAAGCAGGAGTAAATATAAGCGAAACAGTGAAAAGATCTAACGAGTTGAAAGAATTACAACATATAAGAGAAATGCGAAATAAAAGATTAGAAAACAAAAAAGGCAATGGTTTTAAAATTATTGGATAAAAATGTCAATGATAATTGCTCAAACTCCTAAAACTTATTTCGGTTCCCACATTCAAAAATCATTAGGTTCTCTTCCCGGATTTCCATGGGCAAAATATCCTGGAGAAAAACATCTTCCCGGTCATAATTACACTGGTCCAGGTACATGGTTAGATCTGCGATTAGACCAAAATGATAAACCAAAACCAGGTGAAGAACCCGTTAATAGAGTTGACGCCACTGCACTTAAACACGACATACTATACAGAAATAAAGACATATCATCCAGACACGAAGTAGACAAACAAATGATAATCGAACTTGAAAATATTCCAAATCCAACTTTTAAAGAGAGAATTCAAAGAGCATTAATCATTAAACTCTTGAAAGAAAATGGGTATGGGAATAGCAGATGAAATTCATAAAGAATTTAGAAACTTAACTGATTAATGGGAGGTAACACTGTTGTTTGTTTACTTCAAAGTAAAATACCAACCAGTTTACACACGGTTAGTTTTATTGATTTATTATTGATTTAATAATTACCTTCAACGCCCGGTAACAATCAGTCGTCTAGACTATTATTGATTGGATATACGTCACTAAGTAACAGATGGTTATATTAACATATAACATTCCGCCCATGCCACGTCAGCACAGACAGTCTAGACTCTCAACTGTTAGTGGTGTCTCAATTTTTGTTACGCTGGAAGATTAGGAATTTAATCCATACAAAATCAAGGTATGTTCTTTGTTTGATTTAATCATAAGACGAGAGGGTGGAATTAAGATGATATGTTATTTGTTGTTTTTCAAAATATCAATTTTGTTCTATTCCAGACACAAGTTTAATGGATGTCAGAGGGGAGATAACTCTGAAGAATATCTACCGATTCTACTAGGAGCGGTCGTGACACTTAACCCTTGAACTATGACTGGTAATAGTGTAAGAGGGGAGAAAACTCTGAAGTATATCTAGTAGAAGTGTATATAAACGAAATTGTTTATGTTTTAAATTTCCTTGTATTTATTAAAACTTACTTTGGTTTTTTGTTATTCTTCCTGCATTTCCATGGGGGTAAATTGGTTTCAAAAAATAGGGTAAAACCTATCTTTAAAAATGGCAGAAAAAAATTACAGATTAGATCCGATCTTTCAATTCAAAAGAGGATTACATTATCATATCACCAACCGTTGGCTCTAGGTCTCAACTAAATGATGCTGATTTAGCTAGAGTGAGAGTTGTTGCACGAAACACAATAGAAAGAGTAGCACGAGCAGTTAATCAAGGATTCGAAAAACGAGTAGTTCAGTACAATAATGTTGTTGAGAATAATAGGTGGGGTAATTACGTAAATTGGAAATTATATCCTTTATTCGGTCTGTTGGGACACAGAAAGGTTTCCATAGGGTTACCATATAAAATTCATCTACAAAGAGAAATCAATGATGATAAGATATTCTTTGGAGAGAATGCTTCAGATGCAAAATTAGAAATATCGAATCTCCAACTTTACATACCGGTAATAACACCATCAATTGAAGTAGAAACAAGAATATTCAATTCATTAACTAAAGAAATTGAAATAGCATTTCTTCGTCGTAATACAATAGGTAGCATAACTTTAACTGGAGAATCCACTACATGGCCAATCACTAACACTATTAAACCAGCAAGATATTTAATGGTTGGTTTCAAGAACTTACCAGATTCTCAAACGAATAACAATAATATCTTTAGAGTAGCAATGAACCAAAGATCCTATAATCCGTAAAGTTCAAGTAAGATTACACAACGATAATCATCCTAACCAACCTTTAACAATTAATCCATCCATGAAGGATTATAATCAATTGTATAGAAACTATAAAAATATGTGTGAATTATTTGGAAATTCAGTTTGAATATGTAGATTTTGCACTTAATCATCCAATCTTCTGTTTTGATCTATCAGCTTATCAAGAAGATCTTTTCAAAACAGGGGTGAATATAAATATTCATATTGAAAAAACACAAGGAGATGTAAACGGTTATTGTTTATTATTGGAAGAAGCAAAACATTTAATTAAAATATCCGACAGACGGATGATTCGTATAGAATAATCATTTAAATTACCCTCTTAAAGATTAAACCAGAAACTTTAGTAAAAAGAATAATAGAAGCTATTGAAACGGAATCACCAACTACAATAACATACAATGGTAAAAGGATTAAAATATCTAAAAAAAATTATCGATAAATATAAACATTGTGAAGTCCGTGATGATATAGATTTAGAAAGAATTGACGCGAACGCAGAATAAGGTGGATTTTTACCTTTCCTTCTACCTTTAATATTTGGTGGTATTGCAGCGGCGGGTGCAGCTACTGGAGAAGTATCTGCCGCAGTCAAAGCTGCCAACGCAAAGAAAGCAGCTGATGCTAAAGCCGCTGAAGAACGTAGATTAATAATGGAAAAGGTGCCAAAGATTCAGGAGTGGGAGATATGATAGGCACAATAAAAGAATTTGGAAAAAGATTTGGGGAAGAAACCAAGAAAACTGTTAAAACAAGGATTAAATAAATTAGTAGATAGTATTGACACAGGAGAAGTCAAAGTCAAACATAAGGGTAATGGAATATTTTTGAAAAATATACACATAGGAGAAGGATTATTTCTTTCAAAGTATAAAGGAGAAGGAGTGATTTTTGGAACAAAAATATAGAATAAAAAATGGAAAAGAAATTTAATCATTCAGAAATATTTCCTAGCAACCCAATGCTTATGTGTATATGCGGTAGTTCCGGTTCTGGAAAAACTTATTTGACCTTTAACATGTTGACAACACCAAAACTTTTAGATTTCGATTCATTATATATCTACACAACAACACCAGAACAATCATATTATCAATTCCTCAAAGCTTTAGAATATATACCAAAGAAAGACATTCAAGACATATTTAAATATAATGAAGACAACGATGAGATAGAAATAAAAGATATATTAGATACATATATAAAAGAAAAAAATCCATCTTTCAATCCAACGGATATAAAGGTTTTTGTTACGAAAAATGTTAATGATTTAGATTTGTCTAAAATTGATAGTGAGCGAAAAAATTTAATAGTGTTTGACGATTGTGTAGCACAAAGAAATCAAGCTGTTCAACAAGAATTCTTTACGAAGGGAAGACATCACAATTGTCACTGCATATACCAATCCCAATCTTTCTACGGTATGGATGCAATGTTCATTCGAAAAAATGCAAATTGTTTTTTATTATTCGAATTGAACGACAAAGATTTATCTCAAATTATTCAGTCAATTAATCACGGAATGGATAGAGATACATTTAAAAAGGATTGTAAAGCACAATGGAGAAACCCAGATGATCATTGATATATATTCGTTAATACTAGAAAACCTGCAGGTGAAAGAGTTATGGCAGACATATGTTAATTTTATTTCTTTAAAAATGGGTGATTGGAATAATATTATAAAAAGAAATAGACAATATATCAAAGCTAAGAATAAAGTAAAGACCCAAGTTGAAAATAACAGATTACAACAACTTGGATTAACAGAAAATCTACAAACTCTATTTCAACCAATATTAAAAAGTCAAGAAGATATTAAAAGAGACTCGAGTCTCCTATAGAACCCACACTTCATATAGAAACCGATTGAATAAATGCCTAAATGAAAAATGAAATGTTCCGGTCACTTTTTTAAAATACACCTTTTCTTTTTCCTGAGTCAATAGGAGCGGCAGGTAACTGAGTCTGAGTGAATAGCCAACAGTGGTCATTCTGGTCAGGCATTTTATGGTGGAGTAAGTGCACCAGTCAGCTGCTCTTGCATTGTCGATCATATGATGAGTATTTCGATATTTTGATTATACGTAACGAAAAATAAGGTTATGGCTTTCGGGGTTGCGTTATGCGAAATGGTTTAACAAAATACTAAGTATTCCTATCTGTAGACCTACTTAAGAACTGTTTTTAAATATCTTTCTGTTAATACTTAGCTGAGGATGAAACCAGACATCATAGCTTTTCATAACATTTTTGAATTTAATTACATTAGAGTTCTTTGAAAATCATAAAAAGGCTGCAGTAAAGCGTCATTGGTAACAAAATTATTGGTCTGATACTGGATTGTAATCTGTCCCGTCTCAAAATTCAAAAGATTTGATTGGTTGATTATAAATACTAATAGACATATATTATCCTAAATTGTATTCATATGAATCAAACAACCAAACGTAGGAAAAATGGATAAATATTTGATCAAAAAAGACAAATTGCTTGATGGTTTCGACACTACTACGACTGACAATGGTATCAAAACCACAGCGGGCAACACAGCGGATGCAGTACCAAGATGCTCTGAAAAGACAGGAGTACCAGGTGACATTGGAAAAGAAGACGTTCCAAAGCAACCGAGAATAAAATTTCCAGCGAAGTCTGGTCGCCATTTTAGTAACAGCTGGTATGATCGATTTCCATGCCTGGAATATTCAGTGTCAAGGGACGCCCCTTTTTGATTTCCATGTCGGGTGTTTCACAATACATCTGCGGGTGCATAAAAATTCATCACTGAAGGCTACACAGATTGGAAGCATGCTGTAGGTGATACTGGAAAGGGCCTCGAGAAGCATAACAATTGAGGTGTCAAAACAATTTCTCCAAGATAACGTTGCCAAGACAGAAAATCAGGACTCCAATCTTGTTCTTCAAAAACTATACGAGCAGAAATTGGCTTTCCCTAAATTATATGCACTGGCTGCAAGCGTTGCCACATTCGGTTCTAGTACCGCTGTGTGTGAAAGGAAAGCAGCTTTTCAACTCTTACTCGCGTTGACTCACCACAACGACGATCTATGACTCAGCTTCGCCAGCGCAATCTTGTTCTTCTTGCCTTCAACAGGAAGCGTATCCAGAGGTTTTGCCATAAAACATACCCGACTACGTTTAAACTAAAACGGCAATAAAAATGTAACGTATTATATATTGTGTGTTTTAACAAAATAATCTCGAATCTAAAATACTCCATGAAAGTCCGTTTCCCGACGTTTAATCGTCTGTTAAGGTGCTTTGCTAAATTGCCCCTCACGATTGCACGTTTGCCCCTCAGATTATTTACAGTATTCCAATATTCACTGTACCGATTGGATATAGAGTTATAGAGAAACCATTTCAAACAACATATTTACCACTTAATTCGTTCATGATTAAAAATATAAATCTGGAAATCAAAGATGGTAAAAATAGGTTTATTGATTTGGGTAACGAAGAAATTGTTATTCAACTTCATTTAAAACAAAAGAACTAAATTTATTGAGTAATTAATCACTCGTCATTCTCTGATTGAATATATAGTTAATCGAAATCATCAAATTCATAGTTTTCATCAAAACTATACTCTTCTTTATCATTATAAGGAAACATAATTCCTTCACTGTTTGGTGGTTTTCTCTTTACAAGATTCAAATAACTTCTAAAAACTTTCTTTTGTTTATCATCATCCTTTGGAATAACTACTCCATTCGTGAAACTCCTTTCCCATCTTTTATTAAATTCATTCGACACATCATGCCCACTAGCCAACTGAATATAATCTTCTACACTTGTCTTATTATTAGAATAACCCTTAAACGTTTTCTTTTCTTTTAAAACACCATCAGAAGTTAGAATCATATTATATTTGACTTTTGGCGCTAAATATAAACCAAATATGATTCCACCATCACCATAATCATTCTTGCCTTTACAATATTCATTTTCACATACCAACCCAGCTCGATTTAATTTATCCCAATTTCTAGATGAAATGTATAAACTATCAGTATCGGTATAGTATATTTCAGGTTTATAAAATCCATTTATTACATGAATGAAATTATTCATTATTTTTTTACTGTGAGATAAAACGAATGATCCCAAATGACTAGGTGTTAGTCTTGTAGATTTTGTTGAGTGATCTTCAGCATTTAGCTCTTTTTCTTCAATTTCTGTCTCAACGAAATATTGAGTATCATTTATTTTTTCATAGTTTTTAACATGTGAGTCGAAGTAAGCCTGAAAAGTTACTTCATTCCACAAATGATTTCTCGTTTTTCTATCCTTCTGAATAGATTTACCATACAAGGAATTACCTAATAATTTCATGCAATTACTACCCACAATATTACTTTCTCGTTTATATTTATTTCTAAGATCTCTTAAAATTCAAATATAATCTCTATATGGTGGAGTTTTAATTTTTTCTTTGTATACTTTACCATCTAATATTCTAATAATTTGTCCACCGGATTTAACTATTTCTTGTATATCGACCGATGTTAAAACATCTGAACAGAAACCATATCTAAACCTGATTTTACTCTCAGTTTCCTTTTTTCTTTCTTTATTCGTGAATGTGATATTATCTTTAGCTGGTATTGGTTGGAAGAACATGTTATAGGGATATTTAAACAACACTGTTAAAATCGCCGTTCTAGGTCTAAATTTCTGTTCATTGAAGAGTTTTAAAAATTTTCTCTCTTCTTCTGGTAGAAAAGGTCTTCCACTTTCTGCTTTTGGATATTCACTGTCTAAATCCGACATTGCTGAAGCGTACAAACCATTAGCATCAAATGCCATTAGTTTCGTACATTTTATTTTTTTAAGTTTTGAATTAACTTCTGTTTTGTCTTTTGTGCTCGCGCTGTATTCTTTGAATAGATTAATTATGTTATCTCTTCTTGAATTATTACTTGGTGTTTCACTCTGTGAATTATCACTTTGTGTTTCACTTTGTGAATTATCACTTTGTGAATTATCACTTTGTGAATTATCACTTTGTGAAATACTTTCAGTTTCACTTTGTGGAATACTTTCAGTTTCACTTTGTGAAATAAATTCCTTTAATACATTACAAATTTCATCCATTTTATTCGTTTCAAATATTTTTCTATATGCCGAAACTCTTCCTCCTTTAATAGATCGTCTGATATAGTGTCTTATAAAAGGATTAGTGTTCGAATAAACTTTTTCTATATTTTCTTTTTCAGTATGTTTCGCAACCATTCTAGTAGTTTCATACCATTCTTCTTCAACCATTCCTTTATCGTAATGATACAAATAATACCAACCCTTAAAAGATAAAGATGGAGCCGTTAGATTATTGGACATATTTTGGTTTAGAACTTCTTTCGTGACTTGGTTATATTTTATCAAACAACTTCCAAGACATAACGTATCTCTTTTAGCGTAAGGTTCCCATTCGTGCCTTAAAGATTCCCAGTTATCTTTGGTGTATTTTGCAACATTGATATCAGTAATCTTTCTCAAATTCATTGGTAGATTAGATGAATTACCCCATGCCGCTAAACTAGATGTTTCATGTTGATAGGAACATGTGAAATTAATATGTTGTAAATAATTATTATTGCTTGTTATTTCTTTCTGTTTTTTCTATTTTTTCTGTAAACCTTCATCTGTGTATGGATTAGATATAGGTAAAGATAGAATTCCTCTGGGTGTTTTTAAAGGGCATTGTGTTTTTTTATATTTTTAAGTTATCAAAATTGCTACCGTTATGAGAAATTAACATTAATCTCTTACTATCATATTGACCTAAATGTTTCAACATTTGATCTATACAATCTATACCTACAAATATTTCTACTATATCCATTAGTTTATCATAAAATTTTTCTGGAACATTATCTGTAGGATTTAAATCTGGAAAGAGATTATGTATTCTGTCTAACATTTTTCTTAGTTTTTCTAAATTAATTAACGTACACGCATAAGGAATTGCTTTACGCGTTTAACTTTCTGAATACGTTTCACAATCCCAAGCAAATAACCCAGCATCACTTATACTTGAAAACACGTTTAGTTTCAGAGGTGAAACCATTTTGAATTTCATTTGTTAAATCTTTGTTTAAAACATAGTTTACACATTTGATAAAACAGTTACCATCTGTTGGTATGTAACAATTTTCACCTATATATTCATTTATTTTTTTGAGTAGTTCAGTTCCTCTTCCAACTTTTGATCTTTTAATTTCTTTAAAATTGTCTTTAAGTAAAAAGATACTTCTTGTAAAGTACCAATCAGAAGGGTCAGATTTTTCTTCCATATTTCTAAAGATAGTTTGAAAAGTTTTGGCATTAAAACCAAGAAGTTTCATAAATTGTTTGTGCTTTCCATCTATTTCAATTTGTCCTTTAAATGTTAAAAATTTATTTGAAACAACCTTGATAATATTTGAAAACATAATAATATAATATTATCTATTAGCTGTTTAAGATTCTATTTTTTGTTTTGTTATCTTATCATCTAATTTAGATATTGATGATTTTAAATTTTCTGAGTTTTATCTACTACATTAAGTAATTGTTGTTTGATACCAACTATTTGTTTTTGTATTTCACTATTATCAATAAGATTAGTTTCTAATGTTGTTAATTTATCTTCACTTATACCTGGATTAATATTAGCTATTAGTTGTTTAAGATCTATTTTTGTTTTGTAATCTTATCATCTAAATTAGATATTAATGAACTTAAAGGTTGTAATTGAGTTTTATCTACTACATTAAGTAATTGTTCTTCAATAAAACTTTTCAAACTTGTTACTTCTTGTTGTAACTTAGTATCATCAATAAAATCTTTATTATTTATTTGTCGTTTGAAGTATCTTTTCACATCTCCTATTCTTTCTTTTAAATGTTCTTTATTTACTTCAAATAACTTTAATTGATCCATTAAATATTTCTTGTGAACAGCATCATAATCATTTTCTGGTAACTTTAAATAAGTTATAGTAAAATTATTCATATCTAAATCACCTTGAAGAGTGTCTCCGATTTGATCCACAAAATAAAGTTTTGCTTTATTTATCCATGCTGTTAGGTTTTTTAGTATCTAAAGGTAAAGAACCTAATCCAAATTTATTTGCCATTTTTATTAAGTTAAATTTATTACAATTTCTTCAAATTGTTTTCCTAAACTTAATTGATATAAAACCCAAAGTGATAGCTGCCCACAAAACTTTTGTCCCGGCAATTGAATTTGAAATGATGAACATTCGATTGGTTTATTAGTCAATTGCACTATCTCTTCAGTTGGTTCTAATCCAAAAGAATCGAAGAAATAAAAGTTATTTAAAGGGTCTTTGTATAAAGCAGAGTGATGAACTCCGTTTTGATCTGAAGTATGAATAATTGTTACCGCATAAAATTTACCTTTCTTATCCTTGAGATTATTTATTTCATCCCTCATACAATAATAAAACAGTGATATATTTAACTCATTAGCCCATTTCATAAGTTGAAAGTTTGTAGTTGTATCGGTTCCGTATTTATCGAGAAAGATATTCATTTTAAAAGTCAGTTTTTTGAAGTTCGTTTTGATGGAACCTACCTATGATTTGTTCTTTGTCTTGATCGATTAATTCATATGTTGGGGGTGTTGTGCTGTTTACTTTATCTACGATGAATATTTCGTTGGTCCAAAATCCAGCGTAGCCTTTTTCGAATTTGCTTTTATATTTGAAAATACGAACGCGATCTCCGACTTTAAATTTGGGTTTGATATTTAAATTGTTTATTTCATTTTCATAGTTATTATGTGTGTTAATTGACTTTATAATATTTGGATTATTTGAGGCTTGTGTTGGTGTAACACCTATAGATGAATGAATTTTGTTATTGTATTCATCTACAACCTGGTAATATTTTAAGCCATTTTTGGGATTTCAATTCCGTGAACTTTTTGAATAATTTATTTTTAAGAGTTCTATTATATCTCTCAATAACTACAGCTTTACCTTCGTTATGCATGCTGTAAATTTCAAATCCTAGAGATTTCATATTTTTGTTATAAAATTCACTTCCTTTATCTACCCATAACTTTTGAGGTCGTCTGTCAGATTGTTTCATTATTGTTTCAAATGCGTGTTTGACTGATAAACCCGTTTTGTTTTTGAGAGGAATAACCCAAGTATATCTTGTGTACAAATCTATAACGGTTAAACAATATTTATATCCTCTTTCAACAGGCATATTAATTAAATCTGCTGACCATATTTCATCTTTATCAAACACTTTGACTTTTAAAAAATGTTTGTTTTTTCTAAATTCTTTATGAATTTCATCTGCTATTCCCATACCCATTTTCATCTTTGCTTTCAAGAGTTTAATGATTAATGCCCTTTGAATTCTCTCTTTAAAAGTTGGATTTGAAATATTTTCAAGTTCGATTATCATTTGTTTGTCTACTTCGTGTCTGGATGATATGTCTTTATTTCTGTATAGTATGTCGTGTTAAAGTGCAGCGGCGTCAACTCTATTAACGGGTTCTTCACCTGGTTTTGGTTTATCATTTTGGTCTAATCGCAGATCTAACCTTGTACCTGGACCAGTGTAATTATGACCGGGAAGATGTTTTTCTCCAGGATATTTTGCCCATGGAAATCCGGGAAGAGAACCTAATGATTTTTGAATGTCGGAACCGAAATAAGTTTTAGGAGTTTGAGCAATTATCATTGACATTTTTATCCAATAATTTTAAAACCATTGCCTTTTTTGTTTTCTAATCTTTTGTTTCGCATTTCTCTTATATGTTGTAATTCTTTCAACTCGTTAGATCTTTTCACTGTTTCGCTTATATTTACTCCTGCTTTTGCTACAGATCCAAGAGCTTGCGCTTCTGAGGAAATGAGGGATTTGTTGTTTAAGACAAAGTTGGCTACTTTTTGGAGGAGAGATGATAGAGCTGAGAAGAATCCGTCTCCTTCGAATTTGTGTTGTTCGTGTTTTAAAATTAATCTCATTCTGTTTTTAAATGAGTTAATTTAAAGATATTATTGGGCTGGGGCGCTTGGGGGTTGGTAAACTTGTACCCCTATAGGTTCCGGATTTATTAACTGTGTGCCTGGTGGGGTTGTTTGTTTGGTGGGCTTGCGGGCGCTGCGGGCAAAAGAGTAGTAATAGAATATGTAGATTGGGGGGCACTTTGGTATAATTTATAAAAAAAATCGCTTTTTGACGTTAGGAAAAAAGTGATTTTTTTTTATAAATTATACCAAAGTGCCCCCAATCTATACGTTCTATTACTACTCATGTCAGACCTGATAATATAATATATAATAAATAATATTTGTGGAAGCTATGAAACAGAAAATAGAAATTTTTCTCTTCCGATAAGTAGTGTTAGAGGACATTGTGCCATGTTGTACGATATCCAATAGATTACCTCTGGGAAGTTGGAATATTGCTACTAGTAAGTTGTACATAACACTTATTGATATTCTGTGCACATTTGAAAAATCAGTACAGATGCATGCGCTTTTGAGAGAATTTATATTGTTTCTATTTTTCTGGTGGTATGGGGTGGTGTGTCATGTCGGATCTTGTGTATAAAACCTTTACAAAAATTAGTACTTTTATCAACAGCTATTGAAATAAAGGTCTTTTTTCTTTTCAGGTATACCATTTTTACAAACTTATGTTTTTTTTAATTAAATATGATTTAAATGAATTGTAAATATAATTTTAACACAATAATTGTACTTTGTTATAAACATTTTATTTTGTTTATAAAACTTATGTGATATTTGTTTCCTGGATGTATTTTTGTTTCCAGCTATTATTTGCCATAAGCTCCAACATCCAATAAGAGAAGATATTTGTTTTGGAAAGATGAATTTTTAAGTAGTGCCATTATGAGTTAGACAATAGCCCTTGATGAATGTTTTGTAAACCTAGAATATTTTAACATTAATAGAAAAGATTTATAAGAATCTTTATGGATAAAAAACCACATTATAATAATAATTTGTTTATTGGGTAATTAATTAGGACTATGCCTTTCTAATATTGAGCCTGTATAAAAATACCCATAGAAGGGGTGGGGAAGCAAAGAGTAATATAATGTTGGATACATAATTAAAAATACAAATGATAATGCTCATTTCAAATCTCACAACAATGGAGTTTTGACAATTTCTTGAAGTAATAAACCTTTATATTTTAAACTGTGTTTATAAAGATCTATTCTAGGTTTTGTTAACATTAGCTTTTTATACACCCACGTGGAAATGTGGATGTATATTGCCGTCCGTTGGATCAAGGTCAAGTTCGAAATTGGTAATAATCGGAAGAATGGTTGCAGAGTTATTGCTCTTGATTTAGTAAAAACGCATTAAATTCGGCTTGTATGCACAATAAAGGTTGCAATTTTTAGCCATTCTTGATAAAACTTAGTGTGAATGTATATGGATGAGATCTTGGTCAAGTTCGAAATTGATAATAATTGGATGAAAGGTTTCAGAGTTATTGCCCTTGACTTGGTAAAAACGTGCTAAATTGGGTTGTATGCATGATAAAGGCTAAAATTTTAATCCTATCTTGATGAAACTTAGCATGCTTGCAGATATTGATAAGACCTCAGTCAAGTTCGAAATTCGTAAAAATTGGATGAATGATGTCAGGGTTATTGCCCTTGGCTAAGTAAAAACACATCAAATTTGGCTTGTAGGCACAATATAAACTAGTCTTTATCAGATCTTGATGAAACTTGGTATCCATGAATATATTGATGAAATCTTGGTCAAGTTTGAAATTTGTCATTATCGGGTGAATGGTTTTGGAGTGGAATTTTAATGTCTTTGATTTCAAACTGGAACTGTCCCAAATTGGTGAAGTTGAAATAATTTTGAATTCAAAATTTGAGAAATATTTTTTACATGGAATTTCCAGTTTATATCCTGATTTACAACAACAACGAGCAGTTTGAAATTAGAGAGATTTTCTATTTTATCATTATTTATACTTATATGAGTATACAAATTATACAAATCAGAGACAGGGGGTAGCTGGCGATTTTGATGGTGGTTATTTTCAGACAGTCTTATCGAGCCAAAATCTGTACCGGTATATAATATGTAGGGTAGGCTAATTACTAAATTACATGATTAAATAGTAAAGTAAGAATTAGACTTTGGCCAAGATTCACTGCCTGAATGGTGTAAAGAAAATCATTCAAATTTAAATTTGTACTATGATAATTTTATACTCTTGAATCGAAAGATTGTAATTGATTCGTTGCAGAAAAAAAAGATAGCTTGCGATGCAAGGTAACATACGCCCACTGGCAGCTGTCAGAAATAATAAAACAGTCTTTAGTGACTAAAGTACGAATTTTCTCATATTGAAGAAATTATTTATGCTGAATAATTCCACAAAATTTTTTAAAATCAATATCAATAACCCAAATACAACAAACAATTAAATCACACAGCTCTAATCAAGGGCAAAAAACAACTTTTGACGCGTGTTTACAAAGTCAAGGGCAATAACCCAAAAAATGTTCATCAAAAATATCTCTTGTTAGAACATGTCCGAGATCTTATCAATTCCAATGATCACACCAAGTTTCATCAAAATCGGTTGAAAACTGTACCTTCTATTGTGCTCACAAACAAATTTTGACGTTTTTATCGTAAGTTAATGGCAAAAACTCAAAAACATTTCATCGAAAATGTGTCAAGTTAGAACTTGTCCAAGATCTTATCAATTCCAATAATCACACCAAGTTTCATCAGAATCGGTTGAAAACTGTAGCTTCAATCCTGCTCACGAACTATTTTTTAACAAATATTGACGCGTTTTTACAAAGTCAAGGGCAATAACTCAAAAACCGTTCATCGAAAATGTGTCAAATTAGAACTTGTTCGAGATCTTATCAATTCCAATGATCACACCAAGTTTCATCAGAATCGGTTGAAAACTGTAGCGTCAATCCTGCTCACAAACTATTTTTAACAAATTTCAACACGTTTTAACAAAGTGAAGGGCAATAACTCAAAAACCGTTCATCAAAAATGCGTCAATTAGAACTTGTCCGAGATCTTATCAATTCCAATGATCACACCAAGTTTCATCAGAATCGGTTGAAAACTGTAGCTTCAATCCTGCTCACGAAGTATTTTTAACAAATTTCAACACGTTTTAACAAAGTCAAGGGCAATAACTCAAAAAATGTTCATCGAAAATGCGTCAAGTTAGAACTTGTCCGAGATCTTATCAATTCCAATGATCACACCAAGTTTCATCAGAATCGGTTGAAAACTGTAGCTTCAATCCTGCTCACAAACTATTTTTAACAAATTTTGACGTGTTTTTATAAAGTCAAGGGCAATATCTTAAAAACCGTTCATCGAAAATGCGTCAAATTTGAACTTGTCCGAGATCTTATCAATTCCAATGATCACACCAAGTTTCATCAGAATCGGATGAAAACTGTAGCTTCAATCCTGCTCACGAACAATTTTTAACAAATTTCAAGGCGTTCTAAGTCAAGGGCAATATCTCAAAAACCGTTCATCGAAAATATGTCAAATTCGAACTTGACCGAGATCTTATCAATCTAAAGCATCACACCAAGTTTTATCAAAATCAGATGAAAACTGTAGTCTCTATAGTGCTCACAAGAAATGTTGACGGTCGGACCGAAGCCGAAGGACCGACGGACAGGGGCGACGACAATATACGACCACATATTCATTTGGGCGTATAAAAATGTATAAAAGACTTATCACTATGATGCCTGGTTATTCGAGCAAATAATTTTATCTTCATACAATTATCCCCCTTAGAAGCATGGCGGACATTTCAAAACAATTGACGAAAACAAGTAAATTTTCTCATTCTTTAAAGGAAAGATTAGATGTAAGTATTGAATTCTCTACCTGGAAACATGCATTACATTTCCTATCTCAGGCGTGCGGCTCATAATTAAAAGATAGCATACTTTCCTCGAACATTCGACGGGAAATAGAATTTAACTGATTAGGCCCCTATTTTCATTGTAGTCTACTAAGTAGCCCTTTCTCTGATCAGAATCTTCTTCAAAATATTCTACCTTATTGCTATACCGAAACATTATTTCGAAACACCTGCCTCTACTCCAGCCTCTTATGGATATTTTGACAGTTGTCAGCTGTAGTAAGGTCAGAAGAAAAAGACTCAAAGTTAAACAGGGATTTTCCACACCTCAAAATAAGCGTTTTCTCTAACATAATATCGAATTACCTCTAGGATGATTCTGTCTCTACACCATCTGACATCTGTCCAAATAGCTATCAGAGGCTGGAAGAGAGACAGATGTTTCGGTAAAGTAAAATATAGGCCTTGTTCAATCCATGGGGACCTAAACATATATATATATATATATATATATATATATATAGATACCTCGGATCTGCAAAACCCAGATATATTTAAAAAGATGAATCTTTCTGTAGTTCACTCATAACATCATTTTCTCCTTTTCCATTTATGTCATATCTCTGGTTTCATCGATTTTTATTTTTACGAAACTGATCTCGCATTAGTCATTTAAAACTGCGTGCACAGCTAAAAGTTCAAAGGTCAAAAATTCACATGATACTAACAAAATGAATGTTATGGTGACGTCCAACACTGATTTGCCGTCATCATCAATAAACCAAGTACATGTATTAACGATCCGAAACCCGAAATCAGTATTAACAACATATTGGCGAAACATTGGTAGCAGCTAATGAACTTTTCACACGAGGAAGTACATCAATCATAATAAGTGTGTAAGTATTTCATTATGAAAAGTGGTATCAGGTGTCTAGAAGAGTAAACCTGGCTGCTCAACATACACAACACACACTACAAATAGCAACGCGCCAATGTAATTCAATTTTGTGTCAGAAAAAAGCATTTTCCGTTTAACAGGGTCTATTTTTCTGACTCTACTCCAACGGACAACTGTCAAATATCCATCAGAAGCTGGAATAGAGGCAGATAATTCAGACTACCCTTCTCCTACTGTTAATCTTAGAGTTACTTTGGCATTGATAAAGATGTAAATAATAACACACATAATCACATAACCACCTTGAAATTGGTTGTGAGGAGAGTAACTTACAGCCAAATTGTGAGTAAAGAAATTAAAATTCACACACTTCAGTGCCACAATATGACTGGACATAATTAGGGAAGTAGGACATCATTATTATCAGCATCAATAAGCAGATCTAGCCTGTCATATATATTTCTATATAAGCAGTAGATATTTTCTCTGACTTATATTTATAGACATTGGGGTGTCCATATACAGAAGGTGTAGACGAATCTTGGGTTTTAGAACTAATTTCTAAACCAGGGGAGCCACGAATACGACTTTTACAATGGTTGTTTTCAAAGTGAGTAATGTTAGCTTTTGTCAGATTCACCAATGATTTTTATGCTTTTGAATTGAATTTTCACTTCCTTATTTCTATGTTTTTATCCTGGTCTTTTACATTGTATTTAATTATAACAAAAACAGAGGTATCAAAGCATTATAATGAGATAATTTGATGAATTGTGAATGTGTGTTAGTGGCTCTGTGATAAATTAATCAGATAACCTGTCTTTGATATATTTCAGACTTGACTCTAAACTGAATGAGCTACTAGACCCTCATAATGCACCAATTGAATCCAAAATGGACTCCAGAATACAGAGTAAGTTTGGCCTGATACTGATCAAAATTTTGTGTTTTAATTTATTTTACAGTTTTACTTCCACTTTGTATCTTGTACACTACAAATCACTTTGTAGTTTGTAGTTTTCGATTACGGTATATGTGCTTTATTTTACAACTGGTAATTACAAATTTTTTTTTTTATATGTATTGAATAAATCTTTCCAGGATTGTTGTATGTTTCCAGTACGTTAGGCTTATGTAAATATAATGATGTTGATCTGATAAAGGTATGTAGATCAAATTTACAATTTTAAAAGTGAGGACATAAAGGCAGAATTAAGCAGACAAAACATAAAATTTAGTATTTTTCTCTTTTTCATGCAGATTTATATATCTAGGAGTTTAGAATGATTTATTTATGCCATATTTATATGATAATTGTATAAGCTTATGTGTGTTTTAGGGAATAACAACAGGATCTAAACAATGTAGTTTTGTAGATCAATTGTTAGATTTAGTTTGTATAGTTGATGTCTCAGAAGATCCCAGGGCAAAGATATTTCAAAGTCCTGGAGTTGTTGGGTAATGTTGTTTTAGTTCATCGATAGTTGTAATAGTAAGTCATAAAATACAGCAAATAAGATAATATATTGTCAAGAAATGTCCTCTTATATATGTAACAGAAAATGATCATTTTAATATCTATGAATGCACATATCAGTTTTTTTTTTACAAAATTTACTCAAGATGATTTGTAACATTTTTTTTTTCATTTGAATATTGTTATTTATAGGGAATCATCAGGCCTATCAGAACAGTACATAGCTGACTGTAATTATGTTGATCAGTTGGTCATAGATGAGAACATGTCCACATTATTTAATTCAAAAGTGAATTTACTACGACCAGATATCTATAAAAATATTGAAATGAAATGGGTGGAGAAAGGCTTTAGTAAAGGAATGTAAGTCATTTTTCGTTAGCATTCAACAAGAAATAGATATTACTAAACTGCATTTATGAAAGAGTTTCTTTTAACTTCTTTTTTAAAATAATTCATTTGTTTTTTTTAGACCTCCTTCTGTCGATATAAATCAACTTAAAGAGAAAGCATATACAGTGGCCAATAACTTAGATCGACAAACTGTTTTACTTCAAGATTTAACCAGATCGGTTAGTTTCTTTCATCTTCAGATACAAATTTTTTAGCCTTATGATGTGCATGTATATTTGTATCTGTCCTACTTGTGGTATTCAGATTCCACATAGTCTAATTTGTCTTGTTTATTGTGGATGGTCATCTCACTTGGAGCTTAGCTGTTTAAGCAATTTATTGCAACCGCTCAATAACCCAATATCGTGGGTGACCTCGTATATGCCATATTTGGTCGTTTTGACTTTTGGGTACCGTTCGAAAGCTTGTAAAAGCGCGGATCTTGTCATCAAATCCTCGTATTCTTAGCTTGATTGTAAATAACTCAAAAAGCGTTAATTAAATATTATAATTTTGGTTCAATAGGCCGGAGATCTCGAATTGTTATACGAGGTTCATATTTTCCAAGAATGAAAACCACGTATAGCGGTAAAAAAAATAATAAAAAAGATTTTAACAAAATACGCGTACAAATAGTTTTTTGCGTTTTTCTCGAAAAGTAATTCCGTGTCAGATATCGTTATACGAGGTTTCAAGAGGTCACCCACGATATTCAATCCCTAGTTCAATAGAATACTTTCCAGATTAATTAGATTGGCTTCTTCTGTTAAATATCAAGTCAAAAGAGCTACAAGTGAAATGAAGATCCTTTGTGCTGTAATTTATGCATGTTAAAAATTCCTGGACTGTTGAAAAAAAGAAGTAGTTTGTGGAGAAATTTCTGCAATTTTGTTTATGGCATTGCCAATTCATCTTATTTCTTGTTCAGTTAATTTGTTATTATGTTTGTTTTAGTGTACATACAGTGAAAATGGTTCAGCTATTGTTTCTACTACAACACGTACATTACAAGTTGTATTATCAGAATTATCTCAATTAGTTGTCAGCTTCACCTACTGTTATGAAAATGAAATGAGGTTATGGTGTAATAAAACCCCACCAGTTCTCACTGATTTAGGTCTAGCATTCAAACGTGTGTATAATGTACTAGAGCAATTCGTAGAGGTAAGTCAAAGCTCTATAATTCTTTTTCAAATAAATTCCTCATACATATAAAATTTATAGCCCTATAGTGAAGTTATGTATGATTAAAATATCGAACACTGGTGTGTGCAATGTGAACATTCGAATTTTGAACTGTAAAGGCTGAGATTTTTTAAGGGTTCAAATTTTTGCAACTGCACATTTTTATAACAGATGCCAAACTTCAGATTGAGAAAAGCAATATGTTGCCATTTGACTTTGCCTTTGTTTCCTGAAAAATTAACTTAAAATTACATTTGATGTGGAATGAGGATTGAAGTAATAGGTTATTCCGCTGTTTTTTTCTTCAGTTTCTGAAACACCTGGACAGTATACACAAATCATATTCTGAGCTAGGCCAGGATGTTAAAATCAAAGTGACATCAAAAACAAATTTAGGTAAATTTTCAATGTTTTATTAAAATTTTCATAAATTTTTAGTACATTCATTTTTTAAGAATATCAGTGGCATATATTACATATTTGTGCATTTATTAAATACCTCACCTTACGTCAATGGAAATCTTTCAGCTCATCTCTTATCACAAACCCAGAAATGTTTATGTATTCATGGTGTTGTTTTTCAGTGCTAACAAGTCAAATGGCTCTAGAAAACTTTCAAGAATGCTTGACTATACTGGATGAATCTATTCAACGAACAACTGGGCCTGAAGCATCATGTATTTCAACAATAACATCTGAACAATTCTGTTGATGAATAATTCCTACATACATGTGACAAATGAACAAAAATTCTGCCAAAATCCTCTTCAGTATGTGAGGCAGTCAGGCAGAGGTCATAGCTTTTTAAAATGGATGACCGCTTTGCATGCTTTACCAATCAAAAGATAAAGAGTATTTATATTAAACCATTATATGCCTGACAACAGTGCGAGAACGGTTGAAAGTATTAACTATTCTGGAAGTATCCATAAATGATAATGTCTTATTTATCTATAACTTGTTCACATATGCTGTTGGTTGACTTACACATCATTAGTCATTACCCTTAACTTAACCAAGCTTTATTTGGATTTTATCAGCTGGAATTAATTGAATTTGACAAGTCTGTAACATTTATTATTGACATAGCTGCAAGAAAATACCTTCAATGACGCAGTTAAAATAAAACCTACACAAACAGATCAATAAAGTTGGGGGAGTTTTGCTGACACCAACAGTAATTTCAACTGCTAATATTGATTACACTGGTTGAGCTGGAAACAGATGGTTACCAAATTAATTTTATTCTCATTATATGCTTAGAAATAAAGATCATATTGACAATGTTTTCCTTGCCCAAATAATAGGATAGGCTGACAAGGAAATGTGTCAAATTTACATCTTTTGAGCATGACACGTATGTTGGGGACCATTAACATTATGCCCCTTACATTGTGTGCTGCAAACATGTTTTTTATACATTTATCCAACTGAAAATATATTTCTGGTAAAAAGGAAATCTTCATCCTTAACAAAGCTAAATTTTAGAATTGAGCTATAGAAAGTAGTCTGTAAGCCTATTTTGGCAAGACCGTTTTCAAAGGGACGATTTTCACGGACGATCGAAATTGTTCATTGCAATGCAAAGTGCTCAGAAATTTTGATTTCCACAGTAAATGAAACTTAATGGTGACGTTATGGCTGTTTTGACGTCATCGACGAAGCGAAAAAAAAATAGCGGCTTTCATCTGAGACGAAGACGAAAAATCAAGAAGGTGGTCAGTGCCACTTGACAATTTCCTGCTCAGTCAAACACACTCATGGATAAAATCTGATGTCAAATTTTCCTTTTCACCCATTAAATACAGTTATTTATTGTGAAAAAAGACTATTTGGTTCTACCACTTGATAGTTACAAAAGCTTTGACCACTCGTAAGTTCACACTAGAATTAGTCGTTAACTTACGATAAATTTGATCTTATGATTTTTTGAGAAAAGCCATTTACGCCATCAAATCAACACTTACGACCTACGACTGATCGAAAGATTTTTTGAAATATTAGGTCCCAGGGTATTTAAGAAATACATCAATCAATCTTATTGGAAAATAAAACTAAATTAAAAAACAATTCTAGCAATCGACCAATCAGATGACTACTAAAATCATTTGAAGTTTTCAAGAATAAAGCTCCAGGTTCTGCTTTTGCATTATATATTCAATGTATATATATATGAGATTGAAGTATAAATCTGTACATGCAAACGATTCCAAATTCGATAACATTTAGGAATGTTAATGAGGGGCACCATTCTAAAATCTTGGCATCTCCATAATAAATAACAGGAGCAAGCAAATTCGACAATATACCCAGTTTGTATCTATATGTAGTATAATTAATTATGCTCTAGTAATTTATGACAATACATGTTAAGTAAACCATACTTATTGCCTGCAGAAAGATTCATCACTGGCTTTTGATATCAAATAGCTTGAAAGATTCAGCATAGCTTTGCAGTTACTGGTACAGTCTTATCTCAGCTTGGGAGTCTCCATGAAATCCATCTAAAAGGGAAAACTCATTTTCTAAAACAGTGTCAGTTTCAACTCTTGATCAAGATAAAAGATACAGCAAAAGAAATGATTCAATTAAAAACTTTTACCATTGCTTTATGCTATGGCAATGAAGGAAATGCAATATTCCTTAGGACATATTGGAGGAAAAATTTACATACATAAAGTAGAAAACTACCTTAGTATTACCTGGTCAAGTCCAGTATATCCAGACTACATCAGACACCAAGATTCAAGGCCTAGCTGATACTGAAAAGAAAATCTCAGAATATTATTTGGAATTAAGTAGTTTGACACGATAGTCAACATCCAATCATTTGAATACATAAGCTTACTGGGCTGGAATAAATTCAATGTCAAAGAAAATGATTAGATAAAATCAGTAAATAATTAGTATGATTGAAGTTTTTTTTTCACAAATTTCAAGTAAGCATATATGTAGTTCAAACTTTGGCTGTTCACCAAGAAAACAACACATACTTTGTATTATAATTTATACTTTTAAAATGTCAAATTACAGACTTGTACTTTAGAGTACATGATTCTGATAAAAATTGCAAATAATAATTATAACAAAACAGAACAATTTTAATAGGAAATTCCATTGCGAACTCTTGTCTCAGCTTCCTTGTTCTCCACTTGTACACATATCACAACTTTTATCCCGGAGTAAACCAATCAACTTTTTATTCCTAAGGTGTACGACATTTACAATCATTCAGATTGAAGTTCATCAATTTGTTTTTTCATTTGACTGTTTTCGTGCTTAAGTATTTCTAGTTCATTTAAAAGTTCTATCATATCTGATCTTATGTTGGACCTCGATTTTTTGGGACTACGGCCTAAAGATTTAACAGGGCTAGAAAAGAACCTTCTTTCTTTTACAGTCACTTCATTTTCTAAATTTTTAACTGCATTAATAAGCTCTGGTTTTGACAACCTAGACAATTGTTCTGCTCTAATGGAGTCATACATTTGATCAAAATCATTCATCATAAATGCAACAGAATCAACATCACTAAAACTACAATCCATTTCAAAACTCTGGCACAAATCAAAATCTTGATCGTTATTGTTAACAGCATTACAAATAACTTCGTCTGACGCCGATGGCGACAATTTACAGTCTGCTTGGCGATTTGGAGAGAAAAAACTTTGATCTTCTGCAACCTGGAACATGTGATTATCTTCGTGTTCTTCCATTAAATACTGTGTAGAATTGTGTGGTGCTTTTGGGCTGCTTGGACGAATACAATTTTTAGACTTTTTAATGGGCCTATACTTAGCGTTCCTTTGGTTGGACACTTCTGCAGCTCTGTCACGTATAATTTTACTCATGAGATGATCCATTCCGCTTTCATTTGCCACAATATTGATATCATTGTTTTGAAAGAGTTGAAAATTACCATTTTTTTCTTCACAATTCAGTCCTGAACCTTCTCTAACTTTTCTCCCACATCTTTTTCCACGACGAGTCTTCTTTCTTTTCTTTGCTGCTTCCAAATCCATGACAATATTTGTTATCAAATTCAACATTATCCGATAAACACTTCTGCAAACACTTTCACGTCTTCACTAGGCAAGCGATTTCTCGAGAATGACCATAGGGAGCTTACCAACGCCTACTTAAACAACGTGGATCGTTGCCAATACGTTTATGTCGTCAGCTGGACGTAATTTCCCTGTCAACCAATCAACGTCCAGAATTTCACCAACTCAACTACCTCAGTTACTATTTTTGGTAACAAGCTCAAACTTGCTGTTTCTATTTTTAGAACAATAGTTGTTACGCTAGCGCTTTGTTTTTTTTTTATCACAAACTAAAAAAAAAAAACCGTAAGCTTTCTTTCAATTTTTCGATTATGTCCTCAATAGTTACGTTTGAAGTCATTAATAAATTGATTTTTAACTAATTGCGACATCGACGTATCCTTCGGTTCGAGGTTGCAATCTATTTTTAGATTATGAGAGAAATCTCACTGACTTAGCCATATCAGTACTGAGGATGTCTATGTCGAATCACAATAATTATTTAGATAACGCCATATGTTTTCACTTTTCTTTTCATATACGAAGGTATAATTTTAGAAGAACATTTTTGAATAATTGGAAACTGTTTGTGAACAATACATAATGCCGAAGAACAAGAAAAGAGGTGAGGTGGTATTTTGTTGTTGCCATTCCTTCAATGCCAATGAATGGGGAAATGTGTGACATTGTGTGAATTTCTGACTAGAAAACCGCGAAACACGTGGCTTCACTTGCTAATTAATGAGTGGTGCTGTGTTAGGAAATAAGTCTTAACCGATAATTAATAGGCCTAAAGTATCGCTTGCGGTTTTCTGCTTATTATTATATAATTATTATTATTATCATAATTTAATATCTGGATTTTTTTACGTCTAGGACTAGTCGTCTACCATTTCTACGCAGTGAAGTGGTTTGTCACGTGTTTGTGATTGTGGCTCATTTTAGTACACTGACCTTCACCTTCCATTGCCTTCTTTATCCCATCAATTTATTATAAAATCTGCCTATATTGTGTGATAATATAAAAAGGCGGTGACTGTAACTCACCTCAATGATCCTAGCCTAGATAGGCCTAGCTAGTACTAGGCCTACCGGTATCTTAAGTTCTATACAGTGGTGTTACGGTACCTATATTCGGGTTAAACACCAGAACCAAAAAAAAAATTTTATGTCTTAGAATCCAATGTTTATTCAGATATTCTATGAAATATTTCAAAATGTTTCGATTTTCTTTATGAAAGCCCCACTTCGACCCATATTTCATGAGTAACCAACTCGACAACCGCTTCAAACTGCGTGGTTTGAACCCAGTGGTATAGGCCTATTTATCATTTAATATCAAGTCATTATAACTCGTGAAAATTCCTTCAATGAACAATGATTTTAAAAAAAATATAGTGACTGTCAAAATAAGATAAGTAAAACGTAAGAGTAATTTATTGCTGAAAGTCATTGAAACAACATAAGACTATGGCCTACACTGTGTCCATAGAATTTTTCTGCTGACATAGAATCTGCTAGTTTGTCAGGTGGCTTTGTTTCCTGGATTCATATATTCTTGCAGACGACACTTGGAATTTTGAGTACAGCTGGGGATTATAATGAAATTTGGCTGATAAAAAATTGTGATGTTTGGTAATATCTGAAATCCGCCATTTTGTATGTTAGAAATAGATAATAAATCAAGCATTGCTTTGGAAAAATTCTGCAGGTTGACGTTATAGAGATAACCCACGTTTATGAAAACATGCAAATGCTGATGTAGCACAAGGTTGCACATGTAATCATTTCTGGAAATGCACCAAATTAGGTTAATTACTGTATACTGACACTGAAAAAGTTCCTGAGAGGAAATTATAACTTCCTAGCGAGGATAATCGATTATTTCGATCATGTTACTCAGCCCTATCTATTAAGTTTAACCTAACAGAAGTTTTGCTACGTATGCAGTTTAAACTTGAAAGTTTGACCTACAAAATTTTTAGACTAATCCACACATGTAGCCTACAGATTTGACCTGATACTGACAGCTGTTCAGTTCACTATGTTACATGAAAAAGGATTTTTAGCATATTGTCCATATAATGTTTAAAAATGGTAAATCTACTTTGAATTTTAGACTTTCGCATGTGATTAATACAAATTAATGATCAAATATACAGGTACGGTACATAAAATGTTGATTATTTTCAATAATTTTTGTTGATAAATGTTATTATAGCTTTATAATTTAAACAATGGTTCTAGACTTTCAGATTTGATTTTATGTGACTTCATAATATAACATATATAAAATACATTGTCACCTTGATTTATTGAAGCCAACTGTTCTGAAAATATTTAGGGTGGAGAAAATAGCCTCCTCTTTCTAAAGCCGAAAAACAGACATCTGCAGACCATGGTTGATGGATTGTCGCCTGAGAGACACAATTTTTTTTTATTTGATGCACACCATTTGGGAAGTTTAAAGGAATGTACTTCTACATTCTCCTTAAGGCTATGAATTTAGGAACCTAGCGAAGGTAACTTTCTTTATTCAGGTCTCTACTTTTACCAATTACCATAATATTATTATTATCTGTTGTTATTGTAGCTAAGGTACAGAAGGCTGGTGGTGTAGTGGTATCTAGACCACCAACTGATGATGAATATGATACAGCTGATAATATTAGTACAGTTAGTCATTTATCAGATGATGTAGTCAGCATTGCTGAGTCTGGTAAGTAGTTTTATATAAAAGAATGTGATCCCATGCAATCTAATTTAGATGTAGTTCCATAATCTTAAATACATATACATATGTAATCTTTACTATTATATTAAAGTCTGTTTTTTTTAGGATCTGCTCATCCATTCCAGATGGAATGAAATAACCTCTAGAAAATAGTAAATAAAGTATCTGGCTATATTTTTATACGCCCACGTATATTGCCGTCGCCCCTGTCCGTCGGTCCGTCAACATTTCTTGTGAACACAATAGAGACTACAGTTTTTAACTGATTTTAATGAAATTCGGTTTGATCATACATATTGATGAGATCTTGGTCAAGTTCGAATTTGACGATCTTTTGATGAACGGTTTTTGAGTTATTGCCCTTGACTTATGCAAAACACGTCAAAATTTGTTTGTGAACACAATAGACACTACAGTTTTCAACTGATTCTAATGAAATTTGATGTGATCATTTATATTGATGAGATCTTGGTCAAGTTTGAATTTGACGTTCTTTCGATGAACGGTTTTTGAGTTATTGCCCTTGACTTAGGCAAAACGCGGCAAAATTTGTTTGTGAACGCAATAGAGACTACAGTTTTCAACTGATTTTAATGAAATTTGGTGTGATCATTTATATTGATGAGATCTTGGTCAAGTTCGAATTTGACGATCTTTTGATGAACGATTTTTGAGTTATTGCCCTTGACTTAGGCAAAACGCGTCAAAATGTGTTTGTGAACACAATAGAGACTACAGTTTTCAACTGATTCTAATGAAATTTGATGTGATCATTTATATTGATGAGATCTTGATCAAGTTTGAATTTGACGTTCTTTCGATGAACGGTTTTTGAGTTATTGCCCTTGACTTAGGAAAAAGGCGTCAAAATTTGTTTGTTAACACATTAGAGACTACAGTTTTCAATTGATATTAATGAAACATGGTGTGATCATGTATATTGAGGAGATAATTTGATGTATTTGGGTTATTAATATTAAATTTCTTTAATATGAGAAAATTCATACTTTAGTCACTAAAGACTGTTTTATCATTTCTGCCAGTGGGCATATGTTACCTTGCCTGGCAAGCTATCTTTATTATATTGGATTCAATGGTTTTATTAACCGAAATAAATGGTAAAATTGTGATTATGTTAGGCCCTCTATGAGCTTCAGGTCTATTAATTTAGTCACTAGGCTTATTCACACTAGTGTAGAATTGATACAGGATGTATGTTAAGAGTTATCATTAATTTAAAATTAAATGCTCTTATTTATTGTACTTTTAGGACTAATGAGGCTTGCTTACTGGAATGGCACATCTCTCCTAGCCTATTTATATCTTTGTTATATAATGTTTTATAAATTTGATATTTTAGTTAATGAAGCTGAAGTAGACGAAGCCAGCTCTCAAGAACTATTTGAAGATAAGCTGAAAGAATATATTGAAGGTACAACACAGAAATGTACTCAGGGAAGAATAAATTGTTTGGAATTTATCAAATCTGCTTTGAGTAAAAAGTACATGGATGAGTTTTTGATGGATAGGTAAGTTTCAAGGTTTAAATGAATCAAGATTGTCAGGGCCCTGTTTCTTACAATCAGTTGTAGGATGATTTGATCGTAAATAGCGTTTTTCATTTCCTAATCAGGAAATTGTACGGTACTGATCACTCTCACAAGTTTTCTTCTTTGTCTCAGTTGAGAGCCGCAATTTTTTTCTTTACGCTTCGGCTATGACGTCAAAATAGCGGTAACATCATCATTGAGTTTCATTGACTGTGAAAATCAAAATTTCAGAACGATTTAAAGTGCAGTGAACAATTTTTGCTCACCCCTAGAAATTATAGCTTGGAAAACGGTCTTACCAAAATAGGCCTACAGGTTGATTTTGATAATGACGAAAAACCCATAAAATCTTGAACATGGGTCTTCAGCTCAAGAGGTAACAAAATTTGAATGTGTAATTTGACAAAATTTGAAGAAATAACCTTTATCTTTGGAAATTTTGTTATTGCATTATGTTTATCATTTTTACACCAATATTAATGTGTCAATGTGTCATTTGATCATGTTATGTACTATTTCAGTGGACTTTATTTTATTATATAAATATTTCTATATAATTCTTATGTATTTTGTAGGAAAGTTACATTAAGTGAAAATTTATTGAAATGTATAAAGAAAGGTAAAGGAGATGAACAAGCATTGGCTGTAACATGTTTTACTTTGTTAATAATACAGTTAGGAATAGAAGTTGAAGATATATTCAACGAGTTCAGACCAATGTTATTGAATCTATTGAATGATCATTCTGTAGCTTTAAAAGCCAGATCACAGGTGTGTTATTTATTAATTTATTGCGTTTTTTTTCTATTATTCTACATTTTGGACCTTATGTAATGTACATAATTTCAAATTTTCCTTTAAAATACACCAAAATTGCAACTTTTAATCAATTTTAACTATGAGTAATCCAAAACAAAATTAATATGTGAAATGTATTTATTTTAATTTCAGAGTACTATTTGTTTGTCTATTGGAAGTTTCTTAGCTTGTGATGATATTGAAGTAAGTTTCCATAATATTATATTACAAACATAATATATTTGCCTTTGACTGATTTTCATTTGAAAAATTGGATATTTTTGCAATACACCACCATACATTTTCATTGTGATTTTTTTTTAAATAGCACATATATCTTTGATATTTTATGGCACATTTTTTTCAAATACGGGACAGACAAGTTAAGGAAATCAGAATATTGCAAATAGAAACTATTCCTCTCCTTTGAACTGCTGTTAGATAGCCTGGCAAGTTCAATCATCTGGAAGATACAAATATAAAACATTATACTTCAATTATAGATTGTAAAAAGTGTAATGAAAAGTTTAGAAGATGTATTTAGAAGTTCATATAGGAAGGGAGATAATTCTACACCAAATATTAACACAGACACCTGTCAATTTCATTCAAATGCCTTACAAGCTTGGTGTTTATTGTTATCTATAGCCCCAGCATTTATAGTTAATGATGTTATAGCTAGGTAAGACACTGTTTTTAAATTATATTTAAAGAATTCTGTATGAATTAGGTTGCAATAAATGCAGATATTGCCCTATGTCCCATTTCTGTTAGTAATTGTATTTCTGTAGAAACAATAGTGACAGATCTATAGACACAGCTTTATGGAACAACAATCACTGGTTAAAGTTTTATGCAACGTTTTGACATGTTTCGTCGTCCTCAGAAGTTACAGATCTGTTAAAAGATTGGAACAGAACTCGTAGGCATTGTTCTGATACTGAAAAATCTTGTTAATCATATTAGACACTTCAGATGTCTGTTATTTGTTCTACTGATACACTAACGCACTAATATAAATAATTTTTGTTTTTATTTCAGTCACCTTACTAAAATACCTGATTTATTATTTAGTAAAGATTTAGATTTAAAAATAACAGCTGGTGAAACATTGGCTTTGTTATATGAATTAGCTAGAGAGACAGATGAGGTAATTTATTCTTAAACATACCAGATTTTACTGAAGGGATATACTCATTTAATTATGAGAGTCAACTGCTGGTTCAACATTTAAGTAATAAAATTGTAGATGAACTGAATGTTTGATTTTCTAATATTGATAATGGTAACTAAAATCAGTTTCAGATCAAAATGAAATTCCTGGAGTTATGCTGGGGAAGAAGTATAATCAATTGTTTAAAGTTGAAATATATAGATAATATATAAATTGATAAGAATAGATTACATATAATTTGGATATCTTATTAATTTGAAAATTGCAGCTTAATAAAAGTTTGAATTGTTATATGTTTTCAGGAGTTTGAAGGAGATGACATTGAAAGATTGTGTGAATTATTAAAAAATTTAGCCACTGACTGCCAGAAATCTCAGGCTAGAAAAGATAGAAAACAACAACGTTCCAGTTTTAGAGATATTCTCAGAGCAATTGAGGTGGGGTTTGAATTCAGTTTCTGATATAGTTTGATGCAATGAATATTACTCAAATTTCTTTCGAGATATTGCAGCTCTTAAAGCTATATTGTATCCTTCTGTTTACCAGAAAAGTGGATTTATTAAAAAGAAATATAAAACTCTCATTTGAGAACTGTATTAAAGAACTATACAAGCCAATTTTATAATTTAAGGAAGCTGACTCTCCTCGTACATTAGTAAAATTTGGTAGTGAACAAGTTTTATTAAATAGTTGGTCAAGAAAAAAACAATACGATATATTTTGTCATGTTATGGGTACTGGTGTAAACCTCCACTTACAGGTAATATTATCATCATAGTATTTTTCTTATATACTTTAGACAATACTACAATTTTTATCTGCCCACATGTTCAATTTTTTTGCCATTTTTTTTTGTTCACCAATTCTTGATGTTTGTTCTTTTAGTCACACAGGTTTTGTTGTATATTTGATGAAACCTGGTTGTCTTTCAAGGATGCACCTTATCAAAATTCAGTTATTTACGAATAAAGCCACAATTTTGTAAGCATTTAAAGATGAGTTTCCTTGTTTTTTAGTGTCAAATTAAGTAAACTATTTGAGTTATTAGTGTTTCTAATGAATTATCATGTATTATAAAACTCTTCTTATTAAATATAATTAAGAGTTTAAACCAATCATAAGTGTCCATGTATGTACAGTCTGAGATATATGAGACAAACTGGTATTTTTTTAAGTCTTTAGAACACTTCTACTTTCTATTCATATACTTATTGGCATTGGCATTAGGAGCCCATCTTTAAGGTTAAAAAGTGCATGTTGCGACTCTGCTAAATGTTTCAATTTATACAATGCTGCAAGTGGGTGTATGTTTTTAATTGAAAGGTGAATTTTTGTAGTTATTTAAATGATAAGGAAGGTATTAAACTAAATGATTTTATTTTGCAGCAATAATTTCTATAAGATATGATTTAAATCTATGTTTTTCAGTTTAATGAATTATTAAGACAGATATTTGATTTGGGGCCAGTTATACCTGTAGGTGCTGTAAGAACTAAATTATCTAAATTTGAAAGGGTGAGTTCTTTTACATTATCAATTGCAGGTGTTGTTAAAAAATTCAAAATAGTAATTATTGCTGAAAAACCAGATATGAAATGATATTAATTTTAATATTTTATCTTTTGTAGAATCAGTATAAAGCAGCAGCTTTTAAAGCTAGAACTAAAGCAAGATCTAAACACAGAGACAAGAGATCTGTTACTGCTAATTGTTTTTGATGATGATGAACCTTAGTTTGTTTTTTTAATCAAAGAATACAAGTGTTTTTAGTTCAAAATGGTCTCATGTACTAGACATTTTTTAATGTAAAACCAGACAAATATTTTTATTTTTATGGATTTTGTTCTTGATCAAAGTATAAATATTGTTATAATTATAATTTTGTAATAAAAATTTGCACATTAAAGAAAATTTCAGGTTCAATTTTTTATACGAAAATATAATTAGTTTTATTTTGCTCAAGTTCATATCTTTTGTGAGTCATTGTTATTTATGAAATATACATCAAAATGTTAGGTATTTAATAAATTTTCTTTCTGCTGTGATATTGCTGCTTTTATTCTATCACTCTAAATTTTCTTTGTATATAGTAAGGTGTAGTATAATAGTTTGATATTGCCCTGTCTACATTGACCCAAATGTATAATAAAAAAATTTAAACACATGCTTTTAAAGCCCAAAACAGATACCATAAATGCCTGTTCATTAAAAACAAAGGAAATTGAATCACTTCTGTTATTGTTGTGTTATGTGATGTTTCTATTAGAAACAAAAGTTATATGGAAAATGAAATAATTTTGTATAAAAAAAAAAAATGGAACTGGTCATTTAAAAAAAAAAATAGTGCTTTATAGTTATATTATTTTGGAAAAAAAACAGGAGTATAAACAAAAGAAAAAAACATAAAAAGGAAAATAATAAACAGTTGTAATTGGTTGTATATAGGTATTTACAAAATTTGTTTATTTCTGTCATAATGTTAAGAATGATTTGTTTGATGTTAGATTGGTTAAAGATAATAATGAAAAGTAAAAAAACTGAAAATACATCTTTGTTTGGTATTGGGTTTCAATATGGTTGTACAATCTTCTTTTTAAAAAGATTTCTATAAAAGTACAATAAATAAAACCTTTCTTTAAAATGTAGTTTTATTGGATACAAGATGGTATTTTATCAAAAAGCAAATATCCCAGTAGGCATTGACTATTTACAGTCTAGCCCTTTCCATCATCTTCTCTTTCCACTCAACCTTCACAAAAGTCGCTTATAATATCTAACGGCCCTCAAGTGACCTTATGAAACGCTTAGTTTTGGTGAATTTTCAAGAGCCACATAAACTAGTGTCCAAAAGAAACGATACCACCTGTTTGCAACGACATAAAAGAAAAACTAAACAATGCAGAAGTTTAGGATTGGTGTTATGCTTTTGAAAAATCCTTTCACAACATCTGTACAAAAATTTCATTTCAATAAAATCTGTACAACCAATATGACAAGCCTTTAAAGATGGGTGGGGTCGAAAAAAGAACATTTCGTTAGAGCACTGATCACAGAAACAACGGGAAATGTCACACCACACGTCACAAAGTCAAGTCAGTAGCGGGTATGTCCACCGTGAGCATCAATGCATGCCAGAACACGCCTACGGACTGATGCCGTCAAACGTCTAATGACGTTGGGAGTGATTCGTTGCCATTCCTCGAGGAGACATCGTTCCAAGTCCTGGACGTTGACTGGAGGCACACGGCGACGTCGGATTTGCCGATCGAGGTGGTCCCATAAGTGCTCGATGGGATTCATGTCCGGTGAAGATGCGGACCATGGCAAAACCTGTACTTTGGCGTTGGCAAGGAAGTTCTGTGTCAATCTTGCTGTGTGTGGCCTTGCATTGTCATGTTGGAAAAGGAGTCCACGAGGCTGTTGCTGAATAAAGGGCACCACAACAGGCCGTAGGATGTCATCAATATAACGCTGTGCATTCAGGTTTCCACGAATTACGACAAGCCTCGTTTTGACGTCACCACATATGCCACCCCAAACCATTAACCCTCCGCCTCCAAACGACCGGACCTGTTGGATACAGTTAAGCGCCAAACGTTCACCAAATCGTCGGTATACAAGCTGCCGTCCATCGTTTTTGAAGATGAGGAATCTGCTCTCATCAGGGAACATAACACGTGCCCAGTCCCGCCGTTGCCAACGTCGAACTCGCCTGGTCCAGATCAGTCTGTTGTTCCGGTGTCGAGGCGTCAGGAGCGGTCCGCTGTAGGGATGACGTGGCCGGATACCATACTGCCGTAGTTTCCTGTAGACGGTCTGTCGACTGATCCTGTGTCCCAGTGCTGTAGCCGCCGTGGACGTCGCTGTTACGGTGCGGTTCCTCAGGTGTAATACCCGGATGTAACGATCTTCACGGGGCGTGGTCTTCCACTCCTGGGCCTGTCTGACGTCTGACCTGTCTGACGTAACCGCTGCATCAACCTGGTGATAGTGATGCGTGCGCAGTCCAACCTTCTGGCGACGTCGACGTGTGTCGCTCCTTGTTGGACCATTCTAACGGCTCTCTCTCTCTCCATGGCTGTCAAACGTGGCATATCTTGTGTTCTTTTTGTTGCTGTGATATCAACGTGTCTGATCAGCCGTTTTATACAGTTTTTATGCACGAACAGAACATGCTAGAGAGGGAAATGTCACTTTCACGAAATTTACGTTTTTTCCCCGGAAGTGATGACGTGTTCCCGGTATTTTTATCGACTATGCTGTGTTTGGGATGTGCAATACGAATTGGCATGTTTTCATATTAGACAATTCACTTAGTAAAAAACAATTTTGAAAATAAGTTGGTATCGTATCTTTTGGACACTAGTTTATCTTGACCGAAAATTAGAATGGTTCAAATACAGTCGAACTTCGGGAAATTTCGATAGAAGGCAAAACTGACATAGGCCCATCCAATCAGAGAGCGATTGTTCATCATGTTGTTACTTACAGACCTTTCATTGCTACGATCTTCATATCCGGTTAATTTCGGTCACTTGAATGAACCCAATAGAGATGTTCCTTCGAATACGGTGCCTGTGAAGGAATATGTTGAAAAAACAGTCATAAGGTCACGTATTTGTTTTGAGGTGACTTCCGTATAAAGGTTTCCATCGAGTGGAAATCCATTTTGTGTTCATATGGCAAAGATCTATATTTGAATATTTTTGTGCCAGAAAAGTCAATTGTTTCTCCGTCACACGTCAGTACGTCAGTAAACACGTCAAACACGTCACACGTCGATTCTACCTTTACTGTGTTTGTAATGTATATTTCTGTATTGTTTGGCATATCAACATATCAAAATTGGTCTAGTTATGTTGTTCGTGAAACTAGAAAACTACCCACATTGTGACATGGCCCGCCTACATCATCAGCATCTTCATTAGCACCATCATTAGCACCATCATCATCCGCACCACAACTATCATCAACAGTATCAGCACCACCTGTATCATCGTCATCGTTACCAGCACCACCACCATTATCCCCGTCATAAACTATGAGAGTGATTCACGGAATCTAAATCTGTCAGACTTTAAGTGTCGCAAACTATTTATTTGTATGGTGAATGTGCGAATAAAATTACAACACGATTTAATTAAGCCCGTAAATCATACGAACTGGATTCTTTTCAGTCGTCATGTGTACAAAGTTCTTGAAAATTCGAGATGTAGGCCTAAATTGAATCGGCCAATTCACAAAAAAAAGTCTTGGATTATTCAAGCTGGCGGCGACAAAAGTTTGGGAGAAAAGTTTCCCAAAAGAGAAGGCGTCTTTAACGCCTTTTTAGTGCCTGAATCTTTTAACTCCGTCTTCGTCAAGCCTTGGTTTCATATCAAATGGCCTCTCCGCCGAGAACTTTTTTTTATGATATTATGGGGGAGAGGGGTGGGGGGCGTGGACTAATTTTTAAAAAAATCTTTATGGTAGTTGAGCCACTGCTGTCATCGTGAAATTTATTTACTGATCTTTAATCTGCGACGTGAAGGGCTGATGTAGCGGTGATAATCTACATTTTCCAATGGAACGTATACGAAATTGAACAATAATTGTATTAGATAACTACACTTATGAAAATGGACAGGATGAGGTTTATAAAATTGTGAGATTAAAGTTTTGTATTCGGTGCTTCAATTTCTGCTGAGGTATTCTTTGGATCAATAATGTAGATGGTACTAGGACTTGAACCGTTAACATTATCAGCCTGTGATATACTTAATTCACCAAAATGTCCATTACCGATATCATTTGAAGTTGCAGTTCTTTCTCTCTCCTTTTTTGTCATAAATAACCGTTCTACCTCTTCTAATGAAAGGTTCTTTGTTTCTGGTACGAATATGGCAACAAAAACGACCCCCAGCAAACAAAATCCACCATATAACCAAAATGTACCTATAAAAGAAGACCGGGATCAGTGGCGGAGCCAGGTTTACGTCTCTCTTCGAGAGAAACACTATTGTTATTGGCGAGTATTTTCACTCTTTCTAGAACACATGATACTACCCCCCTTAGGAGATCCACAAGTATTCAGTTTAATTTACGGGATGTACTGTTTTCACCCGATGTTGGGTGAGAATTTCGGCTAAGGGATATGTTATGACATTCGGGCAGTGATTTCGATCCTTAAATAATATGAATTATGAAATATTATTATAGGAGAATACAATCGGGCTATCAATTTAAAAAAAATACAGTTATAGTATAGGATATTCGGGCAAAGATATGACCGGGATGTTATCGTCAAGAAATAGATTAAATTTTATCATCTGGTATATACCTATTTCCATTTGATTGAACCACTATCCAAACACTTACCTATAGAAACATGGATACAGAAATATTTTGCTATTTGGGTCATGGCCACGTTTGTCCTATTCAGGTCGGGTCCTTAAAATCAGTAATTACTTTGTCTCCTTTTGGATGTTGTGATCAACATACAAATTTTGATAATAGCATAATGTACAGAATGTTTAGCTTTATTTAGTACACCGATCTTGAGATTAGCATACAAATATAGATAATAACAAGGTTTTGCACTTGTAATTGAGAATCATCAATATATTACTTCTCATATATATATGGTTCATATAAAATACGTGAAAATATATTCATTCTTATGAAACACAATCCGTGTTGTAAGCCTACCATCTATGTCTTTAAACAATGAATATGACAAATAATATCTGTTATATGTTTTTATGATCTAAAATGAAGATAATTCGTTTCATGATTAACTACAAACCTAGATCTATAACGTAAAGCACAGTACGCAAAACGTCATTTCACAGAATAGTTATAAGTATGAGAAAGTAATACCCACCATAGTTTGTAATAGTCTCTGTTAATGTTAGAAATGTAAATGATATTATCAAATTTAGAATCCAATTGACTGCTGTGGCTATGGAGGTACTGGTACTTCTGGCCCATAACGGATATATTTCAGAATTTATAGTCCAGGGCATAGGACCTAATCCTAGAAAATGTAAAGTGATAAATTCGGAAAGGGAATTTATAATGCCGTCGCACTCATATTAAGGTATCCTTAATACCAGCAACCTCAGAGATAAGAATGGAGTCTTTTTTGTACTACTGAAGCGTCCTTATTCATTGAAGTAATGACAAGCTATTTGGATGAGATTTTGATTAACAGAATTGTCTTGCTTGTACGGATTTTAATTAAGTATGTTCCAGTACAACCGATACTTCAGTGAGTAAAAGCATAGATTTAAAAAGTAACGGCATGTCGTGCCAGCTATAAAATAATGTAGTAGACAAGGAGATCATTTGTTTAAAGCCAGATTGGATGGTGCATACCTGGAGCAAATGCAAAAACAAAAAGACCTAACCCCAAGACTGCCATCCATGTATAATCAGTTGGACAGTAGCCTTGTGACCATTGAAAACCATCTGCTAAATCAGTTGTATTTCCCATTTTACTACATCGACCATACTCTGAAAATTCTTCATCTTGAGCATAAATACATGAAGCTGTTGATAATTCATCATAACAAAAACCACAAACTTTGTTTTCTATACATTGTTCACATGTTCTGTAAAGATATTAAATTCTAAAACTTATTTCTGTAGAATAACCTTCTCAAACACTAGAATCTGAAAACATTACTTCATAATATATAAGTTCACAATCAGCAAACAGGAAGTTCTATAGGTTCTTATTATATTGCATAAGATTGTCCGACCATGGAATGAGTTGAATGAAACATATTTTAGAATAAACATTCTAGGAAATTTTGAGACCTTTTAAATCAGTCTTGATTTCAAGTTTTTGCTGGACGTCTTTGTCTTTTTGATCAATTTTGAATTGAATCTAGACAAAAGACAAGTAAAGCCACTATTCGTTTTGATTTTCTTTCTTCTTACGTGTAAGTGTTGTTGGTACATTCGTCATTTAGTACAGTATTATTAGGATAATATTCTGTTACATTCTTGTTGAGCGCTGGAGAATACACAGAGGATAGTTGAAAACCAATGGCTAAAACCGCCAACGCTATAGCCACTCCTACAATATATCATAAACAATATTATTAACATAATAACAATACAGATAATCTAAGAGTAAAATGTAAAGGAAGGCAAACGTAATTATGCAAAACCTGGTGTGCACTACATTCGCTATGCATTGTATGATGTGTTGAGCCAGTCTGGGCGACCAGTCCGTTGTCAAGCACTAGAAAAAGAATTCTCAATATCCCGGAGGCATCACTGGAGTTTTGGAAGTAGATCATTGCAACTTCTGAAAGCTAGCTTGTCAATTGTTAGAAGCAGGTCAATGTCAAGCTCTAAAAGCAGACCAATATCAAGTTCGAGAAATAGGCCAATGTCAAGCAGACCAATGTCAAATTCTAGAAGCACACCAATGTCATGTTCTAGAAGCTGGTCGATGTCAAGTTTTAGAAGCAGGCCAATGTCAAGTTCTAGAAGCAGGCCAATGTCAAGCAGACCAATGTCAAGTTCTACAAGCTGGCCGATGTCAAGTTCTAGAAGCAGGCCAATGTCAAGTTCTAGCAGCAGGTCAATGTCAAGCAGACCAATGTCAAGTTCTACAAGCAAGTACCAGTCAGAATGAATAGAGGTTAGATTATAGAAGCTGATTATTGGGAATATACAGACCTATCAAACTAATAATTGTAAGAAATCTTCTTCCTAACCGCTCCACCAACCACAAACCAATAAATGTTGACAGAAAATTGATAGTATTGGGCACCATGACTAACCAAATGGCATATTTTACTGGAAATCCCGCTAGTTTCAATATAGAAGCACTGTAATAACTGAAATAAGAAGATTCACTGACTATTTTGGAGGTTGTGGATGTTTCGGTATGCATTCTTGGCAACAATAAAAATAAATACTGTTGAATATCAGATGAAGAAAGGTATACACATATCTACCAAGAAATATATCATTACGACAGGGCTCTGATGTCTCTGCTGTTGTCGCTGCTGCTGGTGATGATGGTTGTGGTGCAGGTGATAATGTTTCTATGGGTTTCTGATGATAATATGACTGAATTTCATATTTCTACTTACATGACAGTATTAATCCCACACAACTGCTGAAAGAATTGTAAACCACAGCCAGCAAATAATGCTCTTCTGATGTGTGGGGTTTTTAATATTCTGCCAAGCACAAAGCCTCCAGCTGAAATTAAAGCAGATGTGGAATTGCTTATTTGCTTATCAAAAATGCTGTACTGATCAACTAGCTCAAATTTCATATTATATCAATATGAACGACACTGGATAGAGTTTTGTATCCAAAATGTTTATGGATAACTGATTTCAGGATATACATGTATCAGGCTTAGTGATGATTTATGCATGGGAGCAATAACACACTGTACATTTAATTAGATATATTTTTGGCTAATTTGAAACATAAATCATCTGTTTAAGTCGGCCAACAATAAACAATAATTCAAAATGCTTTGTCATAATCCAAATCAAAATATTTGTCCTGGCATTGAGATAGTTTCAAGGTTTTTCTTATCAGTCCATTTTCAAAACCTCTATTTATTCAGATGGTGCTTATTGAAATGATAAGAATCCCTCTAAGCCTGTACATTGATCAAGGATTGAAATCAAACGGAAGTACGGAAATATTTTTTTTATCATTGGGTCGTTGATATGGATTCTGTATAAGAATGACAAATGATTTTGAAATGAACAGCATCCTTGTAAATGTCGACTTACTGTTTTCTTGCGCATTTTTAGCCATAGCACTTTTCATATCTTCTATATCCTCTTCCACATCTTGTTTACCGTTAATCTTTCTTAGAACTTCTCTCGCCTGATCAATTTTACCATGTGCTGCCAACCATCGGGGACTTTCAGGCATGAATAGGAATCCAATAAACTGTATAACGCCAGGAATAGCAGCCAAACCTAACATGTACCTTAAATGATGCAACAGATTTACAACACACTGTCAAATTTGTTAAATCTGACAACCTGTAACATTACACCGATAAGTAACGAAACTGTTGCATGTGACAATACGGTGTCAAATGACAGATGTGTTGCATGTGACAGTATTGTGACAAGTGCCAACAATGCTACATATAACAAAACAGCGACAAGTGACAAAACAGTTACATGTGACAATACAGTGGCAAGTAACAAAACAGTAACAAAAGTGACAAAAATGTTGCATGTAGTAATGCAATACAATGACAAGTGACAAAGAAGTTGCACATAACAAGACGGTAACAAGTGACAACAGTTATATGCGACAATACAGTGGCAAGGGACAAAAATATCACATATGACAAGTGACAAAACAGTAACATGTGAAATTACAGTGACAAGTTTACAGTGACAAGTAACAAAACAGTAACAAAAGTGATGTATGTAGCAATACAGTACAGAGGCAAGTAACAAACAGTATACACACGTGATAAGGCTTTGACATGTGACAGAACTGTGTGACAATACGATGGCAAGTAACATAACAGTAACAAAATTGACGTAGCAATGCAGTACAGGGACAAGTGACAAAACAGTTACACGTGACAAGGCTGTGACAGATACATACGGCAATACAGTGACAAGTAACAAAACAGTAAACAGTAACATGCAACTGATAAATTAAAAAGTTATTTTAAAGTTTACAAGTAATCAGTGTCACGTCTTTTACTTGAGGTTTAAAATTGCACTCTAGTTGCATTCAATAGCTACGACAACTAGTTAAACGCGAAATTAGGTCTTTCAGTGTTGCCTTTTGTACTACTATAATATGGATATTGCTAAATACTACTAAGTTAACATGAAACAATGCGTTTCAGTAGATTAAAAACAGAAATATTTACTACGTTTGATGACTTTTAAAGTATAACAATAAATTTCAATTCCACCTAATATGATGTATAACTTTTTCCACAACGTGATTTGGCTAATTCAAAGTGCATTTTTACTGATGAAATCAAAAGACACGGAAATTATTAATTTATGATTACAGAAGGAAGTCATTTGGTTCTGCATGAAAGAAAATAATTCTTTTCAAGGGCGATAATAAACTCAAAAGATATGAAATCAAAACATGACAATATATATTAAAAAAAACAAAGGAGGGTAGACTAATTTAAATATGAGAACTGTGTGTTCATCCCTGTATAGGTGCTAAGATGAAATATTTTGACTACACTTGTTCATAGGACTTAGAAGAATGCTCTCCTAAAACATAATGTGAAACATATAATATTGTAAATATAATTATTTTCCTAAGGCTAACAGGAACAATAAGTGTCTGATCTGAATTTGATGAAAATAACAATTGCCAATTAAATCTTTGGTGACTGACTTACCTCCATCCAGTATGTTTCATGTCACTAAATATGCCAGCTACTAAACTTGAAATAACAATACCAATAGTGATAAATAACTGATTTAATGTCACTAGACGTCCCCGAATATCAGCAGGGGCTGCTTCGGCTACATACACTGGTACTGTCATGGAGGCAAATCCTGGAAAGAGAAAAAACAAATTATTTCGTTGCTGAGTTATTGGACCCCAGGTAGTCCATGAGATTGACAGAGCAACTGGTGGCATTAGAAAAGTATGACCATGCGCCAGAGTTGACACGGTTCAAGGGTAGGCTACATTGGGTTTGGTCGTCAACCTACACACTATGGTCTGTTTTTAGAGATGATTATTTACTACAGATCATGATAAAACGATAACGACTATTATTATTAGGAAAATGAAATCACAAGAGTTTTATGGACAACCTGACTGAACAGGTAATGCCATGTTTTATTTCTAGTGAGCACAAGTGGAATAATTGACCTACATTTTTTTCGATATCCACTTGGCGGGGATTATTTATCGCAGAATGGTGGCCATCTGATTCCTGAATCTGAGATCCTGTTTTCTCAACAACCATGTGCTAAAATTTCATCGCAGGTGCCAAGTTCACTATTTAAATTACTTTATGAGAAACTTTCGCCATATGCAATAGAATATCATGGAAACATCTTGATCATGTAGTCTTTTACCACCCCCACACAACTCATAGATTACAACACGATGTTAGTTTTTTCAAACCATTACAAACATATTATAACCAAGCAATTGATAGCTGGATGTGAGATAATCCTGGAAGGAGTGTGACTCAATTCCAGGTTTCGAAACTGTTTTTCACAGCGTACATCAAAGCATCTACAATGTCAACTGCAGAGAATGGTTTTGCTAAATGTGGTATTTGGCCTTGCTCACGAGGAGTGATTGAAGAACAAGAATTTTGTCCATCAACTTTAAACAATTACCAATTGATTGATGATGTACCCATCCAGGCAAACCACGCAGTTGCGGTTGCAGAAGAAATTGTTCCGTCTACCGTAAAGGAAATTAGAGTTATTAGAGAAATTTGGTTATTAGAGTAGCACCTGATGACAGATGTCTGTTTGGAAGCCTAGCTGTGGCAACGAACCCACTTTTACAGAATGGCACAAGAAACAACTATGGTTTATTGAATGATTCACTTCTACTTCTTCACGAACAGGTTCAGTCCGATCATATACGTCACCAGGTAGTCCAAAAAATGTATATTAATTTACAAATGAACATGTATGATGAATATGTTGGAGACGCCTTGAAAGCTATGTAAAGTACAAATCAATGGAAGAAAGAATTACATCAATGGCCCAACCACAAACTATGGCTGGTGAATTGGAACTTTTAGCTGATTCATCCGTGATAGGGAGACCAATACATGTATCAAAATACATACATTAGCTGCTATGGGGATTTAGAATATTCTCTGCCAGTGAAAGTGAGATACATTGGGCATTATTATTGTGTAATTTATAATTATTCTGTTTAAACTAATAATGATGCTGAGGATGTTTCTAAAGGCACAGTAAAATGTAATGAGTTAGACTAATCGATATTTCTCCAATTCCAGTTAAGATACAAAAAGTATCAAAAAGAGGATCTCGAAGTCAAGTGTCTCAAGTATTAACGTCCTTACAAGAAAAATCTTTTTGCAGCTAAAGAAAACGCAAAGACTAAGCTCTAATGGTTCAAGAAAGGGTCATCATTCCAAATTGGATGAACTACACAAATGGGCGTTATTTCCATCCAATTTTGTTTGCTTTCGTAAATGGCTTTTGTTCCCACGGCCCTCATTCTTACCGACCCTAGGCCTCTGACAGTAGCCTTTAAAGCAAAACATTTTCAATTTGATGTAACATTTTTGATTTTGCAACATTATTTAACTATTTCCCGATTTATTATAAAATATATGCTACAGTCCAAATTAGCCGATACCCTGGTCCAATTAATCCTCTAAATTGGACCAGTCGCGTGGAATTTTCAAACCAATCCTAAAACCTTACTTATTCATTAAAACTCACAAAATTTGGTTTTTGTGAGGTTTACAGCCTTGTGCATTGTGTAAGCATTAAAGATTTGCAACAAGCAATAGGAATTTTGAACTGCAGAAATATTTCCTTAAGTGGTCCAATTTACCCACCCACCTGTATAATAATCGGGTCTCAGCTGTAATAGTCCTATGAATCTTGGACTAATTAAATTCCAGATGATTTATTTGTGGTTATAAGCATAACATGCTTTGATATTGGTCAATTGATTCCTGGCTATAAAATAATGAGTAATATTGTACATTATTATCATATAAAGAATAATGTGTGACTACAAACAAAATGCTGATAAATGATCCAAGATGTCTGAAAAGCTTCCGTAAGTGATATCACTTTTTTCTTGTTTGAGTCATCTTATATCACTGTGTTATTATTATTTCTCCTGAACACACATCTTCTAGTGTAAAGAGCTATGACTCTAGCCTCTGTTAGTAGTTCTATATCATTGAGGTCTGTTAGAAAGACTCTCATAAAAGGTTCTCTAAATTTTGTATAGATGTATATCGGGGAAATAAGTGTTTGATGGATCCACAAATCACACAAAATTATATGCTTTATCACATTTAAGGTCGTTCGCAATTATAGTGACGTCATCAAACATTTAGTTATAGTGAAATTGCAGGAACCACAGACTTCTGACTGAAATTTGGAATAGGCCTAGTGCAAATTGCTGCTATCAGTGTCTCCGATTCACAAGAAAACGTCTTTATAATCCCTTAAAGATACGTTTCTATTGTGCTGATTCTTCCAAATGAGGTAAGTATTATATAAAACCCTAAAAGCTCTATAGGATTCGAAGAGTCTTAAATCAACAAGATTTCATAAAAAAAAAACATCAATTTTAAAATCGAAGGAAATGTCAGAAGACTGACCTTTTGAGAATGTTGGTAAATGTAGTGATAAATCTATACTTAACAGTATCGTCGTGGGATCATTTAATGATCTAGGTTTTTTTTTTCAACTTACGTATATGATGTCATGTCAAAACAATAGCTGTTAAACCGTTTTTCTAAAGGCCCTGGAACACCATTTTGGAAATTTGGGCTTTAAATATATGTATATAGTCTTCAGAAGTACCAAAACTGTTCCAAAATAATACAGTAATTAAATACGTTTGACGATTTTTAAATTTGCTGAAGTATGGCAATAACTCAGATCAAAAACTTCAAATCAGAACTTCGCATCTGTCGGGCCGTGGGTATTCGCACAATTAATGGTGTTTTATACCAGTCGTGTGGTATCTTTGATCATTACTATACATTTAATCATTCAAAAGATTAACTAAGAGTTGTACTAGCTGCTGAATCATTCATCTTGTTCCAAAGAATTATGTCTTTTATCTTGATCACATCTTCATCTGTATGGTAACACGATACCATATTTAATTTATTTTGAGCTGTTCGTATTAGTCTTATTATCGCCAAGAGAAATTTTTTCTCCACAAACCGACGTGGACTTAGTGTAAATCTTCCTGGATTGTCTCTACTGCTATACTTCTTTATGGTTTCCTCGTTTTACCAGTTACATTCGATTTGGTTTTTGTCAGTTACAATCGATTTGGTTTTTGTCAGTTACATTCTATTTGGTTTTTGCCAGTTACATTCTATTTGGTTTTTGTCAGTTACATTCTATTTGGTTTTTGTCAGTTACATTCTATTTGATATATGCCAGTTACATCCTATTTGATGTATGCCAGTTACATTCTATTTGATGTATGCCAGTTACATTCTATTTGATGTATGCCAGTTACATTTTTTTTGGTTTTTGTCAGTTACAATCGATTTGGTTTTTGTCAGTTACAATCGATTTGGTTTTTGTCAGTTACAATCGATTTGTTTTTTGTCAGTTACAATCGATTTGGTTTTTGTCAGTTACATTCTATTTGGTTTTTGCCAGTTACATTCTATTTGATGTATGCCAGTTACATTCTATTTGATTTTTGCCAGTTACATTCTATTTGATATATGCCAGTTACATTATATTTGATGTATGCCAGTTACATTCTATTTGATGTATGCCAGTTACATTCTATTTGGTGTATGCCAGTTACATTCTATCTGGTGTATGCCAGTTACATTCTATTTGGTGTATGCCAGTTACATTCTATCTGGTGTATGCCAGTTACATTCTATTTGATGTATGCCAGTTACTTTCTATTTGATGTATGCCAGTTACATTCTATTTGGTGTATGCCAGTTACATTCTATTTGATGTATGCCAGTTACATTCTATTTGATGTATGCCAGTTACTTTCTATTTGATGTATGCCAGTTACATTCTATTTGATGTATGCCAGTTACATTCTATTTGATGTATGCCAGTTACATTCTATTTGATGTATGCCAGTTACATTCTATTTGGTGTATGCCAGTTACATTCTATCTGGTGTATGCCAGTTACATTCTATTTGATGTATGCCAGTTACTTTCTATTTTGGTTTTTGTCAGTTGCATCCGATTTTGTTTTTAGTTAGTTACATTCTATTTGGTGTATGCCAGTTACTTATGATTTTGTTTTTGTCAGTTGCATCCGATATTGGTTTTAGTCAATCACAATCGAGTTTGTTTTTTGTCAGTTACATTCGAATTTGTTTTTGTTTTCAGTAACATTCGAGTTTGGTTTTAGTCAGTTACATTCGAGTTTTTTTTTTTGTCAGTTACATTCGAGTTTGGTTTTTTTTTTCAGTAACATTCGAGTTTGGTTTTAGTCAGTTACATTTGAGTTTGTTTTTTTGTCAGTTACATTCGAGTTTGTTTTTTGATCAGTTACATTCGAGTTGTTGTTTTTTTTTTCAGCTACATTCAACACTGTCATTATAACAACTTTTTCACACATACCCTACAGCAAGATTTATTTTTTTCAAAAAGCCAATGTAAAAATTGTAGAACAGCCCTCATTGACGTAATAGTATCTACAGTCATCGTCCTGTTGTGATGAGCTAGATAAAGATGAGGTTTTCCCGTTCGAAACTAAATCCATTGTAAGCACCAAAAATCATGTTTTCTCCATTATCAGAGCGTTTGTGAAAACTATCTTCAAAATTCAGACAACTCAACCCAGGAAAAGTATTAGGATTGTGATTATAGATAAGATAACTACCTTTTTTACAGACAGTATCTCACTATAACAGATAGAATGTAGATTTCTACACTTAATTTACCTGATGACCTCTTTCTGTCACATCAGACATGTGAATACCTGTATATCTTCGTTTAGCTTAATCTGTATTTCAAGGATACAGAAAGTGCAATCTATTATCTCATTTTCCTGTTTTGATCTGTTGGTGATTTTTGATTTTTAACCGATATATCGTTAGATATATACATGTAATATTATGATGTAAAATAGGTACAATGTTTTAATTGGATAATATACTTTTTACACCAATGTTTTATTAATCTAATATAATCAGTGAAATGAATTGAATATAAATACAATCCCGATGATGTTAATTGTGATTTGGTTCTATATTTTGAAAGATTTTATCAGATTTAAACCTTTGTTTTTTTACAAGCCAATTAGTATGTTCTTCAATGTATTTTCATGATGCACGTATCTACGATATCGCAGTAAGAATATGCTTTCTGCCTTTTTATTATCACCGTTCTATTTCATATTTGTACTGGATTGGTCTACTTCTTTGGTTGGAATGGGGAGAACTATGAACAGTGGGTATTTTGACGTCAATTATCTATCGGTCTATAAGATCTGACCTGATCTGATTTTATAAATTGTGTTTTTAATCCACAGATAAGCTTGGTATTAGGGCTTATTCAGACTTACACAAGATTACACAGCTGGATTAGGAATGAGTCGACCAGACGATTTGAAGAACTATTTCTGTTTTTGAGAGGCCCTATTTTTTTAAGTACCGGTAGTTAAATTTTTCCTACGGTCATATTTTTTCGAGATCTATCTTCATAAGCGTTTGCAGTAGAAAGTTAGGAAACCTTTTGCAGAATAATGGTCATTCATGATTAATTCATTTCTGTATAATAGGAAACAAACCGAATATAAGGATATTAAGGAAACGTTGCAAATTAAATATATTGAAATAGCCTATGCATCCATGGGTCATTGAAAGTAGGGAATTTCATCCAGTTTTGTTAATGTAAAGAAATTCCGAACAGGGTCCAGAACTCAGATTAGATAACATTCTATTTTCAGTACCTTTCTGGTCCCAGATAATTGGACTCTAATTCCACTGTTGAAATCAGCAACCATCCAGTTTATCGCAGTTTCTAATAGTCAACTTATTTGTTGACTGCGCAGTGCAGCTTTTGTGAATCATTAGGTAGAGGGACCACAGAAAGAGGTGGGGGGGGGGGGGGGGCAATTAGAACGAGGTATTGTTACTTGGGACTGGGGTGTGGGGGTTGAGATCGGAGTTACTGCGACAGATTAAACTATAGGGATGATTTGAAAGGATTGAAATTTTGATCAAACATCTAGAAAATGATTGTACTCGGATTATCATCAACCTACTCATATACATTTATATCGACTAACAGGAAAGATGATTTATGCAATGTCACACTGACCGAGATTTAAACCCACGATCAACATTGTGCTGACCGATATCATAGCCTATGACCGATTTTTTATGATTCCAGCGCTTTTACTGACTGAGAAATATAGTCTAGATTATCATGTTTAAAACATGTGAAACAGGTAAAAATATGCGCTTTATCTTAATTTAATACCAGGAACCGAAGGAACTGCCTTATCTGATCAAATTTATTACCACATAAATTATTGATAACATGGATTGCTATGCATGTTTCAATGGGTGGAATTGGGTCGTCACAAAAAAGTTAGCTACACAGGAACAGCTTCTCTCCTCGTACACAGTCAGAGATGTTTTCCTTTTTTAGTTGCTCTGAACAAGTAGCTATACGTATTACGCAAAACATAATATGTTACTATATCTAATGAGATGAAGTATAGTATAAATGATATCGGATGGGGCTTTTTCCATTCTTACATTTGGCTGCATTATGCACATTAAAGAAAAATTTTGAAATATATAGAAAGTTAATTGAATAAAGATCCAACTATAATCCATAAAATTTGTTACCATATGACAAGAAGTAATGCTATCATTGCAAACATACATAGATAGGGACACCCTTCAATCTTAGTAAAATAATTACCATATACTTACCAATTCCAATGCCAACAATAATTCTGCCCCCTAATAACACATATTTATCTGGCGCTGCTCCCATCATAATAGCCCCGATCACAAACACAACACTAGCAATCATAATTGTCTTTTTTCTGCCTAAGAAATCTGTCAAAAATCCCGCGAACAGTGCTGCAACAGCGGCAGCGCCTATAGTGGCACTGACTATAGTCTCTTTCCATACCGTATTTAAATCAAAGTTGTCTTTTCTTTCTATAAGTAAAATGGAGCCTGAAACAATTCCAGTATCATAACCAAATAATAACCCTCCTGTAGTAGCAAAACATGCTAAAATATAAACAAAAGACGAATGTCCTCCTTCTTCCTTTTTATTCGACATGCTCGATGTTAGTTTCCGATCTCTCAGCAACTACAAATCACAAGACTGTCAGAAGAAAGTATTAAGAGAGAATAAAATAACACTAAGAATTCCGATAAGACACTGGCTGTTTCTTAACGTTTAATACTAACTCATATTCCTAGTTCTTAGTAACCATTTTATTTAACAGTATGCGATCTTTATATAAGATTTGAATCAAGTTATCTTTTAATAAATTAAATAGGTCAATGATGACAGTGACAGCTCAAAGAGTATTATTGTCATTGGCGTTATCTTAGATAATGAATTTATCAGTTAACTTTATAAAATGGTTTCAATTTTTTTTATTATATATTTTGGACTAGGCCTACTATAAAACTTAAAAAATAGTATAAAAATTAACATACTTAGAATAAAATCACTAAATTGCGGTATGCATCATCAGTGGATCTGAGACTTCCACCACGTCCTCTTAACACTTAAAAAAATGGTGGATATACGTGGAAGAAATTATTATTTTTCCTCCATAGAATACTTTTGAGGAACGTGTACTTCAATGCCTATATTTAAACCAAGGATTTTTCGAGGATTTGTTAGTCTATGTTGTATTAGAAATGTAAAAAAAACTACATTATGTAAGTTACATGCATTCTGATCGGCATCCTACTGATAAAGTGCAGTGATTATTCTAAGACATTTTTTATAGTTGACATAGAATCATCGAATAGAAAAATAAACGGTTATTTTAGTGAATACTTCACAAATTCTCCGACAACAGTTTCACAGAGACACCCAATTTCATTTTCTAATCTATTGATAATAATGTATCAATTTCAAATAATCTTATGATCTTTCTGTCATGACATGACTAAATCGAAGCTCTATGTACTCATGACATGGCAACTTCTGGTAGATTAAAGAGATGATAATGTTAATTGTATGGTGTCATGGTGACAGCATCTTAGGGGTACCGTAACTCGTATATCACAATCGTTAGTACAAGTTATCATAGCGTTCTATAGAAGTTTATACAACATGCAATACGCTAGGTATTGGCCTTCGCCCACAGGACATCCATGTTTTGGGGTTTTTTTTTCCCCAATCACGATCTTTAAACAGAGAAAGGCGCTGACTCGTCCTATGTAACAATCATACGATATTCTGTAAAGTTTAAATAAATAAAAGATAAAATAGAATTTGATAAAAAGTTCATTGACTGGACAGACCTCGTCAAATTCAGTAGGCCCTATCAATTGTACGGTGGTATTTATTCTTCTTTTATGGAAAGGGTTTGCTTTTTGCATTACACTTGTGCCTTTAAGCTAGAAGAAATGAAATGAAATGAATGGAGTTTAACATTATTACTTGTCTACACCTAATATACAATTAATATTGAATGGCGGTAATGAAGGCGCCTAAGCTGCAAGAACAGACATACACTCTTTGAAATCTTAAAATTGATTGAAAAAGTAGGAAATATCTCCACCTGCTTCTCTCAAAACAACTATAATTCCCCCATCAATAACATTAGCTTCTGTTTAATGGTCAATTTCAGGACTGTTTATTCTTTAATTGACAATACTACTGTTTCTTGAACCAATTAGGCTAATTTCTCGTTTTGAGGTAGGATATTTTCGATATTCATTGATTACAGATCTGAGACATATTATATTTATGCTAGTATTCAGATATGTTGTAATTTATTATATATTACGCCTACACAAGCTTTCATGAAATATTCGCAACTTGATATTTTGAATATAATTTACATCTATTATTATATATGCAAAGTAGTTTCTTTCTCAGAGTCATTATTAGTCATATTTGTAATTAATATTTTTAATAGACACTATAATATGATGCCATTCGCACGAAAAGGCCTACTCGAATAATAGGCCTAACAAATTAAGTCGGTCTTTCAAAAATTAATCGTGTTTGTACAATTTGATATTTTGAATGAATCGACAATATAGGCTATATTAAGAAACTAGTTTCTGTATCTGGAGACAATTTAAAAGGTTGTTATAAATTGGAATCTTAAAGAAGGCCATGTTTTCATAACTAATTAAAATACCGGGTAGGCTATAGGTTTATAGCACCTGAATAAATTTGCAAACATTAAATTTTGAAATTGATAATTTGATAGGGCCTGCTTAGAGTCAAAATAATTAATGAATAGTGCTTAATTAAATTGATTCAAGGCATGAATCTAATTTACATTCCATATGCAAAAGTTATTCACATTATTTCGCAAATAATATTCAATGAAAATAATTATGTTATTGTGTTAATCCTCCTTTTTTTTTTTATTTAGCGCTTATTAAATTTTACAATGTTAAAAAATGAGGAGAAAGGCAGGGTTTGATCTCTTCAAGTTCTTGAATCCTGATCATTGACTTATACACAGGTAAAACTGCGTAATAATAATGCCAAAGGTACACCATTGAAAGGGAGACAACTCTTATTATGTTGTTTTGTTCGTTCCCTTCCAAAATGTACAATATTTGTAAAAAATGATGATTTAACATTATTTAATTAATTTTGTGATAAAAGCATATTTACCAAGATGAATTTTACTAAGGCACTATCCTATTTTATTATGAGAAGTAACAAGCAATTTATAAGGTGAGAAAATCTAAATTATTACAAGTATTGTGGTGTGTTCAAAATGCCAACGATGCAAATTTGAGTGTAATTGCTGGTTTACGATCTTTCTCAATGGAGTTTATAAACTAAACAGACTAATTAATTGTGTAGACTTACGAGACCACCAACAATATAACTAAACAGACTAATTAATTGTGTAGACTTACGAGACCACCAACAATATTTTGATTGTGTAGGCCTATGAAGCTTTATAGAGAGCTAGCATGTATCTTTTGGTTGTAAGAACAACATAAATCATTTGTTGATTGCATTGGCCATGGGCTGTGGTAGTGTGGAGCAAGGTTTTAGCTAGAAAAAAATTCAGTGGTGGCTCAAAATGTCTAAGCGAAACAAAAATCATAGTGATGTTAATTTTATCATGCGTCGTGTTGAAAGCAAACGTTTCTACAATAAGCCAATACAGGCTATCCTTTATGTGATATTTGACCAAATTAAAATAAATTTAAGTCAACTATGTAAAAATCTTGGATATTTGGCATCATTTTACAGAAATTTTAGTAAACCGTTATTTCTGCTAACCACCATAGCTACATCTCTGCTCTGCTGTGGAACGCCATGAATCTTATGATTATATAGGTTTATCAGGCCTATGGCAAGTGATTTTTATTGATATTTTAATTTTCTTATAGGAACAATGTGAGAAACTATGGCATCGCTGAAGAAAGATTTCAAAAAACAAGTTTTACATTTGTAAGCGATGAAACAAATGATGTTATTTATATTGAAAAATTCAATCAACTTGGGTTTAAATTAATGAATGGTTTTCGAGTTCTTGGTCCAGCAGTCTTCTTTCCCAGATCTGTTTTAGGTTGGAAGGTATGACTTTTTTTTATATTAAATTGGGGTAATTGCTACTAGTAAGCTACTGTATAACAAGAAATAATTCATTCGAAATCATAAAACAAAAACACCACTCAGGTTAAATGTTTAGGTCCTTCTTGTCTTAAACTTTGGATTTTTTGTATCCATAATACTTTGAAATTCAACATCTATTTCTCCTACGAAAAAAAATACCATGCCAATTTAAATAAAGTAGTTTATTTAAGTTCTTTTTAACTGCCCTGGAAGAACACAAGCTCACAAAATCAATTTCATTTTTTCAGGTTAAAAACTCAACAGATATCAATGAAAATTCACTTTCATTGTTTCCACTCTTAGCTCCAAAATTAGGTAAGCATGACATTGATTTCCAAGGTGTTTTTAGGAATCAAAATGAAATATATGATATGAGGATATTCCACATGAGCCTAGCATGTCTTATTTGTAATTTTAGATTAAATGGTAGAACATAGGACTTACTACTTAATGGAACATCAAATTACATATTTATACTATGTGAACTCAGGAAGGTGTTGGTTAAGGGTGTAGGTCCACCAAATATTAACTAAACCTGTAGTGGTGGATCATCATGCAGTTTTATTGCACTATATAATACATATCCCTGAAAGTCACATATGTCATTTTTGTTTAATATATTTCACTGAAGAGTAAACTATAGTGTCAAAAATGAGACATACAATTGATATCAAATATCATCTTGTTACAGATGAGAATTTTGTGAGGGAAGTTAGACAATGAATGGCAGTATAAATAGTTAAATGAATATTTATTTTGTAGATTTGTTGATAGTTGGTATAGGTGACCCTGGAAGTCAGTTTGATATGAATATCATCAAATATTTAAGATCTAATAGAATAAGTCTAGAAATTTTGCCAACAGTAAGTTAATCTTACTTTACCTTTATTTTATGGGAGGGGGGTGGGGGGTGGCTGCTTTGGCTGCTTAAGTTTGACGCTTGCTTTCTTACACAGAAATAAAGGGTTCAATCCCCAAAAAATTGAGCTCTATCCTGTGGTAAAGTATTCAGACTCCCTGTAAAGGGGCAGTATGCAAAATTTTCCTTGTCAAAAAGTCTTAAATTAATCCTGAAAACATTTCTCAAATACACTATGTACATCTATGTATCTACTTGATCACACTGAATTTGTTTTAAAAGGGTTAATTAAATGTTTAATAAGCAGCTTTAACTAGTTTTTATACGCCCACACTGTCTGTCCGTCTGTCTGTCCACAATTGTTTGTGGACACGATAGAGCTGGTTTCTTGATGGATTTTGACGAAACTTGGTGTGTGTGTTTGTAATTACCCAAGGATGAACCCTATCGAAAATCAGACGAATTCAAAAATATTTAGTTTGAGTTATTGCCCTTGTTCTTGAATTGTTTGTGGACACGATAGAGAGCTGGTTTCTTGACTGATTTTGACGAAACTTGGTTTGAGTGTTTGTAATCACCCAAGGATGAACCCTAATGAAAATCAGATGAATCGAAAAATATTTACTATGAGTTATTGCCCTTGTTCTTGAATTGTAAGCTGTAAACAAAACCCATGAAATATGAAAATTTCACTCTCAGAAACATTCATTTACTGATAATTCTTGTCAACCTCCCGGACAAATTAGCTGCCATTACGAATGTGTGCGCATTACGATGGCATCGCTATTTTTGTGTTGGGCCTCATAAAGACACAACATTTTTAGTTGAAACCTTTGAAATACGTAGAAGAGATATTTCTCTACAAAAAGGTGTTTACTTTGCTTGAATCCTTTTAGTTGTTTTCCAACAACTACCAAAGAGCATAATAATCTTAAAAAGTTTAAGTTAACCATATAAAAGTTTTGGTGTTAAAAAATTTAACTGCAGGATTTTTTTTAGTCAAAACTTTAAGGGACACATTTTTCTAGATTTTGATGTATAGTGTTCTTAATTTTTAGCAAATTCTTTTTTAGATCTACTGAAAAATCATAATGCCCCTTTGAGATGAGTTTTTAAGAAATGAACATCTACAAAAAGACAATAGGCCTACTGTTTAGTGATAAAAATAAGTAGCAATTCTGACAATAAATTGAAGGTTATGAATATGTATTGAATTACAGTTGAATTTTTGATATTTTACAGGAACAAGCAATACCAACATTTAACTTTTTAAACAGCGAGAGACGTAATGTAGCAGCAGCATTAATACCACCTGTAACTTTAGACATGCCATCTTACAATGATGAATTAGTCAATGATAATATGGATATTTCAATCCATGAATTTGCACTGCCCTCAGCTGATACAGATAAAGAAAATATGTTTGAAGATGCCAGTCCTGAGGTTTTCAAAAAAATAAGGTCTGGCCTTGCACAAACCTAGAGAGAAGAAATGATTAAATTGATACTATGTGTGTAAGAAGAGTGATATTAAGTTATAAATGTGTCCTACTAATTGACCATAATAACAAATAATGTGTTCTAGAAATACAAATATTCTGAATAGCAACTGTAAATCAGATGATTAAGGTATAGTATTAATATAATATTAAAATTTATACTTTAGTTGGACGACTTAAAGAATTATGGTTCAACAGAAACAATATATATTAATCTATATTAAAAGATTTGCAGACTGAGTGTATAAAAAAAAAATAAAGTGATAGAATCCATGTTATTACATAAATCTATGTTATTACTTTACCCATATTCTAATCTGAAAGGTCTGTCTAGGTTCTTAAACTGATATGAAGCCTGTGAATGACAATTGCATGAAATGATATGAAGCTTGATATCCTTCTCTCTTCCTAATTTGACTCATGACAAGCAAGGCCATGCAGTGTGCAATAATGAACATAGCATACTGAGACTCAGTTTACTATCCCATCTGAACAACGTGATTCCATGTGAAAGCTTCTAACATGAATCACTGGCATCACATCAAAATTAAAACACAATCCACTACTATGTTAACAGGTAAGGGCCACCAAGGCTCCTTTTGGACCCTAAAAGCAGCTCTATGGTCATCCCAGGGTTCATGAATGTTTACTGAACACTCATGGTTGAACTTTTACTCAAAAGAATGATGTGTAAAAAAATATTTACACGATTGAGTTTTCATTTCACAAAGATGATATTTATTGCCTCACATGATCTATGTGTATGTATAATATATAAACATTAAACAAAAAGAAAACAAGCCTAATTGGTAATATATATGATAAAAACTACCTTTATACAAGGTTTTCTCTACACACATTTACAAATATCTTTTATTACTACATAGAATATATACTTAATAATAATTAATATATTAAATCTTCACAAATTGAACACATCTGAACAACAATATGTAAAAAAATGTATGTATATAATATATTCAAGAACACTAACTCTAAAATTTGATTTTCTACAAATCATTTTTTTTAAAATATATATATATTGATAGAACAACATTATTGTGTTCCTTTAATGTATTTTAATAAGATGAATATAATACAAGGAAAGCAACAGAAATCATTAGAAGAAATATATGTTCAAGGGATTGTAAATAGGTTTTCTACATTTTTTATGTGTATTGGGACATTGATAGTATCAATTTGCACCATTCCAATTTACAATCAGACATCTGTGGTTCCTGCAATTCCACTAAACTAGGTGTTTGAGGATGTCACTAATCGCAAAATATGCTTTATCACATAAGGCCCTTTCCGATTCGTGACATCATAGAATGCTTAGTTTAAGTGTAATTGCAGGAACCACAGATGTCTGATTGAAAATTGGAATGGTGCAAATTGATGTTTTCAGTGTCCCCAATACACATTAAAACTTACTAAAACCTTTTTACATTCCCTTTAATTTATAATAGGTAAGTATTGGCCTATTTGGTAAATTATAATATAAATGATGCTACTAGAACAGGTAGGTAACATTGCCGAACATAAATCACAAGAGTCTACTGTGTTTCTACAGCTCAAAGTAAAATATTGTCGTACACGACACCCTTCGAAAAGCATAGAAAACTTGTTAGTTACAATCAGAAAATAAAAGAAATGAATTGAAATCTTATCATCTTAATTAAAACTGAACCCACTTTTCATTCAATCAACATTGGATAAAATTTTCTATTAAGTGGAAAATTTATCATTAAGAAATTCTCAATCAATTTTGACTGAGAGCTAGCGTTAGGTTCTAAGTAAGTAAGAGCATATTAAGTAACCTTTTCGTGGCTAATAAGGGCATGGTCACTTAACTAACTCTGCCCACTTCTAAATTACAAAATAATACTTATTAGAACTCATATCTTACTTAAACAATAGTTTGTAATGATAGAATTATAGCATTTGAGAAACATTTTTAATATAAGTATCTTCAATCTAAAGAATTATAAGACCAGAAAGAGAATGAATTTTATAAAAACAAATGAATCTAGATGAGATTGAAAATTCGCTAACTTAAAGCAAAATAAATTTCCTTAAACACAAAACTATACTTCTTTGAAATATATCTTTAGACATCTATGCAAATTCCCTTTCAAACTGACTAATTTTATCAGAAGTTAACATGAAATTAAATACTGTTAAAAAATATTATGCTGTCAAAAATTACATTAAAGGCCATATAGTGACTTATCTGAAACAAGATTTGCATTTTTGGGTTGAAATAGTAAATTTAAAGGAGTATTCCGCTTTTTTTGTAAAAATTGTCATTATCAAAATTTTGTACCTGAAAATATTTCAGAAGTGTGCTATATAATATATCTATGTATCTACTTGATCAAACTGAATTTGTTTTAAAGGTTTAATTAAAAACAGAGAGTACTACCGGTAATTGTAAATTAAGCAACTCGATATTAGTTGAAACCTTTAGAATATGTAGGAGACATAATTTTACAGTAGTCTTCTAAAAGCTGCCAAAAAGTATAAAAATTAGTTGACATAAACTCAAATAAACTTTTAAAATAGTTTATGCTGGATTTCTTTAGTTAAAATTTTCAAATACATTAAAGGACACTAGATTTTGGTGTATAGTTTTCTCAAATTAGAATAAAACAAATTACTTACAAGAAAAATGGAATGCCCCTTTTAATTAAATTGTAACAAAAATTGAAAAAAATAAAAAAATTTCTTCAATAATAGCCCCATGTTTCTTTTGATGAAAATTCTTTTTAAATTCATGAACTAGAAATATTGAATAACTGTACATGAAATGGTAAAAGTTCATTCAAAGAAGAGCTGAACTTGAGAGCATGTTTCTCTACATTCATCTACACAAAATTCATAATAAAAGACTTCAATCTCAGATTTATTAGACTGAATTGAACTTATCCAAACGTAGATATTTTTTTAATAAAACAAACTTGTCCTTTAAAGGTGTCATTTTGAAAAGGAACACCTTATTGGAATTTATACTATTTTAATTTGGGGCAAAATTTATCATAGAAAGAAATCAATCAAATCAACAAACAACTTTAACAAAAAAAATTAGGTATGCCCCAACTCAGGTAACAAAACAACCAAAGACAATAAAAGTAAATATTGCTGTAAAGCACAATATAAAAAATTGTGTTGTGGATAATATTGAAATCTGGATAGAAATGCAATCCTTAGATTATCATAGACCTTCTGGAACATTCTGAAACTAAAATATTTTGATTTTGAGGGAAAATATGTGATAACAGACACCATGTACTATTGACTTGATTGAAGACCACATATTCTGCTTATAAAACAAAATATACAGATCTGAATAACCCTTAGACATGTGAAGATACCAACAGTTCCACAGAACTTAAATAGCAGTTAGATCCAAAAAATATGACGCTCCACAAATTTAAGCTGCGTCATAGACTGCATTTAAAATGGTAGTGAAATAAATGATATCTATTCAATTTCTATAGTGGACTACTTTTTTTCCCAAAATTTATGAATATCAGTCTAAATAGATATTTCATAGCCTATAATTTAAAATTTATTTAACAGATATTGAGATATCAGCATTACCAACAAATAGATGAGATGTGGTTCGAGTCATTTTAAGTATCAGAATACATGATGAAGTGCTCAACAAACAAATTACATTTAGAGTCAGCAAGTTTCAGACTTAAAGAAGTTATATATTCTTAAAAAAAATAAGCAGAACAGTTATAGAAAATTTGACACAAAAGTTTGTCAGTTCTAATTTTATATTCCTCAAGGAGATTATATTTGATTCAAGTTTCCAAGGTATGTTTTAAGAGACATGAAGGCTATTGTATGATATAAAATTGATGACTTTCAACATGTATTTAGCCATTTACTTGAAAATGATTTTTTTTAACAAATATATATAAATTTATATAGTGTACATTTCATTCTAAACTAAACATCACATATTGTAGACTATAAGTTAATGAATTTAAAAAATTTCATTCCAATGGCTATATATATATAGATCACACAATTTGTAACAATGTGTAATGGACACACATAAAAAAATCAAAAATAAAGATATAAAAAAGGGATCACTATCTAATTTGTCTGGGGTTTTGTTGGGGTGGGACATAGAATGGTAGCAAGTTCACTATAATATGCATAATTCTTTGGGTGTATTAGCACCACAATTCATCATTAATTTATATAAGAAGATTAAGGGACAATTCAAAGCATGAGCACCAACGGGTTATTTTATTTTTCTAAAATGTGGCCGTCTGGAAAAGTATTCTAATTATGAATGTACTATATCCAAAATAATATCCTTGGTGTTGAATCAATGTGTGGTCATAAACACATAATACCTATTGTTGATGAATTACAATCTAAAGAGACAAAAATTACTCATTCAAACTTTCTGTAAAATGAAATATTGCAGATATTCACTACATACAATACTGTATTTGACTATGTAACCTATTTACCTGGTTTCTAGACCTAATAAATTGTAACTAATCAACTAATAAATTGAAACTAAACAATAGTTACAGTCATGCGATAAAAACATTATGCAGTTTGGGAGCAGCTATACCAAATAGATTCGATAATGTGGGTTATTCAAATTTTTTTGTTATACTTTGAGCATTATAAAGAGATATTCATCGCTCAATGCCAAGCTAAGTTCGTAATACCTGGACATTGGGGAGACATTGAACCTATGATATATTTGTATTTTCAATCTACCTTATATGAGATGTCACCTTATAGTGTTTTTTTCAAGATCTTAATATCTATTCTTGTCTGCTGCCAAACTCCAGACTAGGTAAGTTTATATCTCTGATATGGTCCGTATTTGACTAATTAAAACCCTTAATATCTTACAACATGGACACTTTCTTGCATAATCAGGAGCTGCAGTGGCTGGAGATATATTTTCCCAATATTCATGATGGAAATACGTACAAAAAAAATTATGTCCTAAGATTGTAGTGAAATTTGACTAGGATTGAAAATATTTATAAAATAGACTTACTATTAAAACTTTTTTGGCTACATTTGTATTTTTTGATTAATTTGAAATAGTTTTTATTAAAATGGCTCAATCTTGGGTCTGCCAACCCCCAAATAATATGTCCCCTTAATTTACGAACAATAGTTTCAATAATATAATACAGCACAGCAGATAACCAAAAATAAATAAGTAAAAAAATCAGAATCAAGTGAATTATATCCTCATTTATATGCCCTGAAATTTTTTACTAATAAACATGATATTTGATTCCACAGTAGTGGTAAAATATTAGTATGAATCATATACCATAAAATTTTGAAGATTTTTTTTTAATGGCCAAAATATAGTCACTAACAAATCAGACTCAATGTTTTTGATACATAACAACTACTATTTTAACATATTTTTTAGGGTTTTTCTCAAAACAAAATATATGTAAGATCAACTTACTAAAAGAAAATGAAATAAAAAATATTGATAACAATGTAAAAAAATGAAAATAGTAATAAAAATAATAAATAACAAAGTTAATATCTATTCATAACATTATATAAGACACCACAACGATAAGGATCTTGAACTTGGTTATCAGTCGGCGCTGCTCGACTTATGATGTCTTGTGACATTGATGCTGTAGTTGTATGAGACAATTTGGCTGCCGTTGGATACTGTCTTTCATCAATAAATGGATACGGACTATTTTGATGGGGATATAACGTTCGGTGTGAATAATCACGATCAAACACAGAATGTTGAGACGGTGTAGAATGGGAAAGAAAAGCACTATTTGAATTCTCTGTCATATGTTGTGGATGGTACATAGGGTCACGAGGGTACACATATTTGTCCAAATTAAAACTACTATTTACACCTATACCACTGAACACATCTGAGGATGAAGTTGGTGGTAAAGTTCGAAAATCACTCATACCAGCCGCAGCAGATTGTCTATATCTTTCATCTAATGCTTTCTGAGCAGTGCCACAAGCTGGAGACCTATAGTCCAATGAAGGCGTACCTGAGTATGGATGGCTGCTAAAATAATTACTAAGCTCAAATCTATCAAGTGATGGGAAGGTTTCACCAGATATTTCACGTTGGGGTTGAGGAGATGACAAACTTGCAAACATGTTACGCTCAGTCATGGTCCGTGATGGATCAAACATACTAGAGAGGTAGTTGTCCTTCGCAAAAAATGGAGCAGGAGCAGCATTTGCTGGTCTATCTAAAGTACGTTGTAAATATGGAGCTTGTGGCCAATGAGGTGGTCTGACATCCTGCCCAGGCCAAGCATTATACAGTGAATTTCTAGGCATTGTTCCTGGCACAGTTGGAGGCATAAACATATCCTCCCTTCCCATAGGAGTTTGACGCAATAATGGAGGATTTGGTGGTCTTAATGGAGGTTCAGGCAACCTTCCTAATGTCCTATCAGTTTGGGGTACACCTGGTGGAGGTAAGAAAGGAGTTGTCATTCTCTGTCTTTGTAGTAAAGCATCTGCATCAGTCAGTCTAATAAATCCTGGGGCTGCACTTGGTGTACTAAATGAAAGAGGTGTGTCACTGGATCGGAGTAAATTTTCCCGCGATGAACTATGTAATGAATTAATAGAAAAACTGTCATATGAAGAGTCAGATATTCGTGGCAGAGCAGAAGCAGTGTCTCTCACAAATTCATGCTGACGATCTGATGCTAATATTTCCATTCTCCTATGTGACATATCAACCACTCCTGGTTGTATTCCAGGTGGTAATACTAAAGATGTTGAAGGTGGTCTTTGAGAATATCTGCTAAAATCATGTGGCTTTTCAGCTAATTCTTCCAATCTTTGTAGCCTTGATGACTCTTCTGGAACTGATGACCTTGAATCATTTGGATGTGCATTCAAATCATCTAAATATTGACCTATAAGATCTTTTTCTGATTCTGTTTCTCCAGGCATAAACTGTGGTGGTGGTTGTGGTGGCACTGAATCTGGACTTAATATTGCACCTGGTACCGAGTTGGGACCATGAACTGATCCAGGAGGTTGCACAGAGCCAGGTCCATGAACAGAGCCTGGCCCATGAACAGACCCAGGGCCATGTACTGAACCTGGACCATGAACAGAGCCTGGTCCATGTACAGAACCTGGAGGTTGTACTGATCCTGGCCCCTGGACAGATCCTGGTCCTTGTACTGAACCTGGTCCTGCTACAGATCCTGGTGCAGATAAGACAGGTGATGTCTCAACATTACCAGGGTAATTTTCAAAACTTTCTCTTGCCATAGCCTCGGGCATAGATGGAGTCTGTGGAAGAGAAAGGGACATATTTTGGTCTATCATAATACCAGGGTCTTGTGCCTCTTGATTCAAGTGTTCCATTATCTGAGGTGGTGGTCCAAGTTCATCATCATCTTCCTCTGGAGGAGGTGGCGGAGCAGGTGCTCTAGGTGGGGTTAAAGAAAGATCATCACTCATATCATCAAATGGTGAAGCTGATCTTGCACTATGATTATCCTCCTCAGGCATACCAGTCATTGCATTGTCATCTTCTGCCTCTGCTGGTATTTTCTTTGAATGCTGTAAAATATCTTCTTGAGACATTGTATCATCAAGGCCTTGGTTTGATGGTTGGTCATAAGATTCTCCCTGGCTGTTGGCATCACTATAATTAATAGTTGGACTTTCTGGAGATAAGTTGTTCTCAGTTTGTTTATTAGAGTCATCTGCCTCCCCATTAATGTGTTTATCTTCTTCTATTTCCTCAGTATTGTCTTCATGTTCTGTTTCTGAATCTGATTTAACAATTTCTTTTTTCTTTCCACCTTTTTTAGTACCACCTTTCTTTCTGCCACCTTTCACATTGGTAGTTTTCTTTTTTGTAATTTTGGTCACAGAAGGCTTGCGTTTTCTCAAGTTTCTTGTTGATGGTGGGGTTTTCTTAGATGATGATTTCTTTATAGGTTTTTTCTTCAGTATGGAATTTTTTAGGGACTTGACTGGAGGTGGTTTTGCCGTTTCAGTTTCAGTTTCACTGTCAGACTTTTCTTCACTCTGCTTAGCTACAGCTTTCTTTGACTTTGTATTTTTACCAGCAGGTCTCTTCTTGGCAACTTTCTTGACTGGTGTTGTATTTTGTTCATCCTCATTAAGTTTAGCTTTAGGTGATTTTGGAGATTTCTTTCCATTTTTCTTAGCTACAGTTTTCTTAGATTTAACTGCACTAGCATTTGTTTCAGATTCCATGGGGAGATCAATGGGAACCTTTGGTAGAGGTAGACTGCTTATAAGATCTTTATCTTTGAAATTTTCTCTCCTAAAAATGGCAGGTTTTTCATCTGCTGAATCTCCATCTGATTTGAATTCATAAAGATCTTCAACAGCAGGTTTAGTTGTTGCATTATTAGAGCATTGTTCATCAGATCTTATATTTTGATCAATTTTTTCATCAGTTTGTGAGGAGACCACATCCTTCAAGTCACTCTTGAAATCAGCACCATCACTGACTGGTTTTTCAGACTTTGAGTTTGTTAACTTAGCACTTTTATTATTAGTAGAGCCAGAACTACTGTCTTCTGGAGGATGATAACGTTTTATATGATAGTATAATGAGCTTTTCTGACGACATCTAAAACTACACTTATCACATTGCACAGGTTTCTCATTTGTATGCTGCCTTTTATGAACTCTTAAATTATCTGCATGTCTAAATGATTTACCACAGCCTTCATATGGACAATGATATTTTCTTTCACCTGAAAATAGTAAATAAAACCCTCATTACTGTTTGGCAAGATTAAAATGAAACTATCATCAAAATACCTTTTTTTTACAGTTGAGAACTTCAGCTGGGCATAGCATTTATCAAAATAAATATAGCTTTATGGCAAGACACTTGGATATCCCAAACAATAACATATCAATCAATGCTACACAATTTATCAACATGCATGCACATAATAATATTTACAGTTTGTTTTGTAAATATGAGCACAGGCATGAAATTCATGAACATTTTGTATTGTATAACTCATCTAGTAATACATAGCTTTGTAGTGCCAAATAATCTCTGATGTTTACATTCATGTTAATCATTAATATCCATTTTTATACTGCCTTTTGTGGTTAATATAAGTTAAAATAATTCAATTCATTTCAAAATTTCAAGATTAAAGGGAAATTACTCAAATCTATAGACTATTAAGAATACTTGCCTGTATGTGTTATATAGTGTCGTTTAAAATGACACATTTTAACAAATGAAAACTTGCAGCCTTCAACTGTACAATGTCGTCTTTCTCCACTTCCTGCTAGAGTATGAACATCTTTAACATGAATTCGTAATAATCTAGCAGTTCGAAATTCTTTCACACACCCTTCTTTTTCACATTTAAATGGTTTATCTTTACTGTGAGTTGCCTCATGGTTTTTTAACTGAGAGGGAGTTTTAAAACGTTTTTCACAGATACTGCACGGATAATTTCGTTCACTTGTGTGAATTTTAATGTGAGCATTCAGTTTTTCATCTGAAAAGAATGCTTTTCCACACTCATTACAGACTTTATCACGTTCACGTTCCACATGTTTGTTCATACCATGTTTGACTAAATTGTTACGATAGTTTGTAGTATATGAACATTTATCGCAACTATATTTTTTGGGCTGATCAGGAAAATGAGTTCTAATATGTTCCTTTAAAGAAGATTCATAAGTAAATTCCTTGCTACATTCAGAGCACTTTAAGGGAACTTTCCCTTCACACTTTTCAATATGTTCTTCAAGAGACATGTCTTCGCATTTAATATATCGTGAACACTTTTTACACATTTTCATTTTAACAGTTTTTTGTTTGATCTCATGTGCTTCCCATAAATGATCAGTTAGCAACTCCTTAGTTTCACCTTGAAATATACACCTTGAACACATAAATACATCATGAGTAAGCATGTGTTTAGCTAGTAATGGCTTTTTGTCAGTGTTATAGTCACATTTCTCACATTTATGAATATTTCCTGGTAATGTTTGCTGATGCATATTTCGCAAATGTCTACTCAACGATGATTTACCTTTCACTTTTGCTTCACAAACAGGACAATCTAGAACAGGCAGTGTTTTTTTCACTTTCTTGGAATCACCTTGTTCACTAGTTTTAGTGTTAGGGTCTACATGATTATTCTTAGAAGAATCTGATTTTGTCTCAACATTTTCCTCAACAGTTTCATTTTCAGCAGTCTTATTTTTTTCAGCAGTCCATTTATCTGTTTTATCAGCTGGTTCAATGTCCTCATCACTATGACTTTCACTTACACCATTTTCAATCACCAAATGATTAATTACAAAATCAAATGTTTCTTCCATCTGTTTTTCTAAAACATCTCCAGAAACTATGGGAAGTTTTGATTTTTTCACTTTTAATTTTTTTTCCACTGACTTGCAATCATCTTCTTTCACATCTATTACTTCTGATAAGACTTCACCATTCATTTCATTGCTTACAACGGTATCACTGATTTCTGGTGTGATCTTTTTCATTTTTTTCTTTTTCTTAGGTTTTGGTTCATCCTCTGTCACAGTTTCCAATTTAGTGTCACTTAGTTCCCTCTCAACTTGTTCATCTTCAATATCTTTACCAGCATTTCCATTTTCTTCTTTATTTTGTTCAATATTACCCTCATCACTCTTTCGCTTCTTGTTTTTTGATTTAGGGGATGATTTCTGCTTCACTGTACAGCTAACTTGCTCCTTGGTCTCTTCTTGACCGTTGTTCACTATTTCCTTGGCAACTTCGGTTGATTTCTTTTTCTTGGATTTAGATTTTATGGATTTAGTCTTTAAGGAGGATAAAGGATGAGGAATTTCATCTTCTACTGGATCAGGTTCTTGGATTTCTACAATGGCTGGAACTGATACGATCTCAACAGCTTTCTTGGACTTTTTAGCTTTTCCTGACTTCACTTTTTTAGCAGCGCTTACTGCTTCAATATCATTGGATACTGGTACCTCCTCATTTTCATTTATTTTATCATCAAAAATAACATTGTCTTTTTCAATCTTTGGATCATTTTCAGTTGAAGGTTCCTTTTTCTTTTTAATACGCTTCTTCTTTTTACCAATATCACCACAAATTGGAGTCTCTTGAACACTTTCATCATCTGGTTTTCCATTCACTTTGCACAAGTTTGGACTGTCATCATTGTCTACAATTCCTTCAAGCGCAGCCATTTCTTCAGCCACCTTAGCCAATGTTTCTAATGGGTTTACAACTTGAACTACTTCTTTACAGCTAGTGTCATCTACATTTTGCCTTGCAGGGGACTTTTTACGTGGCTTTGGCTTTGGTTTTGGTGTGATCATAAAATCATCATCATGGAACTTTCGTTTCTTTGGTGTTCGTTTTGACTTTAAAGGCTCAATAGTGATTGGAGTGGAAGTTTCTGGACAAGGCACCTTTTCTTCCTTAACTGGCACAATCAAAGAGTTCATACAATTTTCAAGCCGGACAACAGGCTCACTAACATCTGATTTTGATGTCAGGTTAATGACTTCATTTCTGCGTTTTTTAGGAGGTTTTCTGATTTCTGGTTCAGCTTCTACCAATTTATTACCAATATTGATGTCTGAGCTTTCAATATGATTTTCAACCACATCAGTTGATTTACTTTCAATACAATTACCAGTAACTTTGATTCCTTCCTCTTTTAATATATTCTGTAAATCATCCACAACTTCTGGAGGATTGACAGACTTTTCACCATCTTTCAATTCTGCAGCTGATTGACAAACAGTACTTGCAATTTCACTTTCTTTCTTTTCAGTCTGCTCTCCTTCATCATTTTTCATGTCTGCCGTTTTCATCTTTAATAGGGGGAGGTCATGAGCATAGCAACCATTTTAGCCATTTGGTTGTACTATCCATGAAACAAAGTAACTAGCCATTTCTGGTCATCTGAAATGGAGAAAGTTTTATTTTTCAACAAGTAAAACTATAAAACTGATCACCTAAAATTTTGATATCTCAGATCTCATCAATACACTCATGCATACCAAGATTCATCCTAATATGTCATTTGTGAATTTGATTTAGATGTCCTATGCCTTTTCTATAAACACGAAAACCATTCTTTGAATTCTTGTCAATTCAAATTCTACCAAATTGGTTGAGAACTGTAGCCAGTAACATTCAAAAAAGAAATGCTTTAAACCATCGAAAAATGAAATTTTAACAGAAATATAATTACCGATAATAATTCTTTGAAAACAAGTCTGATTTTACATCGTAACTAGATAATAGTCTATCACTCTGAAAGAAACAAGCAAAAACATGAAATAATAACATTTATCACACAACACTTGTGTTTCTATGTTCATAAGACAGGTTCATAAAAATGATATGAAATTGTAGCACAGGTTAATGACTATGCAAATTAGGTCATGTATTCATGCACCATGTAAACAAAATAACATGGTATTCTTTGAAGGTCACAGAATATACGGTATGTGTTTATTGACAGTTGTGTGATAAAAAAAAACTTTCACTTTCCCTATATATCATATATATAAAATATCTGTAACCAATATAAGAGTTTTGGTTTTTAAAATTTTAAATGACCTAGTAGTTGTAGTGACTTTTGTTACAGATCTGTCACTAGATTATTTGCATCAAGCTTATTTTCACTCTACAGATAACAACTTAATTTCATTTTAGCTTTCCTTGTTAATTATAAAAATTGTGCCACTGAAGTTTATATTACAGCACAGTGGTTTATTACATACAGTGAGTTATTAAATATAAGTTATATTTCAGTAGTGTGGGTTAATAAATGAAAGGTATATTAATTATATTACAAGTTAAGTTATCAAATGAAGTTTATATTACAGCACAGTGGGTTATCAAATGAAGTGTATATTACAACAGAGTTAAGTTATTCAATGAAGTTTATATTACAGCACAGGAGTAATTAAAACAAGTTTATATTGCAGTAGTGTGGGTCATTAAATGAAGTGTATATTACAGTAGAATGGTTATCAAATAAAGTTTATATTACAGCACAGTGGTTTCTTTCATTCAGTAAGTTATCAAATGAAGTGTATATTACAGAGGTTTGGGTTAATAAATGAATGGAATATTACAGTCGAGTTGGTTATTAAATGAAGTGCATATCAAAGCAGAGTTAAGTTATAAAATTAAATTTATTTTACGGCAGAGTTAAGTATCAAATGAAGTGTATATTACAACAGAGTTAAGTTATCAAATGAAGTGTATATTACAGAGGTGTGGGTTAATAAATGAATGGAATATTACAGTCGAGTTGGTTATCAAATGAAGTTTATATTAAAGCAGAGTTAAGTTATTAAATGAAATTTATATTACAGCAGAGTTAAGTTATTAAAAGACATTTATTACAGCTAAGTTATTAAAATAAGTTTATATTACAGCATATTGTTTTATTAAATGAGGTTTATATTACAGTAGAGTGGGTTATTAAATGAAGTGTATATTACAGCAGAGTTTAGTTATTAAAAGACATTTATTACAGCTAAGTTATCAAAAGAGGTTTATATTACAGCATATTGTTTTATTAAATGAAGTTTATATTACAGTACAGTGGGTTATTAAATGAAGTTTATATTATGGTAGTGTGAATTATTAAAAGATGTATATACAGTAGTGTGGATTATTTAAAGAAATGCATATTACAGTAGTGAAGGTTATTAAAAGTAAGTGTAAATTACATAATTGAGTACATGATGTTATTAAAAATGTCTCACAAGAATTGGTTATGAAGTCAATTTTAATGGAAATGTTGATTATTATAAATAAATATAAGGATTGGTTATTAGGTACATTTTACATTACATAAGTGTGCTTTTTAAAGATACATGTATGTATCACAAATATACATTGGATATTAAATGAATTTCATACAATTATTGTCCTTTATTAAAAATGATGTATAACAGAATATTAATTGGATATTAAACAAAATTATGGTTAATTGTGTATTTTAATATTGTTCCTCAATTTTTTTTTATAAACCCACATGATAAAGCAATATGGAACAAAGTTTGATTCAAAGGAGCATTTTATGATATCTACTACAATTTGAAACAATGTAGTATTTAGTTACAATATATATTGCCCTGTCATGACCTAGATAATTTTCAATACTATAACTAGTACAACCTTTTACATTCTCAATAATTACAAATATCTTATAAATAGTTTAACCATCTGTTATTAATATATTCATAAAAGAATGAATGAAGAGATTAAATGAATGGAGTATCTTCACAGCAATGACCTAATTTTAATCAATAAAGTGGCCTCAGCAAATTCCAGCAGTCAATTGAACTATTAAACAATGTCTGTATCAATGAAATCAATGCCAGCATTGTCAAGCCCTAAATTAGGCATATCAATATAAAACCCAGACTTCCAATAGAATAGAAAACATAAAGGAGATTTCGGGGGATACTTGTATCAACAAATGAAGTGACCTACATTGTACACTATATACACAGCACGTGCTGTCTGACTAACTAATAAAGCCATAGCTGTCAAAATCATTCAACCAGTAAGATCAACCGGATCACAAAGTCCCGTTATCTGATTTCACATTTTTATAATTCAAAATATCTCACTGATTTCAGCTCTAGATATAAATTTTGTTATATTGATTATTTATTTAGCGATCGATTGAAAAGCCAGCAGAAATATTACATCGTCTAGATTTATCATTTGACCAATTTTTACCACAATAAATGCATAAAATTATATGCGAATAAATTAAGAAGCCATTTTACCGAATAAAAGAGCAAATTACATGGACAATTTTATGCAACTGACAACATTCCTCGAGAGTATATCACGTCTGAGGCGGCAGAAACTGAGTGCTATCACTCGACAGCCATGATCATAGCGTGGTATCAAATTTGCTGGCCTAGCTTCGACCATGACGGCTGAGAAGTATTTCTTCGATACTCACTTCGTGCAATTGCAGGGAATTCGAGGTGCACCAGGAGGTCATGTTGCCACATTTGATATTTTAAAACTCACAAATTTTACTGCCGGAATATATGCATCATATAGTAGTAGCCTAAACGAAAACAAAACATTGGAGATTGTCAATAAATAAATAACCAAATATAACACATACCTTCTTGTTAAATCTAAAAATAGACGACATGCTAGAGTCGGAGAAGAATGTTTTTGTTAATTTTCATTGGTTCGCATAATTTCCATCTTAACCAATCACTAGCCTATTTCCGGTGAGAGATATGGCGCCAAGCTCTAAAAACTGGAATTTTGCAGAAGTTTCAATGGCATAATATTCATGTTTTGTAAACAAAATTAGCACCTAATTTGGATTTTCTTTACCAAATAATTGTTGGTAAGTACCCTGGCATGATGACAAATTATGAAAATGGTTATGTACACACTATTTCAGCTGTAACGAAGTGCTTGTCACTGCTGTGACAGTAGTCGTGTGTATGAGAATGGCAGTGATAGTGACGTCATGATCTATGGCAGTGTAATATATATATATGGCCCAAATTAACAAAGGACGAGTATTGACAGTCAACAAACTATTCATTAGCTAAGGCCTATTGATTGTTGTGAAAATCAGGGATGCCAGACTTCCTCTACCGGTATTTTAAGAATTTAAGAAAAATAATTTCTCTATATGATATATGATCTGTATGGCCTTGGGCTTGCCAGTGGTATTTGTTTCATTTTCAAATAAAACCACAACCAGTAGACTAAAAATTGTCAATTACTGAGATTTCTTAGTTATTGCCCTTGACTTTGTTAAAGTGCGTCAAAATTTGTTAAAATAGTTCGTGAGCAGGATTGAAACTACAGTTTTCAACCGATTCTGATGAAACTTGGTGTGATTATTGGAATTGATAAGATCTCGGACAAGTTCTAACTTGATGCATTTTCGATAAACGGTTTTTGAGTTATTGCCCTATATTTTGTTAAAACGTGTCAAAATTTGTCATGAGCGCAATAGAAGCTACAGTTTTCAACAGATTCTGATGAAACTTGGTGTGATTATTGGAATTGATAAGATCTCGGACAAGCTCTTACTTGATGCATTTTCGATAAACAGTTTTTGAGTTATTGCCCTTGATTTTGTTAAAACGCGTCAAAATTTGTTCATGAGCACAATAAAAGCTACAGTTTTCAACTGAATCTGATGAAACTTGGTGTGATTATTGGAATTGATAAAATCCCGGACAAGTTCTAACTTGATGCATTTTTGATGAATGGTTTTTGAGTTATTGCCCTTGACTTTGTTAAAACGCGTCAAAATTTGTTCATGAGCACAATAGAAGCTACAGTTTTCAACCGATTCTGATGAAACTTGGTGTGATCATTGAAATTGATAAGATCTAAGATCTTGGACAAGTTCTAACTTGACGCATTTTCGATGAACGGTTTTTGAGTTACTGCCCTTAACTTTGTAAAAACGTGTCAAAATGTGTTCGTGAGCACTATAGAAGCTAGAGTTTTCAACCAATTTCGATCAAACTTGTTATGATCATTATAATTAATAAGATTTCAGACAAGTTCTAACTTGAGGCATTTTCGATGAACGCTTTCTGGGTTATTGCCCTTGACTTTGTATAAAGCTTCAAAATTTGTTTGTGAGCACAATAGAAGCTACAGTTTTCACCCGATTTTGAGGAAACTTGGTGTGATCATTGGAATTGATATGATCTTGGACAAGTTCTAACTTGACGCATTTTCGATGAACGGTTTTTGAGTTATTGCCCTTGACTTATGAAAAACGCGTCAAAACTTGTTTGTGAGCACAATAGAAGCTACAGTTTTCAACCAATTTTGATGAAACTTGGTGTGATCATTGGAATTGATAAGATCTCGGACAAGTTCTATCTTTGAGATATTTTTGATGAAGGTTTTTTGAGTTATTGCCCTTGACTTTGTAAACATGCGTCAAAAGTTGTTTTTTGCCCTCGATTAGAGCTGTGTGATTTAATTGATTGTTGTATTTGGGTTATTGATATTGATTTTTATACGCCCACATGAAATGGGGGGCGTATATTGTCGTAACCCATGTCCGTCCGTCCGTCTGTCCACAATTGCTCGTAAACACTCTACAGGGCACAATTCTTGACGGATTTTAACGAAACTTAGTTTGTGTGTTCGCAATCACCCAAGGATAAACCCTATTGAAAATCAGCGAAATCGAAAAATATTTAGCATGAATTATTGCCCTTGTCATTGAAAACGTTTTCAATTTTTAGCTCGTAAACACTCTAGAAGGCACAATTCTTGAAGGATTTTAACGGAACTTGTTATGAAATATTCAATTTCAAACAAAGCTATCAGTGGGCGTATATCAACTTGCGTGGCAAGCTATCTTTAAAAATTTTGTGGAATTACTCAGCATAAATAACTGGCATATATGTATGTAATTGAATTCAAACTAATAAAATTTTCTTCAATATGAGAAAATTCGTACTTTAGTCACTAAAGACTGTTTTATCATTTCTGACAGCTGCCAGTGGGCGTATGTTACCTTGCCTCGCAAGCTGTCTTATATACCAGACATGAAATGTGAAGATGGGTTATTGCTTTGCTCTTCAAAGAATTTGCATAATGTATAACATCCATTAAATGTTGGTTCTTTTACTTTCAGAGGAAAGGTTGGACCAAACACAATGTTTCAAGATCCATCTGAAAGTTATTTCGTACCGAATGATGTTTTAGCTCCTCAGCAATATGGTATCCATTCTACTCCTAATTCACAATGCACTGAGAGTGAGACATCGTTTGACAGTGGTTATCTATCTCCTGCTAACTCTCAAAGTACACCAGGTCAAAGTGGAGGAAGGGCATTTCGTGGCTTTCAGACTTTACAGAATGATAAATACATGGTGCCCACCATACCAGGGTACCAACAAAGTCCAGCTCCAAAACTATACCAATCTACTGTTTTTGATGATGATTGGGATAAAAAATTTATTGAGAATTTTGAAGCCAATTTATTTGGAATTGATCCAGCAGAAGATTTTTCTAGTGAAGATATAAACCTTTTTAGTGAACTCCTAACCAGTCCGTTAAAATCAGGACTCAGTCCAGTTCGTTTATATGACACCAAAAATAGTCCAGGAAAATATTCTAGGAGCCCAATGAAACTGTTTTTCAGCCCACCTAAATCCTTAAGTTCACGCAAAAACATACTAGGAGTTGGAAGTTCTGGCCTTAGTGACTTTAATAGCCCTTGTAATACAATAAATAAAAATGAGCACATAACTCTTACTGGCTTGTCTGATCCAAATTTGAATTTGATAAGTACATCAGGATTTCAGGAAACCCCAAAACAGAGTTGTATTTTAGATCAATCTTTACTCTCACATAATTATGCCAAGCCATCTAAATCATGTCATGTAAGTGGGCCCAAATCACACCAGACATATCAAAAAACCAAAGGAATTCAGCAAGCTGCTCCGACAGTCAAGAGTGAGCCAATAACAGAGATTGAAAACTGTACTTCACCAGAGTTACTGCCGTCAAAACAAAAATTACAATATGTGCGTGCGAAATTTAAACAGACATTACAAAAAGCTGTAGAAAACGCACATAATGCGGCAGTAAATGAGGAAAAGTATCCACAGCTAACTAAAAGACTTTCTAATTCTAACTCCATGTCCACCACATTAAAAGAAAATCTTCCTACAACTGTCAACTCACAAGATACATGTACCACTTCTAGTCAACAATTGGCAGAGGGATCAAAGAAAGGAGAGTCATTTAAACAAAGATTTCGGGAGTTGGCACCAGCTCCTTCCTCTAAAAGAACATTTGCTTGTATTGTAAACAACCAGTATGAGGTTCAACAACAATCTGACTGCCAAATTGTAATTAAAAAGAGGAAATCCTGAACAAAATAATTTTTTTTAATGTTTGGTGCAAATTTTTAGCAAATTTATTTAAGTCTATAATTCTGTTTATTATCTTTAATAATGCTTATCAATCTCAGCATGGCCATAATGTTATGATTTTATCATAGAAATAGTCCAGTTGATTAATCCACATACCATATTATTTATTATTTAGCCTACATAGTTGTAATGTTTTCTGAAGACTGCAGTAAGTCTGATTTCAATGATGTAAATGACAAGAGATTTTTGACCAATAACATTAAACAAGGTCTAAACAATATTGACAATAATCGAGAAGAGCGTCATTTGATAAAACATATGTTGCAATTAGTGACCTCATCAAAAACTTAGTTTTAATGGAATTGCAAGAACCACAGAAGTCTGATTGATAATTTGAAAGGTGCAAATTGATGCTATCAGTGTTCCCAATAAACAAACATTTTAGAAAACCTATTGGAAATAATTCCTTTATTAAAGGCTGTATCAAACAAGACTGATGCAGATCTGAAAGGATTTAAGTCATCTTAATAATTTCTGTACCAGCTGACAGAGCTCAATTTCAGGCATTTTTTTCAGAATTAATCTCTGATAACCAGTAGTCCTGCTCTTGACATGTTGGGCCAAATTAGGCCATTATCACTTCCAGGATATAAAATTCTCAGAATGTCCTGGAAATGGCAATAGTCTACTTAGGTGCATATCGTTCTTTGTTGATTTCAGAAAAGATAAGCTTCTATCAATTGGTAAATAAAATAGTTCAATGACTCTATGATTGATAATGGTAAGTTTAAATTGGGATTGTTCTCGTATGAAATTATAATGATTTATAAAACTGGTTAAGATTTCAAATTTTGCTTAAGAATGATGTACATGTATGCATCAATTGAAAATGATTAAGCATTTGTAAGAGTGGTGTGAAATAGACAAGTTGATAGTATTGTTAGTTGGCTGGAGATGAATTGAAGAAATATACTGGTATTTTGATTGTGATCATAGCATACTGTGATTAGTAGAACTTGGTTGTAATTTTATTTAATTATTTTGCAAAATATAATGAATTGATTTTTCTTTTAATTCTATTGTCTGTTCATTTCAAAAGTTTAACTTTTAAATAAAAAGAAATAAGGAATTGATAATTAGATTAAATAGATTTAAATGGATGTGCTACTAGAATTAAATTGATCAATTCAAAGAATTCTTTATGTACTAGTGCAATGCTTGATTCTTAATGTATTTTGTAAGATTGTATATATTCAATGACAATGTTTGAAGATGTTTTGAGCCTTTGTCTCGGAATTTGGTTTCTTCCCGTTCTGTAGCATTGTTTTAATTTTTTCCATTCTGATATTGTAATTTAGCTATTGTGAACTGTTTTTAAACCCTTACATTTACTATTTTTTGCTTGCTTCAAGTAGGATTAGTTTTAGTGTTTGGAGACCTTCATTGTTTCATTTTTTTAAGGTATAAATTGTGACATGAATATGTGATTTACTTAAAATAGAAAATGAGTTTGAATTAGATCTATTTATAAAGTGTTATTGCAACCAAAATGAAAAAGAGATCTTTTATTTGACTGACTGACTGACAATTAAAAGAAAAGCAATGGTTGATGTCAATATTTTTGTAAATCGTACCTACTTAATTGATTTTGGCAATGTTAATAGAAGTTAAAATGACAAATTTAGTGCTTATTATTTTAAATATTGTCTGTGTTTGTATTTATTTAGTGTATGAATGTGATGGTTATTGTGAATTGTGAGGAAAGTAAATTACACCCCACATATAATTGTATTCATCCTGTTCTTTCTTTCAGTACAATATTTAAAACACCTACTCTGTGTTCTTAGATAATTATTAAGTTTTTAACATTGTCTCTATTTTATGGAATCCAAAAGGTTTAAAATCATCATGGAAATAACATTGCAATACCATTGAGTTTTTTTACTTATCTCATTCTAATTCATTGTTTCGATGAGGATTTTCTGTCAGAAACAATCAGCTGGCAACCAGTGTGGTGGTTGCAATGCTAAATCTTAAAAAAGAGCTCAGATTGAAAGTACTAAGAAGGATGAAAACTTGATTCTAAGACATGGATTCAAGAATTAATTGATTTACTTGGATGTGGTGGTTGCAATGCTAAATCTTAAAAAAGAGCTCAGATTGAAAGTACTAAGAAGGATGAAAACTTGATTCTAAGACATGGATTCAAGAATTAATTGATTTACTTGGAAAGATTTGTATCAATTTTGTAATAGGATCAATAATTACTGTTTCTTTATTGAAATAACTGAATATAATATGCATGGTTTCTTTATAAAAATCAATAGCCTGAAATATGATCCAATATGTGTTGATAATTCTAACATTTAGCTTACACCAAATATTTTTTCGTAAGAGAGTATTATTGGCATTCAATGCTTTTGTACCCGGTTATATTTTGAAATTATGGTATTGTGAGGAGTATAGCTGTCTGAAGATATTTCAGGTATAAATGATATTTGAGTATGTTAGCCCTGTATATTAATGGTTTGGTTAGTTTTGGTTCCACTGTATCAATGACAAGTATATATTTCTCTGAAATGTCAATTGACAGGAGTAATTGTAAAATGAGAATGGTAGATGTTATAAATAATCATGAATGAATCTCAATTCTAGTCTATAAAAATTTCTTCTCTGTTAAATTGTGTCAATAATCTATGTAAAAAAACACTTAAGCCATGACTGTTATGTTATGGAAATTTGTTTCTTATGCATTAACAAATGTTGGTTGTTGCCACTTTCTGCCCAAAATCAACTTTTGCTCACTCTACAGGCTAGCCATATTTTTGATAAGATGAAATAGATGATTACTTCAAAAACAGTCATTACAACTAAATTATTTTGATTTTGTTTACAGGTTAACTTACCTTTTTAAGGTGTTATCACTCTTGGTATAACCTTTATACTGTTATTAGGTACTTAATATATCAAATTAAAAGTAAATTTTAATCAAATACTGAATCCATATTTAATAAGATAAATAAAAAAAGGTGCCTTTAATATACATATAGAAATTTGTAATATTTAGTCTTATCTGAATGAAATTTGGTGTGATCATTTATATTCATGAGATCTTGGACAAGTTCGAATTTGACGATCTTGCGATGAAAGGTTTTTTAGTTATTGCCCTTGACTTATAAAAAAAGCGTGAAATTTCATCTGAAATTTGGTGTGCATATTTATAATGATGAGATCTTGGACAAGTTTGAATTTGGCTATCTTTCGATGAATGGTTTTTGAGTTATTGCCCTTGATTTATGAAAGACGCTTCTAAATTTGTTTGTGAACACAATAGATTCTACAGTTTTAATTCGATTTAAATGAAATTTGGTATGATCATATATAATGATGAGATCTTAGTCAAGATTAAATTTGACAATTTTTCGATCAACGGAATTTGAGTTATTGCCCATGTTCAAAAACACATCATAATTTCTTAGCGTTAGAGGTGACAGTATATGTCAGAATTTTATTAAATAATGTGTGTTTGTTTAGATCAACAATATCTTGCACAAATTAGATTTTTGGTATGATTTGACACAGATAGGTGACTGCCCTTGATATACTGAAAATGTATCAGGAATGTGGGCGTATCTTGCAAGGCAACCACTTGTTAATATACATGTACATGTAATGTAAATTATTCTATTTGTCGATTCCTGTCGTGTTTGTTCTAGAAGTGATATATATGTGAATTTGTGTCTTTCCTGTGCCTAATTCTGCATGAACAGAAAACTTTGCAATAAACTATACAAAAGCTATTCTGTTGATAATGAAAGAATAATGCATTATACAAGGTTTGACACGATGTTCCAGGACTGGTGCTGCAAAAGATTTCCTTAGCCTAACTACAAGAATAATGCATTATACAAGGTTTGTCAGGATGTTCCAGAACTAGTGCTGCAAAAGATTTCCTTATCCTAACTACAAGTTTCCCGTTAATTTACCTAGAAAATAGGAATGTATGCAAGTATGCAAGAGAAGGATTGGATTTGACTCCAGGGGTTTACTTCTAAGGGGAAATTTGTTGTTTGGTTTGGATACAAAATATCTTTTGTGTCATAAGTCCTGGAATTTTTCTGACACACCTGTATGCAAGTTTAATCATTCCACTTCCCCGTCCCTTTATACCTTGACACACACACCAAAATAAATGCAGACGGGAAACTTTTTACACTAATATTATACATGAAGTATAGTCTGACAGTCTGATTTTTTGTACAAATGAAAAGGTAGAAATTAAGGATAATAGATGCTACAGTTTTCAATTAATTTTGGTACTATATTAAAGGAGAATGATGCAATTTTAAGTCGACTGACAAATTTTAATTATTGTCCACATAGCTAAAATGCATGCCAATTTTTTGAGAAGGATGTTACAGGTGTAAGCTCGTTACCCAATTCTTTCAGGAATCAATAAAATATTGTTGATAACAAATTTGTAGTTGACATTGGTTCAATGAACAGTTTTAGAATGAGTCCAGTTGACATAAAATGTCCAAATCAGTAAGATAGAAGCCAAGTGTTCCTCTGCCTTGTCTTATAACATTTGGAAATTAACATTTTATAAAATTACCCTCAATTATGTTCAAACCTGTCAAAATCAGCTTCTAAGTGAAATAAAAGCAATCTACCTTGGATTGAACTTGGCACAACCATATGCAAAGTTCAAAACTTGAAAATTTTATTCAGAGATGATAGAAATCTTTATTAAAGGAGATACAAAAATGCAGCTAAAAAAATCAAACTAAGAGTAATAGATTCTTTCAAATATAAAAATCAAGCAGAAAAAAACCATTCATACAAATATGTTTAGTGTAATATACAATGCTTAACAGTTCATACTTTGGTACCAATAAAAACATAAAAAGATGTTATGTTAATTTCGATTTGCAGAATTAACAATGGAATTCCTAATATACATGGTCACGATTTTCCAGTATGTTGATCATGTAAAACTTCAGCTTGCTCACGTAAAGAAAATAACACTTCTTGTATCTTATCAGTTATATGTTTCCTTATTTCTCTCTGAAACATAAAATAACAATTGGTATGGCCAGAATAAAAATTGTCAATATGGAACTAGTTCAACATATCATCTTTTATACAAGAAATGTTGACAAGCTGACAGAGGTGACAGCAAAATATTCATTGATTCAAAATAAAAAGAAGAGATGAACAAAACTACTCATGAAAATGATTAATGTCAATTGGATGAAATAAAATGATTTGACAAGATGAAGATACAAGGCTTTAAATTAATTTTGTGTCATAAACATTTAAGCACACAAAACAATGGAATAAATAATTTTTTTTAAACAGAAGTATTATATTATTAAAAGCTTATTTTATGTGGGCATATGAAAACAGTGCTATATATAAATGAAAAGAAAAGAATAACAAGATAACTTGAATTCACTTACAGATGATTTATTTAGTGACTTTAATTTAACAACATCTTCTGTAAAATCCATTGGATCACCAACTAAATAGGTCACCTTCTGTAAAAAATAAAATCAGTCAAAAATATATACAGCTTTAAAAAATCAGACAAATGTATAAACAATTAATATCCAAATATAAACAGTAACCAACTTTCTGTAATAAACACAAATATATAAAATAAATCTAAACTGTCATCATCTGAATAAGTAACTTTCTGTAATAAAACAGTATGCAAACATTTAATAAACAAATGTAAAAAGTCACCAACTAAATAGGTCACTTTCAGTGATGAACACACAAAAAATATCAGTATTTAATAAACAAATATAAACAGTAGGTTACTTTCTGTAATAGAACAGACAAATATAATCATTTAAAAAACAAATATTAACAATCACCAACTAAATAGGTCACTTTCTGTTTTAAAACAGACAAACATATGAACATTTCATAACCAAATATAATATTAGGAAGGCGATAGATGACAATATTATGCTTCCAATCCCTTCCATACATGTGGGCATATCAAAATCAAAAGAATACTTAAAGAAATGTTGCCTGAAGAGTGAGAAAAAGTTGTACTATATAACTAAAAGAGTGCATTTGCTAGGTCGGAATCTTCATAACAACATTGAAAAGTAAAAGATTCCATGAAGAATTGAAGCCTGTAGAGTGAGCATGAGCCAAGTGTGAGCAGACAGATGACAATATGCTTCCATTCTATGTGTGGGCATATAAAAATCAAAAGAATCCAAAGTCAAGAAGAATGACTCAAAAAACATATATTGAAAGATCGTCAAATACGAACTTGATCAGGATCTCATCGATATAAATGATCACATCAAATTTCATTAAAATCTGTTGAAAACTGTAGTCTCTAATGTGTTCAGAATTTGAAGCGTTTTTCCAAAGTCAAAGGCAATAACTCAAAAACCGCCCATCAAAAAATCGTCAAGTTCGAACATCACCAAGAACTCATTAATATACATTATTTCATTAAGTTTCATTAAAATCAGTTGAAAACTGTAGTCTCTATTGTGTTCACAAACAAATAACTCAACAAGATACACCCACTTTCCTGATACATTTTCAGTATATCAAGGGCAGTCACCTATCTGTGTCAAATCATACCAAAAATCTAATTTGTGCAAGATATTGTTGATTTAAACAAACACACATAATTTAATAAAATTCTGACATAAACTGTCACCTCTATCGTGTTAACATATAACAAGGTTTGATGCCTTTTTACTTAGTCAAAGGCAATAATTCAAATTCTGTTGAACGAAAAATCGTCAAATTCAAACTTGTCCAATATCACATCACTATAAATGATCACACCAAATTTCAATTAAATCGGATGGAAACTGTAGTCTCTATTGTGTTCACAACCAAATTTTGACGCATTTTTCATAAGTCAAGGAAAATAACAAAAGAAAAGTTCATCAAAAGATCGTCAAATTCAAACTTGTCCAAGAACTCATTAATATATCAACACACCAAATTTAATTCAAAATCGTTCATCGAAAGATTGTCAAATTCAATCTTGGTCAGGATCTTATCAATTTAAATGAGCACATCAAGTTTCATTAAAATCAGTTGAAAACTGTAGTCTCTATTGTGTTCACAAACACTGTTATTTCAGTGGCAAATTATCAGATCATCATCATCATCATAAGGACATTGACTCACAAAAAAAAAATCAAAAGAATCTGTAATGAATTGTAGCCTGTAGAATGAGCATGAGCTGAATGTGAACGGACGGATGTATAAATAATAACCATATATAAACATTCACCAACTAAAAAGGTCACTTTCTGTAAGTAACCCAATATAAACCGTCATCAACTAAATCGGTTACATTCTGTATTAAAATAGACAAACATATTAACAGTCAATAACCAAATAGAATTTTACAAGATAACTTAAAAAAATAACCAAATATAAACAGTCACCAACTACATAGGATGTTTTCTGTAATAAAACATACAAATATATTGTGGGTGACCGCTTGAAACCTCGTATATGCCTTATTGGGTCATTTTGACTTTTTGGTACCGTTCGAAAGCTTGTATACTTAGCGTGATTGTAATTAACTCAAAAAGCACTAATTAAATAACCCGTATTGTTATACGAGGTTTAAATTTTCAAAGCAGTAAAAAAAATAATAAAAAAGATTTTAACAAAATACGTGTACAAATAGTTTTTTTTGCGTTTTTTCAAGTAATATATCGTTGTACGAGGTTTCAAGCGGTCACCCACGATATAAACATTTAATATTCAAAAGTAAAAAGTCATAAACTTACTACATCACTTTCTGCAATAAAAAAAATAAGTATCAACATTTTATAAACTAAACAGGTCATCTTGGGATGTCATAAATTATTTTCAATAAATGTCTGTAAATATAATGTATTATGAACAAACCTGACTGATATGTAGTCTGTACGGTCTCACATTTGGTAAAACATCATCTAGACCTATAAATACAAGATAACAATCCTTGTATTCTCCCATAACTATATACTTGTAACATACAGTAATGGTCTAATAGTAATATGAAATTAAGTCCGCTAAGAATTTGGTATAATAATAATATTTTTTTCAAGACATTAGGCCGGGGTCAACAATTTTGTCGAAGCTTAAAAAGTTTCGTCGATAGTTTCACTTACCACAATGCCATATGGGTAATACTATTGGTGATGTTTTACACTCTGCTATCATTCTACCAACACCTACAAATCATAATAATAATCTGCAATGTTTTACACACAATGCAGTCCTGCATCGTATTACTTAGTAATATTGAGCTATCGGTAATACAAGGAGAGCTACTTTTTGATTGTGAGAAGGAGAGAGAGAGGTAGGCCTACAATAAAATGATATCAGATTAAATACTTACCCCATTTTAATCTTAACCTTTCTCTATCCACATTTACTTTACCTGAAACAATGACAAACCATTATAATTTGTACTGACAACCATTTTAAGATACTACTGTTCGACCACCATGTTTACAGAATCGCATCTTGACAATAATATTTGTATAAATAAAATAAATAATACTGAGAGTCTTAGAATGTAAAATCATTAGATAAAAATAGGGGAAACTAACTGCTGATAAGAGAAACATGTTCAGAATTGCATTGGTATTATCTTTAAAAAAGAATACCTTCAACAAAAACATGAGTCCATTCTCCTAAGTTGAGCCTTTCAATAATAAAATCTATTGTCTCCTGATAAACACCATCACCTCTAATAACTGGTACTGTCTTGCCCAGGGTGAAATATAAAGAGTTCCAGTAATTGGTAAAAACAACATCATGAGCACCAATAGCCCACCTTGTTTTGGTTGGATTGCCAAAAACAGATAACTTTAACATAACTGTAAAATACGCAAACTACTTTATTATTATTCAATTTGAATTGAATTCCAGAGCAATCCTTAACATACATTGCACATAGGTGCATCTACAAATGTCACCATCTACATGTGACAGGTTTCTATCCAAAAATATTTTATACCTAGATGTATGACCCCTAAAAAAAGAAATTTTGTTTAAACAGAAAACCCATACTAACCCCATATCAAAGGTTCATCTAAACAACTATAATGATTTGACACTGTAATTAATGGAGTAGATTTATCTCTATCATAAACAGCCTTCTCTAACGTTTTCTTATTGTAAACTTTTAATGTGTTTAACCACTCTGAAATTAAAGATATATAATTCACTGTAAGCAAGCAACAGCTTTATTCTGACACTGAAACAAGTTTTTACGTATGACAATCAAAAATTGTGCATACACCAATAAGGAAGTAACACTTATTGGTTTTATTTATCACTGAAAAATCAACACTTGTAACAGAGTAATATTAATCCTATAACTCTTTGAAAGGGCTATTGAGAAAAAAATCCCTCCTTATATATAATACACTTGCAATGAAGGCAAATGAAGCATATGCCTTACTTATGAAATGACAACAAAGCTCTAGAAGTGTCTTCCTTTTTCTCCATTCTAAAATCCACTCAAACCTGCACTGCTGCATGTTAACATTGAATTGGGCTAGAGCCTTGGCATCCTCACAATGTTAGGTTGGATTAATTGTAAGCAAATACAGTCGATCAGAGTCCTCAACAAAAAGTCTGCAAAAAATAAGCAATATTGCCCTGACTGTTGTTTGCCAATTATGGAATACAGTGGTGTAACCTATTTTCGTGGATATAAGGATTCAACACCGAATTTCGTCAAAGTTAAAAAAACGAAAAAAAAAATTTATGTCTTAGATGTTTCCTCAGATATTCTACAAAATAATAGAAATTGGTTTATTTCGATTTTCTTTATGAATCCTTCAGTTTGACCCATATTTCATGAGCAACCAACTCAGGAACGGCGGCAGAATGCGTCACCTATTTTCGTGTACAATGTTTTATCTATAAATAAGTCTAGAAAAACACGTTGTATGAATACCGGGTGATATAAATAACTTCTCTTAGTATTTATCTTTAATATCAATTCATTATAACTAGTGACAATTCCTTCAAAGAAGCACGATTTAAAAAAAAATATAGTGACTGACAAAATAAGATACGTAGCGTGATTTATTGTTAAAAGTCACTGAAACAACATAAGAATATGGTTCACTTTGTGTTCCATAGAAATTTTCTGCTGACACGGAATCCACTTATTGATCACGTGACTTCATTCGTTGGATTATATTCTAGCAGACGACACTACCGACATTCTCCATTCCGACATGTTACGGAACCTCGACACCGCAAGATACCAGATTGATCCGAAGATACCAAACCAAACCAAATCAAACCATCCATCTGTAGCCATCTGCAAAGTGACAACCAGACTCCAGACCAACAACGTACTACGAGACCATCGGTTCAACGCCACTAAATGTCGCTGCGGCTGTTACACCTCTTTGCACCAAGAAGGTGAAAACAGAGAAGTGTGAGTAGTAAAACAACCAGATTAGCCAACGCGATGACTGACACACAGAGAATGAGAAATAATGACAACACTGGGTAACTCAGTTAAGCCTAAAGTTCAGCTTTAAAGACGGTACAACGGTGGACCTCAGGATTATACGATGCAGCACAACTAAGCCTGGTAGACACTTCTGGAGAGCACAAGGAAAGGGTTCATATACTGGCACTATAACATGGTGCAACTGGAACCAACACCCCTTTCTACAGCTCTGTTAACAACAGACAAACAATGTCGTACTACCTTCTACAGGATCATCTGTGAGAGGAGAGAAACAAAACTTAGGTATTTCATAGGCTTTATCAACATTGAGGAGCACATGGAAGAGAACTTCCTGTCATAAGAGTCTACAAACTAATATACAACATGTCTTACGAACATCAACTTGTGAGAACAATGCAAAGGCGCAATGAATAAGGGTTGCCCATTACCACGTGGAGTGGCCTACCGCACCGGGCCATCCAACATGTGTGATACTAATAGAAAATACAAGATTTTCAGAGGCAAAGGCCTAAAACACTGACATAGTGTAGTAAACCCATGTCTTATAGATTGACAGCAACATAATTGGCCTTTTATAGCAAAATAATACCTGTGGGAGGAGAGAAACAAAACTTAGGTATTTCATAGGCTTTATCAACATTGAGGAGCACATGGAAGAGAACTTCCTGTCATAAGAGTGACTTGCCCTTGCACACAGGCATTAGTCACCTTTTGAAACACAGGCACTTGTAACTTTTACTAAACAGAGTTACCTCCCTTCAACCACTTAACTGTCCTCACTACTAAGCCTTACACATAAGAAAATGGTACCCCCTTGTATCTACTGTTACACTCTCCCCCACAACATAAATGTCGTCCTCGACATTAGGAACATTAACAAAAACCCTTAACTAATAGGGAAGCGTGATGCTTCAGGTCCAACTAAGTAACATTACAAGATGATTCCTGGTATCTGCAGATACCTTTGCTATACTTGTCACAGGTGATCAGTCTGGACAAATGTAGATACTTAATTACAATTAAGATATGAATATCTGTTTACTTTTAACATTAACTAATGCAACTTGACCTTGTCTTACACCTATTTTCAGTTTTACAACTAAATATTTTAAACTTATCATATCAAAAGTTAAAACAACAAATAAATCTTAACATTAACCAGAACTATAGTGGTCACTGAAATATTATTTTATAACCTTGTATATGATGGATTTCCAGCCGAATCATACGTTAGCCTAGAAGGTGCCTTTCGTAACCGTTTTCGACCAGAATGAAGTTCTTCTTGAAATGAATCTCCATTAGATCTTTCATCTTCTTGAGATGAATCTCCATTTATAGGTCTTTCATCTTCTTGAGATGAATCTCCATATATAGGTCTTTCATCTTCTTCCTGAGATGAATCTCCATTAGGTCTTTCATCATCTTGAGATGAATCTCCATTAGGTCTTTCATCTTCTTCTTGAGATAAATTCCCACCAGATCTTCCATCTTGATCTGCAACTCCATCAGCTGCCTCTGGAGGAACTTCATCAAGCCTGCGATCAAACGGTGGGTTTGTACAATCTTCGTTAGCTACCAATGGAGTATAAGATTCTGCCTCTGGATTTAACTGCCTATCCTGATTGCTTGATCCCTGTTGTATGACCAATATGTCATCACTAGACTTTGACGATGATACACTGCTAGATTCTCTTCGAGATTTAGAACGATCGTATCGATAAACTGGTTTTGAAGGATTGGGATCCTTTACTTCTTCGACTGGCAAGTCATTACATTGCAAAAGAAGATTTCGATGTAGACGTCGAATTTTCCGTTTATAGCTCTCTGGCTTCACTTCATAAATTGGCGAATCTTCCATCCGCTTAACTACGATATGAACGTCTTTCTCCCAGTACGAACGTAACTTTCCTGGACCACCTCATTCACTCAAGTTACGGACTAGAACTCGATCTCCAGGAAGAAGTACAGCACTTTGTGGTTTCTGATCCCTTCTGGTCTTACCACGGCTACTGGATTTTCGGGCACTTTCTGCTGCTTTCTTGTAGGCTTCACGCATACACTCGGACCATCTATGAACATAGTCTTTATAACTTTGATGCTTTTGAGGTTCATCTAGGCTGAACATTAGATCTACTGGGAGTCTTGGATGTCGACCGAATAACAGAAAGTGTGGAGAATAGCCTGTCGATTCATTCTTGGTAGAATTATAGGCATGCAGCATTTTGATACATGATTCTTCCAATCGGACTTAAAGTCTTCTGGCAGAGTCCTTAGCATCGAGAGCAAAGTTCTATTAAGTCGTTCCACCTGACCATTTCCTTCAGGTTGGTATGGTGTGGTACGCGAATGCTTGATTCCGCTGTATTTCTGAAGTCGGTTGAAGAAATCGTTTTCAAACTCACGACCTTGATCGTGGTATAACTTCTCTGGATAACCAAATTTCAGGACATAATCATTGAAGACTTTATCAGCTGCGGTACGTCCAGATTTGTTGGTGGTTGGATATGCAACAGCATAGCGAGTGAAGTGATCCACAACCAGTAGTATATATTGATATCCTCCTTTACATGTCTCAAGGTGAAGAAAGTCAATGGATACCATCTGAAAAGGGTAAGATGTTTTGATGGGTTTCATAGGAGCAAAAACTTTGCGACTTGGACCTTTGTCCCGAACACAGGAACACATTCTGGTTACATAATGTTCAACATCAGCAGACATATTGGGCCAAAAGAATCTAGTCTGAATGAGAGACAACACCTTTTCTTGACCATGGTGACCCATGTCATTGTGAAGCTGCTGCAACACCAATTTCTGATACTTCTTTGGAAGCACAAACTGATGGAGTCTTTCACCATTTACTGTTCTCAATCTTCTCAACAACCCATGCTGATCAACTTGTAATCTTGACCATTCACGCAGAAGTCTAATACCTTCACCTGAACAACGGGATCTATCATCTACTGTGGGTTTACAACCATTTAATACCAATCCTCTCACGTGGCTGATATGTTCATCCTCCTGTTGAGCAGTTACTAACTCTTCTCGACTGAAGATTCTAAATTTGTCGTAACCATTTAATTCTGATTTGGTACTTGTGTACCTGTTATTTGCACACCATACAAAATTCTTCTCATCTTGAGCTGTTAAACTCCTAGTTACACTGGCAAAAACATCCTGACTGGTTTCTTCGGAACACTGACTTTGATACTTTTCGAAATCTAGTGGCATCCGACTCAATCCATCTGCATCACTGTTCAACTTCCCAGGTTTATAACGGATGGAGAAGTTGAAATCAGCTAGTTCAGCAACCCATCTTAAACGAGCAGCATCCAGTTTTGGTGTGGTCATGATATAACTGAGGGGACTATTGTCACTGAATACTGTGAAGTGTGGACAATAGTACAGATAGTCCCTAAATCTGTCTACAACGGCCCACTTGAAAGCTAAAAACTCAAGTTTTCCAGAATGAAGATGATAATTCTTCTCTGCTGGTGATAAACTTCTGGACGCATATGCTACAACACGAGGTTTTCCCATATCATCATCTTGGTAGAGGATGGCTCCTAAACCTTCAGAGCAAGCATCAACGTGTAGAGAAAACGTCTTGTCAAAACAAGGGTATGCCATAACCGGTGGTGTTACTAAAAAACCTATCAGCTCATTCAAGACACCCTGGTGATTAGAACTCCAATCAACGCCTTCCCTAGATGATATTTGACCACCTTTAAGTTTTTTCTTTGAGTTCTTCGTTTTGACAGATAACAGGTCGTAGAGAGGTCTTGCTCTTCTTGCAAATTCAGGTATATATCTCCTGTAGTAGCTCAGGAATCCAAGTAACTTTCTGACATCACCAATATTCTTAGGAACAGTTTCTTTCAGCTTCAACACAGCAGCTTTATCTTCTGGATCTACAGTATAACCATTAGCAGTCACTAGATGTCCAAGATACCTTATTTCTGAACGAAACAAAAGACACTTTTTGGGCTTAAGCTGAATACCCTTTTTCTTAAGTCTATCAAAAACAAGTTCCAAATGTTTCACACGTTCAGAAAAGCTTTTGCTATAAACAAGAATGTCATCCAAATAAGGGAGACAACACTTATCCCTTAGTCCTTCAAGACAGTCATTCATGAAGGCTTGGAACGCAGCAGGTGCACCAGACAAACCAAACGGAATTCGTTCCCAAGAGTAATGTCCCCAAGGCGTTACAAAGGTGGTGTATGGCTTACTGTCTTCACCCATTACCCCTTGATGATAAGCTTGACCTTGGTCTAAAAGTGAAAAGTAACAACTTCCTCCCAAATTATCTAGTGCATCTTGAATCCCAGGTAAAGGACTGCAGTCTGTGATAGTCTTCTTGTTTATCTTCCTGTAATCTACACACAGTCTTAGATCACCACTTTTCTTACGTACACAAACCAAAGGACTCGAATATTGCGATTTTGATTTCCGTATAAAACCCTTTGAAATAAGGTTGTTAACATGATCTTTTACTTCATCTAATAAAGGTGCTGGGATGGATATGTATG